TCGTTTCTGGTCCAGGAATATCATGGTAAAGTCGGACTTGAGAATTGCTGGAAATATTTGCGCAATACGCCCAGACGAGGAATTCTAAATACCTCGGAGAGAAAAATGCATGATTTTCATAATCGTTGACACAATTGCATACGTCCTCCACGAATTAGCGTAACGATAGCATAATTCGTCCCGTAATTCGCTTAATCGAGTTCAACAAGGCGAATCAGAGGCACGTAGGAGGTCGAACGAGAAAATGTTCGTCGAAGAAGTGGCCAACCACGGATTCACGGCTATTTCCGGTCCGGGCGTCGAGAAAACCAGCGAAAATCGCTCCTCTAACGACCCACCCTTTGCGGGAGAGCTTTTTTGATACTATCGGTTTCCTCTTTTCCACCGAAACGCTCCACTTTCTATTCGATACGTTTTTCCACTCATTCCGTTTTTACTCCTTCGATTTTGCAAATTTTTATATGCAAAAATTTTTGTCTTTTTATTACTGGCATCGAGGTACACTCGCACGTACATAAAAATTGATTTGAATCGTAGTTTCTCTGCAAATTTTAAGTTGGATTTTAAACGGTAAATTCTGTCGTTAATGTAGGAATTTGTATTTAGGAAGAAATTCGGTCGGAAGTGTCTGGTAAGATTTTTATTCTCATGAATTCCATCTAGATGAAGCCCTCGAATCGAGTTTCTCGGCTTCCTGGAAGATGAACATCTCGTAACGAGCACGGCTAAATTTCTAATATTCGACGTGGTCGTTCGTGAAGCTTCGCGGAATCGTAAAGCACGGTGCTTCAGAAGTGAAATGTCTGTTCGAAAATTACTTGCGCCAGCGTTACTTGCTTCTGTACGCACGTGTAATTTCGTGGAGTTGCAAAATTTTGTCACGTTCGCTTGTACAAGCGTTTACATATAAAAATGAATTCACTTTCGTGTATTACTGTTTCAAACACCTTTTCTCAGACAGTAGTTTTAAAATACATATTGACTTTTATCGTGAAAAACTCCGTAAAAATTATTCGCGTACAATTACAGAGCGTATGATCAGAAATGAAAGTGCAATAACAGAAATGTTCAGGCAGCCTAAAATTAGGCTATTTATTAGCATTACTCGGTAGCGCGCATCGATCGTAGTAAGTCTTTTTCTCCGTCGATTCGAAGTTCCCGGCGAAATAACACGGTGGCGTAATCTGTAGATCTCGTTCGACGCGTTTTCCCTTCGATAATTACGTAATACGGGGTGCACGCCCTTTAGAACGAGACGTAAGGCCGCGAACGTGAAAAAAAGCGTCGGTAGCACTCCGTTGGTGACCAACCCTCTCGTGAGAGGGTGGTTCGCGAGCAAAGAGATAAGCGAACGAGATCTCGCGTGTCATTTCGCCATAATTCTCGGCGGTAATTTATGCTTTTCGCAGAAAAGCTGCTGGCGAGGGTGTGGGAAACTAAAGACAGACAGACCGTGGGGGTGAGAGACGAAACGGGAACCACTTTGCCAGGGACAATATCGTATGTCTTAGCTACTTCGTAAAATAAACAGCCACCCTCTCCCCCACGCTTGCTTCTTCGTTCGCTTTTCCGGGGATACACATTTTCATACGTTTCTTGCTCGAAACCCCTTGCAACCCCTTGCGGCAGTTGCTCGCAAAGGGTAAACTTCTCTGGCTACGTGCTTTCATTCTGCTGTCTTCTTTTTCATTATTTTTTTCCTACCAATCTCTTCCTCCTTTTTTCATGATTTTATCTTTTTATTCCTACATTCCTTCATTTCGCTCCTTTTCTCCCGGGATCCTTTTACTTTCGAACAGTTTAAGTTCTTTCCTCCTGGCCCGTTTTCTCGGGATCAGGATTTTCTTCGTTTCTCTTTCGCCTTTAATTCTGTTGCTTTAATATCTGGTCGGGTTGGTTCTAGGGATTATACGGATCCTTAGCTTTTCTTGTAACGTTATCCTCTTTCGCGCGATCTTTCTCGCTATTTTTCTTTCTTAACTCTTTTCGTGTCATGCGTTTACTGCTAACAGCAAATTTGGAGCTCTGGGATTCGACAATTTTCTGTATTTACCTCCGTCTATTTTACCACTTTCCTATTGTCCATAGTCGAGCATACATATTTTCTCCCCAGCACATACTTTCATCCCCTATTTTAATTCCATTTCTGTTCACGTTCCTATATCCCGTTTCTCTTCAAATTCTTCTCTACGCTTCTCGGTTCCTTCCGAGTTTCTCCGTTATCCCATTGAATTCTCTCGCCTGTACGCAAGAGGGAGAGCAATAGAGATTCTCGCGAGAACCCCTCGTGTTCTTACGCAAGTAACCAGCTCAAAGACTGTTTATTAAAAAGCTTTTAGCGATATTAGACTGTCCACGACGGAAGTTTTCTTCGCAGGAAAACAGGATGCCGTGAAATTTCTTCGGGATGCGATTGTATCCTTCCAGCAACGTGTCGCGACACTTCACAGAAAATTTACTTTTCAACGATTCTTCTAATTAATCTTTGCTGGTAATTGCTGTTACCAGTGATTAATGGGTTTCTGCGAAATGTAGGAGATTGGTGGATTTAAAATCCTTGTCAAATTTGCGGAGCGATTACGCATTAAATTTACCACGCTTCAGATTTATTCCGAATTCCAATTTTCCACGTGTCGAGTTTACCGCCGAAATCACCACGTGCCGAATTGCATCGATTTCGCTCATCGAATAGCACCACGCGTTAAATAGCCACGCGCTATATCTCCCACGCGTCCTTTTCATTGAGCTGGCCGGACCCTTGGCTATACATACGTGTACGGTCTGGTGCCGATCGAACGGCCGACACATGTGGAAAACCACACATCCTTCCGGTCGGGCGTAGACCATCTGCCTCCCATGACCGCTTCCGACCGATGTTCGAACCGGCTCTTCCGATCCTCCTTCTTCTCCTCCTATTTCGTTTCCTATCGCACGTTGCCTCTTACACTTGCTGTCCTTTTCGATCTCTTACGAGAGCCAATAATTTCAAGTACTTCGAATACACTTTATAATTTCATATTTTCTTTGAAATTTTCTTTACTTGCAGATGTAACCATTTTTATTAAGCTCGATAATTCTGTTGACTCTTTCTAAAAAGTTCGTGAAATATATGTTCTGAAAAGAAAATGATGAATCTATGGTGGGAATTTCATTAAGAAACGATGGAGATGAAAATTTCATTTCAAGTTGAAAATTGGGTCAATTATGAATTCTTCGTGCTTGCACACAGTATTAATTCAGCGATATCAATGTTTCAGAGCGTGCGTTTCTCGTAATTAGATTTATCAAAGAGAATGGGAAAAAATATGGTTTGTCGATCTAATTTTCAAGCAGGTCTATCAGTTGATAAAATCGAACGGATCTCCCGTTTGTCTTTGCAGTTCGCGAAACCGGAAGAGACCTGTACACACGGCAATAAGTAATTGAATTTCCGTTGAATCGTGAACGTAAACAGGTTCGATCAGTTCCCCTTTGCTTCGTCTCAAAAGGGAGAGGATGAACGAACGCGGTGGTGAATCTCGACAAGAAATAAAAATAATTGAGAAAACGAGAAAATCACGGCTTCTTCGTGTCTCGAGAACGCGGCTATAATCGATCAAGGATGTTGCATCGATTTTTTCTCGGTCTCTCGATTAATAATGCTTCTCAACCCTTTGTGACGCGGGAAATCTATCGTTCCTCCAAGAGTATTCACCGTTCTTGTTAATCGAATGCTTGACATCGATTCGAGGGTTAAAAGCTCGATTATTGTCCTCTGAACCTCGTTTGCACGAAAGCTATTCAAAGCTGGGGTATTTGTTGATTCTGTAAACATTTGTTTCTGCTTCGATTGTTTGAACTGTATTCTTATTTTTATGAAATCATAGCACGAATTGACTGGATCTTTAGTAGAATGATATTTTTAGAATACCATTCTAAAATACCTAACCTAAGGCTATTATCATTCAATAAATTAGTGGTAGATACATGTGGAAGTTAAGTGTGGTAAGATATCTTTTTATCGATACATAACTTACAAGAGTAAATATCTTATCAGTATGATACGTAAGAGTTTGATCATAGATCGCAATATCAAAAGTATAATGTATCGTACAAGCGAATGCGAATAAATAGCTGATTATTAAAACGGTAAATTAAGTTTGGATGGAGCGTCGGGTCCAGTAGACGGAGGCGACGGATAATTTCAGCGAACTAATTGGTAAAAAATCAAAGGAAACAGACCGAGCGAGGACGTCAACTGAAGCGAGAGAATTTAACAACGAGAGGAAGGTCGAACAGAGGGTGGAATATCCGAGGGTGGACAAAAATCATCGAAAGAAAAATGATTCTTCGGTTGGATCCTGCGTGCCAGATTCTTCGCCATTTTCTCTTCTCAGTTTCATCTTACGGGTCAAGCATTGTCAACTAGCAATTATGCTACGCGTTATATCACCCGATAGAAATCTGTAATTTTTATTCGAGGATTCATAAATTTGATAAGTTAGCAGTTTAGAGATTGAATATGGTGATCAGTCGATTATGTCGCGTGTGAATATTCCTCGAACATCTCGTAATTTGTTCTAGCAGCGATCAGGCAAATCACCCGAATGTTTTCGAACACTCCGTGATAGAAGTTCTAAGTAAACGCGAGCCCTATCGATCGTATTCCGCCGCTTTCTCGGTTCTTCCGCTCATTGAAAACCTGTAACGAGGCTTTTGTAATACGAGCCATTCGGATGCAAATGCCCGTCGGGTTGCTTCTTCTTGACAGTCTGCTTGGAATGGACCGATTTAACGATTAAGACAGTTCGAGAGGAATAGTTCAATCTCGATTCCGACATCGATCACAGTGAATCGAACCGTGGTTTATCGGTCTTATTTTTCTATCGGTACAAGATATCTTTTTTATACATATTCTTTCATTGCATCCTTCCTCGTAAATTTTAAATACAAATTATTTATATCTTTGTGTCACATCGTGACTTTCCACTTTTCATTGTGCATAAATGAATACCTGTCGATCAAATGAAACGTAAACGTAAAAAGTGCATTTATTTCTCTAAATCATCGCATATGAATATAACAGACCGTAAAACGTCTGACGCAGTCATTAAATAGCATCGTGACTCGTCGATCTTGAACTGTATTTGACCCTCGTTACAATATTTATGCCTTCCGCGTACAAGAACATCTTCCTGTTTGTTTTACATTTAATAACAAATTGTCGATTATAAATGTTAATGAGAATCGATCGAGTCGCGAAATTATTCTACGATATTCCTGGAAAATTTGGTAGGAACGGCAGGCAGAAAAATCAAAATACCTGTATGCTTTCTTGCATATTTGCTTTTTAACCCTTTCAACGTCAATTTTTTCCATAAGAATGGTACTACGGTAAATGTATATTTATAATTTATAAATTCACATAAGTAGATACGTTGAAAGGGTTAATCTGAACGCTAGATTCGATTGAACCACCGGACCCGAGAAGCGAGTCGTCGCTGTGCGCCGTAGCGTTTAAGTTCCAGAGTCACACGCGATACCGCGTGATCGTACCGCGTCTCGCAATATCGCTCCTGGAAACGGTACCAGCGGCATTGCTCAAATTGAACGATGTATCACGCGATATCGCGCGAGCGGCAATTTATCGATAATATTAGAGCACGCGTTATAGCGTGATCGGCAGTGAACGGTTACATATAAAGAAAGTACGCAATGGCAGCCAGGGCAACGGTGCCGCCAATCACCCACAACGGAGATATTTCTTGATTTTTGTCTGGCTTCGTGATGCTCGCCGATCCCCAGTTCTGTTTCGGTTTCGTGTGCGATTTTTCAGCCTCGACGATTTCGCCGACTTGGAATTTCTGCATCAGATCGAACGCGTCCTTCGAATGGCCCACATCGTCGAAATCCTCGGAAGCGTCTTTGCCCTGGTGTTCCAACAGGATCTCCTCACCTCCGGGATGTTCATTCAGGAAGCTGTATACGTTGTACACCTTGTCGTGCAGGATTATCAAGGTTGATTCCTTGTCGGTATTGTTCGCGACCTCGCTCCTCGTGTACTGCTTGCTCATCCTTTCGTCTCGGGTATTTTATCCGTCACTGGAGATCCTGTAAACATGCCGCACACTTTAGATGCCTTTATCTTGACAGTAAGAGGAAAATATTTGATAGGGTCATCTAAATAAATTTTAGCATGCTTCGGATGTGTTGCAGTGGGAGTATGTAGCGATGGAACATGTGGTGATTTGAATGTGTTGCGACTTGGATCGAATAAAAAATTTAACTGCAACAATTGAATAGCAAGTTTGACTCGAAAGGGGTGAAATCATATTTAGCAATTAGCGATGCTTTTAAAACTTCCCCCATTTAATTTCGACTCATCCAAAACAGAATATAATTACAAAATTCCGCTCTCATACAAATCATCCTTGCAGAGATTAAACTTCGTTGAATGATATCTTGGCTAATTATAAAATTGTCGTTAACGTAATAAACGTTCCCCAATTTCTTGAACGCGAAATAGTTTTGCAAGTCCGTTTCCAGCGGACCACTTCCTCTTGAAAGGTAGTTCGTATGCAGGGTGAAATGAAAATTTGAATATTCACGAGGATCTTAATAAGCAGCGTCGAAAGTTACATCAAAGAACCGGATCGGTAGTTGAAAAAGTTTCGTTCGACGACGAGCGATCGAATTTTATTAAGCGCGAATGAATATTCCCGAGGTTGTCTGGCTCCCCGCTGCAGCGATCATTTTTATCCGTGCTATTAATTACCGTTTGCAGTTAACAACGTAGCAGGTGCACTGTGCTTGTTATGGAAATAACATTGACACACTCAAAAGACACAGCTTAGTATTTTATTTTCTTACACAGGAATTCAATCATTTTCTTTCCCATTATGTATCGATTAATGTCCCTCAGGTTTCATAACTCTTATCTTGTTTATTTTCTTCCTCTATTTTTCCCTATACCTAATCTACTTTCAACAGTACTAATATTTATTGGCCACTATTTTACTACTTTGTTAATTTTTGCAATCTATGCTTAACTTCAAAATGAGTACAGCATGTTGATTAAAAATGAAAAGAATAATCTACAAAATTTCAAATGCCTTCTAATCATAATTATTCCCAATTTTACGACTAGTCGTAAACTATTGTATTCACATGTTTCTACAAATATTTGACCGTGACAAAGAGTTGTATTTAAAATTGTAAGCGAACAAGTCACCTGATCGTCGATAAATATGTATCCCTTTCAAAGAAAAACGGAATAAGAATAGAAAATCGAATTGAATGTATTCCAGAAATTAGATAATCATCGATGATTGAATTTCATTGAATCTATTTTTCTGTTATCTTTCAAACCTTTGTGTTTGTCCATCGCGCACTCTTTTTTGAGACGGTTCTTTGTAAATAAGACGCTTCACCTTTTATTTGAGAAACATCTGGCAAATGTTAACGATATTCAAAAATACGGAGATGAAAAGTGATGATCGAAGAAAATGTTTTAGCATTTGTCGAGACAGGCTTAACATTCATGTTCTGTCGATGTGAAGTCATCCTTGAAATGTACGGAGTCGTGTCACGTTTAGTCCTTGATCATTATTAATAGCAATCTTAAAGAATTGAACAGATCGTACGACAATATCGATTCATTACATGTTATATGAATGAATTTTATACTTAAATTATTTTTACCATAGTTTCCTGGTTTGTTAACCTTTTTAATTAATTCGATTCGATACGTTCTCAAGTTCAAATCTCGAGTCAGCACTTATTTTATGTTAGTCAGCGAAACGTTCCTTTCGACAAATAACTGATAGAATTTTATCGTTCGTTATTTACACAGTTATTGTTCCCGTTTCGAAGACCCCACGATACGATAAACATTTCGCAAAACGTTTATTATATAACGATCGATTTTGCCTTCTCGCTTCAGATAACGACGATAAAATTTCCTTTGCTATTTATGGATTATTAATCGTGGCTGAATATTTTTTCCTATCTCTTTTTGGATTTCAAAATATTTTTATGCGATATCTTGAATACTCGTGGAAACTATTTCAATGCTGATGATTAAAATTGCTTGACAGTAATTTTCTTAAACGCGAAATTAATATGCTTTAACGCTAAATAGCTTAAATTCTACGTTTTAAAATTATTATACCGGTGATATGTTTATCGATAATTGTCTCTAATGCATTCGGTACATTTATGTGCATAAAATTTTTCTATTTTATATCAACCGGTAAATTTCCAAGCACCATTCGTCGAGTCATCGTTAATCCCTTTCAATTTTACTTATAATTTATTTAATCAACTTTTGCTCTAGTTTTATATCAGAATTTGCATATATATTTCTAATTTTGCACGTTTGACAGCTTTAACTTGTCCGATAAATTGGATCAGCATATCATTACGCATGTTAATTTTAGAATGCACTGTATGGAAATAAATCGGGTATCTTCTTCTCATAAAAAGAAACTAAAGAGTAGGAGGCATGACTTGACATTTTATCGATAACTGTCATATGCTCCGAAGTTTAACGTTCGATTAATGATAATTTTCTGATAGCAATCTTTGTGGAAACGAAGGTTCAAGAGCCGAAGGAATACATATTTTTTGAAAAAAGCAAGCGGAAAAATTTGAAGCGCTCGATTCAAATATTCTCAGCTAGTTCGAAGATAGATTTTTGACGCCACTGAGCATGATTAGACGAAGGTTATCGCTATTACATAATCATTCTACGTTGAACGATGATTCTTCTTTTTCGAGCAGCACGTAGTGTCCTGTCATACACCAATTGCAATCTTACTTGACGTGCAATTTATAATAAATAGATTTTTCAAGACGTAGAATTTGCAGGTGCAATTTAATAAAATCTCGAAGAGAATTAATAACGATGAAAATAAACAAAACGTTAAAAATTGAAGCGAATTCCCAATATTAGTGCAGGATATTTTGAAAGTTGACTCGATCAAAAAGTACGATATTAAACGATGTTCTAAAGTTCAATATTCCGAGGACGGTTAGAAAGAAGCGTGGAATTGAAGCACGAGGCACAAAGTCGACCAGTTCGTTCAAGAATTCCAAACTGGAGCAAAAGAACCCTCTCCCGGGGTTCTCAACTTCGCCCGACGTGTACCAAAATATTTTCTGTAACCTGTCGATTCTTTTCAAATAAAATCATTAGCATACACGGCATTTGAAAGAAAACATCGAAAGACAAATTCCGGTAGAAGGTCAACCGCTTAGGGACAAAAGACGGGGGAAAACAAAGTATTCGACAGAAAACAATCGTTTCTAGCTATTTCTGTAACGGATTCCGGTGTATGATGGAAGAATTAAAAATAGGATTAACGCGGTTAGAAAGCGATGAGATATTGAAAATTCCGGTATAAAATACCGACTGGAAAGAATACACACGGTTGTGTTCAAAATATTATTGCAACGATAAAGATTTTTACGAAGATCAAAAAATCAGATCTTAGGTAAACAATCAGATACTAAAAATTCCAGTGGAATACGAACAGATACTATAAACTGACTAGATATAACTGAAGATCGATAGGTGAAGTTTAAAAGTTCTATTCTAACATATACTAGATATTATGATTTTGCAACCGAATATAAACTATACTTTATCTGTACATTAGATATTTTAAGTCTAAAGACTTCAACTACATGCCTATTTATTTTGAATGTAAAAATAAGTCTATTATTATTGCGAGCGTAGTAAAGAATAAATTGATTCGCTATATTCTCGACTATCTCGCATCGTCTAATCAGAACTGCGCAGTACACTTTATCCTTAGCTATTCTAACACGTGTCGAGCCCGTGTGTGTTCAAGAGAAAAATCAATCGCTCTCAACCTCGTTCAAACGTTCTACACATCCTTCACAAAGAAAGAAGAAGAACAGACACGTACAACTTTATATTCACTCGTGACACTGTGGTTTCTCGAACACACCAACTGTAGAACGCCGGTCGTGCTAAAAACTGTGAAACCAGCCACGTACCTTGCTTACGTGTCAGCTCGGCAACGCGCGCGATAAACCTCTTCGAGATCTCGCCCAAACGCCTCGGTCGCGAGTAACGCCGCTATTTATTATTATTCGCAGGTGAAGTAATGCAAAAGATTAGAAAATTCACGCGAGATTCCCTCGTGAATGAAGCTGCACAAACACTGCACGATTCAGGTCAGCTCGTAGTACCTTTATCCTTGCCCCCTCTAGATGCTGCCCCTACCACATGGGCCCCTTTTATCATCTTCGGCTCCCACTCGTCACGCTTGCAGCTATGCTTCGAGAACGGAGAGATGAGAGCACGTTGACCGTGTTCGAGAATACAGTAGACTCGCGTTATATTGGCACCGTTTCTCAAATATGTTGCTACAAGTTTTATGGGGTGTAGAGTGTCGGATAGGGGTGCAGCGATTTGGACGCGTGGCAAATTGGGTTCACGGAGATACGATTTGAATGCATCGGGTTTATGACGATTTGCATACGCGGCTGTGGCGACTTGGCTGTGAGTTGATACAACGCGAGGCGATGCGTGACGATTCAGCGCTGTGATACTTGGCGATTTTGGTGCGTCATTTAAGCGGTGACTCGAGTGACTGGTAATTTGGAGTGATAACTTGGGTATGATGTCACTTGTAAGAGTGACAATTTGAGTGTTCGATCAGTAGCTCTTGGCAATACGAATACTAAAACCACGGTATATCAGTCACCTTAATATTCTCAAACTAAAAGTTAACCTTACCGATCTTCGCGTAGGATAAAAGAAAGCGTTACAAAAACGAAGTGTGTACAAACAGGAAGAAAGAAATATCTCCAGTAAGAAAATAGCGACGTAACCTAGTTTGGCGTCGAGAAGCGGCCAGAAAATCCTATTAAACTGCCGCCCAGGATGAATAGCAATTTCGTGGTTGTCGTTCTGGCGGTAATCGTTCCATTCGCGTCTTATCAGCAAACTATCGACACAATTGTTCGCTCCTATATATATAGAACCAACAGTCGATAAGCAAAAAAACATGCGTGTACTTAGACACGAATCGCATTATCCCTTCTTTCAGCGAGTTATTACTGATATTTCAATATGCAAACGTAAAACAATATATTCTTACTGTTTATTATTTATTATAAAATAAAAACTGTATATTGTCAGATAGTGACATATGTTGTAAAATAAAAAGTTATGTTACAAAATAAAATAAGCGAGTAATTTTAAGAATCTTAAACGTGAAATTCGTGAACGTTTGAATAATGCAGAAGTTCAGAAGCTCTTATTTGTGGAGAATTGTATTCGAACCGTTATCAGTTTTATCCTAATAGATAGAAAGATCTGGAACAGCGTATCCACTTGACGTTATCACACAGTTGCAAGTATTACCCCGAGTCGTTTGAGGAATTATACAATTGGCCGTAATCACGATGACTCGTCGCGTGCACGGACAAATAGAAACTAGAAGCAGTCGACGAAACGCGGTACGAGCTTTAGGTATCCGAAAGAAATCGACCAGCACGAAACAGAGAATTCCACAGAGACGAGGAATCAGGCTGGATTTGAACGTCTCGGGTATTGATCGTACCGGTGCATCATCGCATGCGGAGCTGCATTAGCCGCATGCAACTGCATTCAATGCGAACACGCTGACCGTGGACTATGACCGCAGCCACTGTGAATGCGGCTTTATTATGCATCCGAGGCTTGCTGCAATTCGATGGTTCTCGTGAGACGAGACGCGGATACACGCATCAAGTTACTCGGTGAAAGCTTTGCTTTCTGAATTTCCTCGCTACTCATTGATAATGAAGCAGCGATGGGAATCAGGTGTAATGGCACCGAAATTAGATGCCTCTACAGCCGATGTTTCATGACCACTTAATTCGCATTTGGTTTTAGAATTTCTCCGTTCTTCAGCTACGTTCTTAAATTTATTCTCGAGTCTTAACGTTTCAAATCCCTAAATTATTAACTCTCAAGTTTTACTATTTTTAAAGAATTTTAAGGATTCTCTCAAATTCTCAAATCCTTAAATTCCCAAATCTTGTTACGTACACCGAATTAGATAGTGATACGCGAATTGCACTGTACATGCTTACAGATTGTTCACAAGATTGTTTCGTAATCAACAATTCTTGCGTGTAGGATGCATCATGTTTGTCTTGATGAAATTCTGTATCGTAGATAACATGCTGCAAAACAGATTCACGAGAAATGTGGAGCGAAACTCGTTGAAAAGTGCCAGTCACGATGACAAGGAACATATTTCCCGTTGTATATTTCTATGTCCACAATTTTCTACATAATTATACGCGTACCGATATGACATCTTCGCAACAAATGAAGTATACACATATCACGTTGCATCGAATGTTGCTAATATTTCCAGTGACGGAGTGGGAGTAAATATTAATCAGATATACAGTAGCTCAAAATACTTCTCGTAGGTAAAATCTACCTTCTCGAAATAAATAAACGTTTTATTCTATTAACCGATTACATTTAGACTAACTTACGACAACAAAAAATAGTAAAATATGTACGAGTATATGGCTACACCAGCTGCTATGAACACCGGAAGCCAGGGCGATGTTTCCTGCTTCGGTGGCTCGTATTCCCAGTTGTCGTCGTCTATCGTTGTGTCTTGCACTCCTAATTCAAATGAGAAATAAATCAAAAAGTATGTACTGCGTCGATTGATTCACCAACAAAATTTTAGTTTAAAATTGAAATAACATTTCGAATATAATTATCGAAATATATTTTGTTGCAAAGCAAATTTTAGTGGGAAGAGTTTTACCACGATCTGGAGTGTCCGATTAGTTTAGAAAAGCGTGTTACACGTACCACCGGAAACTGGTGTACTAGTCAGGGGACCGGACACTGTTCCAATTTTATATGTCTCCCGAAGTTGTATAGCCTCGACCGTGTGTCCTATCTCGTCGAAACAAGTTGTAGCATCCTTTCCAGCCAAATTGATTAACACCTCCTCGCCGCCTGGATGTTCCTTCACGAATTTCGTTATATCGTACACGCCATCTTTGTACACGATCCATAGATCCTTCTCGTTGTTGTGTTTGGACACCTCTTCCGCTGTGTACACTTTCGACATTTTCCTTTTAGTTTCTTACGATTCTCAATCTGGAACGTGAAAATAACACTTCTGTTCGCGCATTGTTTCTATAGAATTTTTATTTAGTATCAGTTTTAACGATGGATTTCATTTTCACACTTTCCAAAGTCATTCTTGTAGTCTTTTTAGAACACCGTTTTAATTTCTACAGAAGGAATTTGATTATCGTAGAAAGCGAAGTAGCACTTTCGAATTTGAGATACGATTCGCAGCGATAAGAATTACACTTTAAAATGTTCCAAGCGAATCAAAGACGATCGATCGCAGGAAATTTCGTGAACGTCGACCTCGAACGAGATCTACCGCGTACTCGATCTCGTGACATTGCGCTCGAAAGGGAAAACTACCGATTGAATATACAATTCTGAAACGTACTTTCGATCACGAGGCGAAGAAATACTGCCTCGAATCACAGTCCCTGTTTCCCTCCTCTTTGCTTCGCGTGAAAGTTGCTTTCCCGACTATGTTTCTTCTTCTCCGCGCTATTTTTTTTATTGCTTTTACCCGTCGATGCGATTTGCAGTTGTAACGAAACATTTATCCAAATTATACACATCGTTTCGAACTATTCTACCCATTCTGTGCATGTACGAAATTCGTCATACATTTATAACATTGTTGTAAACGCTATAAATGTATGATCAAAGAACAAAAGACACAAAAATTTAAAGAAAATCAAAATTTAGTTTAGTAAAGTATCGCTGAAACTCACCAGTGTCCTCGAATCTAAGTCGAACTAGATAGAAACGATAGTGTTTGATGCGAATCGAATCAGAACTGAGAATCGACTGATATCACGAATTTTCGTCAGCGGAACTCGCGTCCTTGTCTCTCGATGAAAATTCATAGGCAGCCCGGTTGAACGATAGTCATTTGCACAGAATAGAATTACGTTAACGATCGATAAACTGTCGATGAGTTGCACGTTGTTTCCTTTGCGTCGACGACGTAGTAATAGTCTCATTCTATTTTCCCATTTTAGCTATCTTTTCGATATTTTCTTCAACGTAATTATGAATGTAAATTTATAGAAACTTAGAGCACTGCAATAATTACTAAAATAAATAATAAAATATTGAGAAAATAAGATTTGTTTGTTTCTTGCGCGAAACAAAACTATGGCTGAGGCATAAATGTTCGAAGGATTCGCGAAGAGCAATCCAGTGTGTAGATACAGGGGAATCGATGTGTATGTGGCATTGTGCGGGAAATTGTACTGTTTAATTACGTAGATCAAAGCGAGGGCTGGTTCCATTCATCGCAAGCAGACGACGCTCGTGTCGGTATCGATGGACCGCTTTTGCAGCGAGCTGATTACTCCACGACCTTTCAGTGTCTTTGTAAATGCTTCGAAACGAGAAATTCGTCGGGAAAAATTGCTCATGAATTTCCCGAATTACCTTTGAACGGTGTGAATCACTCGTCGACAATTTTGCTGGCTGGGCTCATTCGATAATTTAAACTGCAAATCGCACGAAATTGCGGATCATTTTTCTCCGTTGGAAATAGCTGCAAACTTGTTACACGCCGCAAGAAACTTGCTCGTTATCACCAAAGCCGCAAACATAAACCATCAACCATACTTCCCTTCGCCAATTATATCTAACACCCTGTCGTTTCTTTCTCCCCTTATCGCCTCAAATAATTACGCTAATTCGAAATCGTGCTTACGTGACGTAACTTTGTTTCGAACTGGTTTCACATCCTCTCGTAGATCCATTAAGATCGGGGCGGCACAAAAAATAAGCTGAAACAAAATCATCTTTGTGGAAGTGTCGTTGTAGCAAAGTTGGATTCGTGCGAGGGTTAATTTTAATTACTGTCACGTTCGCCGACGATATATTTCTTCGGGTGTTGCTACGATAAATGCGTTATTAAAGCGTGCGTTTCTCCGAGGAAAAAGGTGGCGAGCGAGAAAGAAATTGCATGGTGACCGAATGGCTACCTTCACCGGTTTTCAAAGCAACCCTAACTGTCTCTGAGAGCACAATATCTCGGTGAACGAAGGGGTTGGTTGTCAGCTTAAGCAACTCGGGGCACGCAATCCGCTCATTCGCGCCTAACAATCGCTTCGCGTTGAGTTATCGAACGAGAGGGTGATCATGCGATTAAAGTTTCACTTTCTATGTCCGCTCCTTCGACCACTCGTGAAATTACCCTAGAAAATTTTCCCGTTTCTGTCATTGCCGGACAAACTGTTCGTAAATTATTTAATCTCTCTTATTAATCGATCTATTAAACCGATGAAGTAATCTGGAATTTTTTTCTGTTACAGAAAACTGGAGCCAGAATCAAGATCTATTCTCACTGCTGTCCTCACAGTACCGATCGGTTGATCAGCATTTGTGGAAAACCGTCCACATGTATCGACTGCATTCGCGAGCTGATCGCCACCATTAAAACTGTGAGTATAACTTTAGTCCATCCTATGGAACTATATCCAAACTACTTCCAAACATTCCATAACTATAACATGGGTGTTTAATTCGTTACAGTCGCCACTGAAGGGTATGAACAACCCCTACGATCCGCACAACTTCGACGACTTTTACGCCGATGACTATGGCGGTTATGGAAGCGGCGATGGTGGTCAAGGCAAAGGAGGCGGCTTCGGTGGTCCAGGAGGCCGCGGAGGTGGTGGAGGTGGTGGCGGAGGCGGTGGAGGAGGTATGCCACCGAGACGAGACAACCGCGGTGGTGGACCCGGTGACATGAATCGCGGCTTCCCACCTCCACCTAGGGGTGGACCACGTGGAGGAGGTGGTGGCGGTGGTGGAATGTCTGGTGGACCAGCAGACCGTGGCTATGGCGGTAATTCGCGTGGAGGAGGCGGAGGAGGCGGTGGTGGCTACGAAGGTGGACGAGGTGGTTACGGTGGAAACAGGGGTGGACCACCACCTTATGGCGGAGGAAATTATAATGGTAAACATTTATGACAACACTCTGTTGCCTATCCTATCTCCAGATCCTTACATCTAAAGTTATAATTTGTGACGTAGGTGACGGATGGGGAATGCAAGGAGGAGCACCGAACGGTTTAGGCGGAGGTGGAGGTGGTGGAGGAGGTGGTGCAAACTCGGCAATGAGTGGTCCACCGATGACTGGTAACAACCAAGGAAATCAGGGCAATATGGGCAGTAACAAGACCAGTACTCAAGTCACCATTCCGAAAGACGTAAGTTGATAAAATTCTCTTGCTATCTAATATCAAGGCAGAGATCTAATTACCGTTTGGTTAACAGCTTGCGGGGGCCATAATCGGCAAAGGAGGAGCCAGAATCCGGAAAATCAGATCAGACAGCGGTGCTGGAATCACCATAGACGAACCTCTGCCTGGTAGCAACGATCGCATTATCACCATAACCGGGTTACCCAGTCAGATACAAATGGCTCAATACCTGCTTCAGCAGAGGTAATTGTTTATTCGTCCGATATTAATTTTATTCCTAACTGCGTATGCTTGCGCGTCCTTACTAAATTAATCAGACTATCGGTGAAACGATTAACATATTGCAATACGTAATCAAAACATTATAGCAATGATATTTGCGTTCATTGTTAACTTATGTAATGAATTCGATGTATGCGTATAGATGCATTGTATGCGTGTGTATTCAATGTGTGCGTATGGATGTAATGTATACTGCGTCGATACCTTCCAGATTCATGCTTGCGTTGAATTTGTTTATACAAGGTAATACAATTTTAACATAGCCGCTATAAAATAAAAATTTGTATGAAAGACTAACAACCCTGCGAATGGAAGCTTAATCCTTAACAAGTGGCAGTGATTTAATATACTTCTGGATAAGGTGTGCGCGTCTCTAGATAACTAAATGTCTATAGATCTTATAACTAATGAATAATGATAACTTGTACAGATATAATGTTCTTATAGTATCTTTGTTAAAAAATATCTGTCCAAAATGTTTCTTTCTGTTGTACTGTTCGGCAATTGTTAAATTCGATCTGTCAGTCTTACTACTGTGAATGATAACGCGTAATATTATAATTAAAATTCCGCTTGATATTTCGCCGCATCGCATCGACCCATCCTGCACGAAGAACTAATTAACTCGACTAACCAAACCACCGAAGAAAAGGGAGACACAAGGGGTTGCTAAACGAAGGTGGAGGATCAAAGTCAAAGATGGCCCAAGGAGACACACGAAGCTCAGCGTGAGAAAATTGGGAATTAAAATGGAGCGCCGTTGCATGGAAGACTAGTGATTTTGTTGTTCTACTTTCGATATAACAAGGAATCACTAATCATCCTACAAAGGCGCTCACGATCGTCGTCCGCTTCCTCTGAGACCTGCTTCTTTTGGAACTAACATCAATCCTCTTAACAACATCGATACTCTTTTACTGTCGCTTGTGAAATGTCTTATTCCAATGTTGCGTATAAAATCATATGTCTCGACTATTATAAATTCGTTAGGTTTAATGGACGTTCATCAATTAATGGTGAATATGCATGCATTGTTCTGTGAATGTCATGTAACTGAAATTGTACAGTAGGATATTATTAAGGAATTAGTATAAGCAAATATTTCAGAAGATAATATTCTTCTCAGAGGATTCACTTTCCTTTCTTTGTTTCAGCGTGCACGAGAATGCAGACCATTATTAGGACGTGGTAGAAGAAGCATTCAGGGGGAGCCAAAGATGCGTTTGTAATTTTTTTAAGGATACTTCTCCGCAAACGGACAGACATTCGTGCGACAAAGTGGAAAACCGAGACCTTCGATGATACGACGAACTCTTCAGCCGCCGCATCCAAGGAACCACACACACGCGTTCAGAAGCAAAATACTAATTAAAAAAAGCACGCAGTCATTTTTGTAAGCGGTCTCAGACACTCTGCTGCTCTTTCACGTTAACTTTGAACTTGTACGCGAAAAAGACTAGTTGAAGCGATTCAAAGAACTCTTCGTCACACACACAGTTTGTATTCTCTGCTCCACGCTATCGCGGTTAGAACTCATGTCGAAGTGATTCGCGAGAACCTCTTCAAGGTTCCGTGCTTACTAATAGCTGTTCGTGTGAGTGAAGTTCCCGTTTTCAATTCTCTTTGTACTCTGACCAGAGTGAACACAGGATCGTAATAATGTTTAGAAAGGGCTAGTTCGTGTGGAGGAACTGAGTTGCAAATAATACACTCGCCTAATGCAAACCAGTCCCAAAATACTGTTATATCCACGAAAATTTGTTCAAATCGTGTGCACATCTGCGCAATTTCTAACTTGTACAAGTATTTGCTATGCCCTGCGGTTGCGATGGCCTATCCCGAGGGTTGCAAGCTGCGAACAGCACACCCGTTTCTCTCCTTGTACGTAATAGAACTGCGATAAAAAATGAATTTCAGCGTGAAGCGACACGTTTCCATTCGATTTAGTCAACTCGTTCGCGAATCCAGAATCTTCGAATTGGCACTGGAGACAAGAAAGGCCAAAGAGAAAGAAAGTATCGAGGTCGTCCTCGATCTTCGCGCATTTTTTCCCCTGCCTTATTATTAACGTATTTTTCTGCGTTTTTTTTTAATCGTTTTGTATCTCATGCTTTTTTGCCACGGACCAACTTTGATAAGATCGTATATGTATATTTTTTCCCTTTTACCTTCTCACTTGTTCTTGGTCGAACGATTCCTCCGGGTATCAATTTTCGAAGCGCACACGTCGCCTGTATTTTTCTTCGTTCTCGTCGATGCAGAAACCTTCCTGGAACATAATTTTCTTTTCCGTTTATCAGACTTTAAGTAAATACCAGAATCGCTAAAGAATTAATTTCTCTGGACGGTTTCTGTCGATGACGAAAGAGATCGAAGATCGATGAGCTGAAGAATCGGTGGAAAATATGGTTATAAAATCGAAACGAGATACGCCGACAAAATTTGTACATACACGTGTGTAAGAAGTCACAAAAAGATAAAAAAAAAATAGGAGAAGAGAAATCATTGAAAGTATCACTTCCCTTCCCTTAATTGCCACGTGAACCACGTTTCTGCTGCTGCATCATTGATTACTATTATTATTCTTACTATTATTATTATTCTAATTACTATTATTATTATTACTATTGTACGATTATCGATAAGAGTAATTTTGCATTGATTGTAATCCCCCAATACACACCTGAGTCTTTTGTACTAATGATACAAGAAAGAAACAAATACACAGACAGTTTCGTGGAAATGGAGCGCGTAAGCCACGGTTGTCCTTGATAGTTTATCGTGGCGTAGATTGTTAAGAAGTTAAATTAGACACGGTAAAGTGTGTATGAATGAAAGAAGAGGGACATGACACGTGGAATCAAAAGAAAACTTGCAACGAAGTCTGACGCATACACTATGTTTAGAAAGTATATAATTGAAGGCGCCATTTTGGGAGAATGTTAAACTTTAAGAACAATGAACGTATATATAAATATATATATAATATTATATACTGTATTTGCGTACAAAATCTGTTTGTATCTTGTGAAACGATCATTGATGATGAAACAACAGGAGCGAGAGTTTTGTTACCTCTCGAGAACGCGTGTATTCAGTGTTATTAAAGTTTAATGTGGTCGAACATCGAATATCGGACTGAACAATTTGAAAGGGAACACTATAGGGTTTTCGAGAGATTTCTAAGGGTAGTAAATAGTTTGCAACATTCTTTCAAAAATTAAAAATATGCAATCGAATATTAACGTAGAGATTTGTTTCTCCCTTCGAATTTTTTTGCAAGTTAGAAGCGATCTATGGTGTTCTCTTTAAAGGGTTGTTCCACGAGAAGGAGCTTGCGAATTTAACGAGCAGATTAACCGCGAGGATAGAAACGATCCTGCAGTCCAAACTCGTCCACTTTCCCTTTCCTCAACAGCAACGTGACGTATCCAGAGGATCAAACCACAAGATCCTTGTACCCTCTTCTCTGTCCCCCGATGTTGAACTGTCAGTCTCTACAACGGTTTAAAAGCACAGAAACATAAAACCAGGGATCCTACAGTCGTCAGGGTCGATGATTACAAAGGGCATTTTTCTTTTAAAGCATCTCGAACGATGGCGCTCGCCAACCCTTCTCTTTTTAGATTTAACGAAATAAGAACCGTTCTCTTCCTCTCTCTGACGGTCTATTCCCATAACGTTACGTTTATTCCATGATCAAAATAAAAAAGAAAAGGGAATTTCGACGTCCGCGCGTGATCTCGGAATCAGAGAAAAGCGCGTGCATTTCCGTTCGACTAACGACCGATCGTACCGTCTTTTATGGTGCGGAAATTGTTGGAAAATCTTCTTTCCCTTCCGTTATCCACTTTGTAAATTTATTATAGACATAACGCTCGCAGAAGTTAATTTGTTTTAACTTTGGAACAATGGAGGCATGACTGGATCTTCCAAAATTTATTATTGTTCCGAATGAAATACTGTAAATTGTAATACAAAGTTATGATGCATTTCCAAAATTAAAGTATCGATGTATTTTTTGTTAGAAAGGGAAACGAAGTATTTTGTAATAATTCTGACGCCGATTTACGCAATAAGGATTACATGAGAAACATGCAAAACAGAGATACACATACATGCATACATATTATACACACACGAAATTCGTGAGAGAGAAACAGGTGCGTTTTTTCGAATGTATGTGTGCATGATTGTAGAAAGAAAGAGTGAGGGGTAATGGTAGTTTGTAATTGTAATCCACGAAGGATTAAATGAAGGAAAAAGGATGGTGTGTGTGTGGATGTATGTAAGAATGTAACTAGTGCGACTGAATGAGAGAAAGAGACACACAATCTCGCTCGTATCACGATGTGTGTATTATATAAGATATACAGTTTACAATTATTTGTAATGGATACTTTTTATTTGTCAAATAAAAGTTAGTACAAATGAAGGTAAAATCAGAGTTTTGTCATTTATATACCTTACTCCTTTACATATCCCTTCCCAGTTAGCACATACTCTGAATTTAATCTAATTTCGTATCAAAATTGCATATATAATAACTTTCTTATCGTTTAAAAGGTTCATTTCTCATAAAAAATAGAAAAAGTAATTCATTCGAGCATTATTTTAATTAAATAGACTTAATAAATTCAGAGTAATGTGTTAAAAGTATCTCTAAGCGCTTTTCAATTTCAAATTTCCGCGCGCAAATCAAGAACAGTACACGTGGCGCCATCTAGCGGTGACCGCTGGAACTAACAAAACTAAAAATTCCGTTTTTCGGAAAAACTACGCACTTTGGGGCCCAAATAAGACTAGAAATGGAATCTACGATCAAAATACCATAGAAAAAGAGCCACAATATATATCTAAAAGCCCTAGAATCGATAATTAAAATTTAATGCGATTTATGGACCAAAAAATTGCCGTCCATCTAGCGGTGAAAGTTGGAACTAACAAAATCGAAAATTCCATTTTTCGGAAAAACTAGCCACTTCAGGGCTCTAATATGATCAAAAATGTAACCTACGATCAAAATACCATAAGGACAATGCCATAAAATGACTCTAAACACGCTAGAAATAATAATTAAATTTTATGGCATTTCATGGAAAATACTAGTGGCGCCACCTACACAGCGAACAAAGTGAACTACATCCATATAAAACACGCCGCTAGGTGAAATTTCGAACCTTGACACCCGTTGATGCCTAAAAAGTTCGGTGAGCGTTCGAAAAAGTAGCTGGAACTTTAACGGCCATTTTTCGACTTTAACCCCATGCGCAGTCCTAACCGGTTAGAGTTAGGGCTGCGCAGTAAGTTTCCGAAAAAGAGGATTAACCCAGAAAAGCTAAAAAAGCCCGAATTTAATGAATATATAATTAGTTTTTAAATCGGAGCACTTTTTATTTTTTAAAAAATTTCCTGGGCAGAATCCTGGATGGTCCCATGAAACCGCCGGTGCCCAAAAAGTTCGGTGTGCGCTCGAAAAAGTAGCTGGAACTTTAACGGCCAATTTTCGACTTTAACCCCATGCGCAGTCCTAACCGGTTAGAGTTAGGGCTGCGCAGTAAGTTTCCGAAAAAGAGGATTAACCCAGAAAAGCTAAAAAAGCCCGAATTTAATGAATATATAATTAGTTTTTAAATCGGAGCACTTTTTATTTTTTAAAAAATTTCCTGGGCAGAATCCTGGATGGTCCCATGAAACCGCCGGTGCCCAAAAAGTTCGGTGTGCGCTCGAAAAAGTAGCTGGAACTTTAACGGCCAATTTTCGACTTTAACCCCATGCGCAGTCCTAACCGGTTAGAGTTAGGGCTGCGCAGTAAGTTTCCGAAAAAGAGGATTAACCCAGAAAAGCTAAAAAAGCCCGAATTTAATGAATATATAATTAGTTTTTAAATCGGAGCACTTTTTATTTTTTAAAAAATTTCCTGGGCAGAATCCTGGATGGTCCCATGAAACCGCCGGTGCCCAAAAAGTTCGGTGTGCGCTCGAAAAAGTAGCTGGAACTTTAACGGCCAATTTTCGACTTTAACCCCATGCGCAGTCCTAACCGGTTAGAGTTAGGGCTGCGCAGTAAGTTTCCGAAAAAGAGGATTAACCCAGAAAAGCTAAAAAAGCCCGAATTTAATGAATATATAATTAGTTTTTAAATCGGAGCACTTTTTATTTTTTAAAAAATTTCCTGGGCAGAATCCTGGATGGTCCCATGAAACCGCCGGTGCCCAAAAAGTTCGGTGTGCGCTCGAAAAAGTAGCTGGAACTTTAACGGCCAATTTTCGACTTTAACCCCATGCGCAGTCCTAACCGGTTAGAGTTAGGGCTGCGCAGTAAGTTTCCGAAAAAGAGGATTAACCCAGAAAAGCTAAAAAAGCCCGAATTTAATGAATATATAATTAGTTTTTAAATCGGAGCACTTTTTATTTTTTAAAAAATTTCCTGGGCAGAATCCTGGATGGTCCCATGAAACCGCCGGTGCCCAAAAAGTTCGGTGTGCGCTCGAAAAAGTAGCTGGAACTTTAACGGCCAATTTTCGACTTTAACCCCATGCGCAGTCCTAACCGGTTAGAGTTAGGGCTGCGCAGTAAGTTTCCGAAAAAGAGGATTAACCCAGAAAAGCTAAAAAAGCCCGAATTTAATGAATATATAATTAGTTTTTAAATCGGAGCACTTTTTATTTTTTAAAAAATTTCCTGGGCAGAATCCTGGATGGTCCCATGAAACCGCCGGTGCCCAAAAAGTTCGGTGTGCGCTCGAAAAAGTAGCTGGAACTTTAACGGCCAATTTTCGACTTTAACCCCATGCGCAGTCCTAACCGGTTAGAGTTAGGGCTGCGCAGTAAGTTTCCGAAAAAGAGGATTAACCCAGAAAAGCTAAAAAAGCCCGAATTTAATGAATATATAATTAGTTTTTAAATCGGAGCACTTTTTATTTTTTAAAAAATTTCCTGGGCAGAATCCTGGATGGTCCCATGAAACCGCCGGTGCCCAAAAAGTTCGGTGTGCGCTCGAAAAAGTAGCTGGAACTTTAACGGCCAATTTTCGACTTTAACCCCATGCGCAGTCCTAACCGGTTAGAGTTAGGGCTGCGCAGTAAGTTTCCGAAAAAGAGGATTAACCCAGAAAAGCTAAAAAAGCCCGAATTTAATGAATATATAATTAGTTTTTAAATCGGAGCACTTTTTATTTTTTAAAAAATTTCCTGGGCAGAATCCTGGATGGTCCCATGAAACCGCCGGTGCCCAAAAAGTTCGGTGTGCGCTCGAAAAAGTAGCTGGAACTTTAACGGCCAATTTTCGACTTTAACCCCATGCGCAGTCCTAACCGGTTAGAGTTAGGGCTGCGCAGTAAGTTTCCGAAAAAGAGGATTAACCCAGAAAAGCTAAAAAAGCCCGAATTTAATGAATATATAATTAGTTTTTAAATCGGAGCACTTTTTATTTTTTAAAAAATTTCCTGGGCAGAATCCTGGATGGTCCCATGAAACCGCCGGTGCCCAAAAAGTTCGGTGTGCGCTCGAAAAAGTAGCTGGAACTTTAACGGCCAATTTTCGACTTTAACCCCATGCGCAGTCCTAACCGGTTAGAGTTAGGGCTGCGCAGTAAGTTTCCGAAAAAGAGGATTAACCCAGAAAAGCTAAAAAAGCCCGAATTTAATGAATATATAATTAGTTTTTAAATCGGAGCACTTTTTATTTTTTAAAAAATTTCCTGGGCAGAATCCTGGATGGTCCCATGAAACCGCCGGTGCCCAAAAAGTTCGGTGTGCGCTCGAAAAAGTAGCTGGAACTTTAACGGCCAATTTTCGACTTTAACCCCATGCGCAGTCCTAACCGGTTAGAGTTAGGGCTGCGCAGTAAGTTTCCGAAAAAGAGGATTAACCCAGAAAAGCTAAAAAAGCCCGAATTTAATGAATATATAATTAGTTTTTAAATCGGAGCACTTTTTATTTTTTAAAAAATTTCCTGGGCAGAATCCTGGATGGTCCCATGAAACCGCCGGTGCCCAAAAAGTTCGGTGTGCGCTCGAAAAAGTAGCTGGAACTTTAACGGCCAATTTTCGACTTTAACCCCATGCGCAGTCCTAACCGGTTAGAGTTAGGGCTGCGCAGTAAGTTTCCGAAAAAGAGGATTAACCCAGAAAAGCTAAAAAAGCCCGAATTTAATGAATATATAATTAGTTTTTAAATCGGAGCACTTTTTATTTTTTAAAAAATTTCCTGGGCAGAATCCTGGATGGTCCCATGAAACCGCCGGTGCCCAAAAAGTTCGGTGTGCGCTCGAAAAAGTAGCTGGAACTTTAACGGCCATTTTTCGACTTTAACCCCATGCGCAGTCCTAACCGGTTAGAGTTAGGGCTGCGCAGTAAGTTTCCGAAAAAGAGGATTAACCCAGAAAAGCTAAAAAAGCCCGAATTTAATGAATATATAATTAGTTTTTAAATCGGAGCATTTTTTATTTTTTAAAAAATTTCTGTGACTTTTCTGGAATGTATATTGAATGTGGCGCCATCTAGCGGCGATAGTTGGGCTCACCCGACCCCATTTTGGATTTTAGTTCGGGTGTTTTGCCGCTAGATGGCGCTGACAAAAAGCCCATAAAATGCATTAATTTTCAATTTCGATTCTAGGGCTTTTAGACACATATTACGGTACCAGTCTTATGGTATTCTGATCGTAGATTACGTTTCTGATCGTATTACAGCCCTGAAATGGCTGGTTTTTCCGAAAAACAGATTTTTCTGTTTTGTTAGTTCCAATTTTCACCGCTAGATGGACGGCAATTTTTTGGTCCATAAATCGTATTAAATTTTAAATATCAATTCTAAGGCTGTTAGACACATATTACGGCACTTTTCCTATGGCATTTTGATCGTAGATTCCATTTCTGGTCTTATTTGGGCTCCAAAATGCGTAGTTTTTCCAAAAAACGGAATTTTTTATTTTGTTAGTTCCAGCGTTCACCGCTAGATGGCGCCACGTGTACTATTCTTGATTTACGCGCGGACATTTGAAATTGAAAAGGACGCAAAAGTAATATTATCACATTTTTCTTACTTAATTAATAAAATAAATAGAGCAATGAAAATGTAATATCTTTAGGTGTAAGTTAGGAGTCTTTCTTATTATTTAATGGTATTAATATTTAATATTTAATGATATTTCTTACATGTGCTTCCTAAGCAGCAATGTGTATGCTTCGGAGTGGTTCTAATTTTGGTGGGGCTGTTAAATGAATACACTATGTTAGTAATATATTTTATATTTATTTTATCATTTATATACAACTTGCAGATACCACGAGAATATACATTTCTCTTACAAACCAATTATTATCACATATTTACAATAATTCTACATGCTACATGTCGTGTATCTGTACTTCTCTTACAGTCTCGCTTGGCGGCAATATAACGCGAGTCTACTGTATTTCGTGGGTGGTACGTATTATTTTGTAATCGCCGAGGAATCTGCCACGGCGCCATTGTGATCTGGAACATCGAAATGACAAAAACAACTTTCACCCTTCGCCTGGAACACGTCGATTTTCGTTTTGGCCTCGTTCCAAAGCTGGAGGTCATCACGAACATCACGAGAGTCTAGTCAGCGACCTTTCTCAATGAGAATTTAATAATGGCACAGTAGTTCTCGTTTAATATTTGTCAAAGCGTTCAACAAACACCTACTTGACGAAATTAAAAATCGACCTACCCCAGTTCATTGTTTAAAATTTATTATTCGAAGTTGAAAAATTCCCGCATTTGGTGAAATGACGTGAGGGGATTAAGAGATCAAGAAGAGCACAATGTTTGGAAAGTTAGAATTCTGAAAGCGCGTCGTTGATTGACAAAAGGTATATCAATTTCAATAGGACATTGCGAAAGGAGAATCAACTATTCAAATAAAGAATAGCTTGCTTCGACAATGTAGCTGTTCGAGTCGATGCATAATTTCTTCTTGATATCTTATTTCGAACGATCAACGCCTCCGCACGTCCAACTTATACAATTCGAAACTATTATCCTAATGTGTAATACATGACACACCACGTGCGTCTTACAATAGCATAACAATGATACATTTATACGCGACTTGTAAAGAAACGTACATTATCCATCATGATTATCAAAGACCTAAATGTAGAAGTATAGAAAGTACAGTGGCCTGGGTTTTACTTTCGTGTACCCTTACGAAGCTTCTCGATGGATAGTGTTTGCGTTTCTCACGTAACTGGACGCTGCGAGAGGATCGTCCTTTCGCCGATGAATTGCGCGAGGATTTACAAGAAAATCCGGGGTACGGTTGCTTTCACGCAGAAAACGGTACCGTTCCCGTGGTGCGGAATGCACGGCCTAATATCGGGTGACCCGGAAAGATAAATTATCCTCTAACAATTTTATTGCGCTCGTTTTCGTTTCACAGCCTTTATTTTACCAGGCACATTATCCTAAGATCCGAAATTTGCATATTTGTCCAATTTTAAATTTGTAAATTTGATCACAAGTTTGGACAATTGACTCATCGGCACAATTTTAATACAGAAGATTCTTTACAAGATAAATCTGACGCAACTGTAAGGTAGAAATATTTGGAATCTACGTGAAAGTGTCATCCGACAGATTACATAACTGTCCGTTCGTTTTCCTTGCGTTCGTGGACACGCAGAGAAAAAGGAAAAGACGAAGTTTAATGAAAAGTGATCGATAAAGAGTAGAAAGTTCCATTAAACTGATACAAAGTACCAGAAGAGAAAAGAAAGTCGAATAAATCTTTGGAAGAGGATCCTTCGAACTCCGCGTTCATTCATTATACAGTGTACTAGCCGTGTTTTATATCGTACGTTTAGTGAAACGAAAACGGTAGCGATTGCATGAATCATTTGCGTTACCAATTTATTACCTCCATGGACATTTCAATTGCTATTAAACGTCGAAAGTTGAGGCACGATTATAATTAACGAGGACATTTCGTTATAACTCTATCTCTTGAATGTAAAAGATGAACGTGCCTCATCCTCTTAATGATTTTAACGCTTAACGAACAACTTTTTTCTCTTTCTCGGTTCAAGCGAATTAAAACGACAAAATCTTAATCAAATCTTAAGTGTACGCAGCAAACTGTTATTACAATTCATTATAATTGAAACTTATACTATTGTATTATCATAATTTGTATAGAATGTAAACTTGCAAGTAACCGAAGAAAGAGGAATGGAAGAAAGTCGAAAGGAAAGAGAAAGGTAGAGTCGCAGGACTCGTGTGCAAGAACGGAGGCAATGTCATCGAACTTGCATAATGTGTCCTCTTTCTTCAATTACACGCACCGATGTGCCGATGCAGCGTGCATTTAGGTCAGTGATACCGGTATTCCGAGAGACCTTTGCTCCTACGACGGATATGGAAGATGGAAATGACGCTGGAGGACACACCGCATTGTCGCGTCACTTTCCTTCTACGCCCAGAAAGAATGTGGGATGCTGTTGCTTTAAACGCTGTTACAATTCATTCTCCATCTATTGCCTATCTATCAATTACTTCGCAATCATCATTTTTTAATATTCTTTGTTACCGAGTACAATCTAATTTCCTATACTTTTACTTTTCGTATGCATGTTCGTTGTTATACTCGCATTAATAGTTACACACACCTCATCGCCTACCCTACTGGCTCTATTGTTCTAATTAACGCAACATTTAGTAACGCATTACTATTTCACTATTCTCTACAATTTAACCATACAATACATTCAATATATCCATACAATACATTCACTACTGTTTACAACATAACACATATCCTCATATGTACAAATTGTATTATACATTATTGGTATTGTTAAAATTCAGTACATTTTCTACATATAATATTATTAGCATGTTTTATAATTATGATACTGTTCAGACGTTTTACAATTGTGATACTCCTAGGACGTTTTACAAATGTGATACATGTGAGACGTTTTACAAATGTGATACACGTAAGGCACTTTATAGCTACGGTTAAGGGAAATAATTTGAGAGGTCATTTATCGCAAAAGTACGTGGCATAATTCAGTCCGTAAAGAGGCGACGCATCTGCCGTATTCAGGTATCGAATTCCATCAGAAAGTCGCAGTTGGTTGCAATTAAAATGGAAAGTAGAGCGGTCCGATAAGTTCTCCGAGGCGTCGAGATGGTACACGGTATATGTATGTATACGGGTAACGCTATTGCGTGCGTCGACATCGATTTCCTTTCGATCCACTTGGCGTCCTATCGCTCCTGTACTTCCACTCGCGAACTTGCCGATCTACGCGCCGAAACAGGCGTACTCGTCCCACGATCGTTGCGACTGATCTGACATTTATTGCACGTTTGCCTCTACGCCTTACACGACCCAACTACTTGCTCTATTACCGGCTGCATAATTTTAGCCTAGATCCTTTCTGAAACAAAAAAGTACGCAATTAGTCCATGATTATCTGGATAACGTGTCGATAGTTTTACATGGGACAAACATTCTTCAAATATTGTCAAACATTCATCAAATATTATTCATACATTGTCATACGTTCATTGACTATAATCGACAGAATGCATAAGACATTAATAATAAGTATAATAAGATGTAGAAAATGTATAAGATATTCTTTCAAGATCATACGTTGTTCAAACATTGTCAAACACTGTTCGATCATTATTAAGCATTCATAATTGTCATACACTTAAGCAGCATTAAACATGATGAAACATTATAATACACATTGTTCAAACATTGCGCAAACATCTCTCAACATTGCCATACATTGTTGAACATTGTAGAACAGTATCGAGCATCATAAAACCTAAGTGAAACATTGCTCAAACATCACTAAACATTGCCATACATTGTTTGAACATTGTAAAACAGTATCGAGCATCATAAATCCTAAGTGAAACATTGCTCAGACATCACTAAACATTGCCATACATTGTTGAACATTGTAAAACAGTATCGAGCATCATAAAACCTAAGTGAAACATTGCAAAACGCTGTTCAAACACTATCAAACATTATTCGTGAGTTATGAAATATTGATACATTATGAAACATTGAAACAGTATAAAACATCATGAAAGGAGGTAAAAATTGGGGTCCCAGGGATGGCGGTACAGTGGTTGGGGCCCCGGGTGAGAGGTGGAAAGCGAGAAGAAAGGTAAGAGGAACCCGTTGATCCCTTCCATGGGTCTTCGGGAGAAGAAGACTCGGGAGGAGATCGGTTAGCTCCCAGTGCATCGGCTGCTTCAGGCTGGCCGGAACGTTCGGTGTCGAACAGCTCGTCGAGACTAATGCAACGTGCAACAACATGCCGATCAGCCTGCGTACTTTGTGTAAGTGTCATCGAGATATCGTTCGTGTTTCGAATTTCCTTCATGTATCGTGGTTCGAGGCCGATCTTCTCGTCTGTCTGCGGATCGGCTTACGTGATACGCAGGTAGGAAATGACCCGTTCCTAGAAATCGTTTGAAAGATCGACGCGCTCGAATGTGGATCGATGTGGGTCATTTCGATCGTATCGGATGATTCGAAAGGAGAAAATGACCGGTGATAGTGATTCGAGCGATAGGGAGATCGCTGGCTTAGTGTGGTGCTGTTTTATCCTTTCTTGTGATTTTTATGGTGGTCAGAGGATGTAGAGTAAAGGACACAAGTGACTCCACTAATGATATGTAAATTATAGATTACAATACACGTTGACGTTCCATAAACAACATATAAATAGTTTACTGAATTCGGAATATGTAAAATGTGCAAAATGTAGTACTTTTAATTATACACATGTATCGACTTCCCACAGATAAGGAACAAGTAATAAGTTTAAATAAATTGCAGTTATTTAATAATGATATTAAAATATTCTGTGAGATATTTTATATTTCGAATATTCTTTTTAAAGTTACTGCACATGTTTCATTCAGAATTTTGATTCTATTAAAAACAATGAAGTACCACATGAAACACGAAATAATGAAATGTTTTATTTTAAATTAGAAGTATATCAAAAATAGTTTTGATATGAAAACGAAGAGCATTCTTTAGTAAATGTTTTGTTGAGAAGTTGAATTTATGAAGTTAAATTGTATAAACATCGTTTCGAGAAAAGGATCAAGGTTACATTGCCACAACTTTTTACAGTTGAAGAAATGACAGATCGCGCCATAAAGGACCGATCGCAAAACAATCGGTTCGGTATTGTAAGCGGAATGTGGGAGTGATTTATTTCGTTTGACGAGTTTAGAGCTGGAGATAGATTGAATGGACTCGCGAGGTGATTGATGTCGCCTCTATAGCGTGTAATGAACCGCGAAGCATTTGATTTATCTACAATAATGTACGAAACGACGTCGTTCCCCAGAAATGTTTCTAATGAACTTACAACCGTAGGTTAAAAAAGTCCGACTTTTCCACATTACGTTCGATGTTCGAAATGTAAAAGCCATTGAATGAGTGCTTCGTTAGCAGTGTTCCATATTTACTTTACTAAATTTGTATATTTTTAAATTGCGAACTCTGAAGCTTTGAGCACCTCAAAATTATCTCGAGATTTTGCACCATTCACCAAAGTTTTTTATTCCTTATTTGCAATTTGCAATGATTTTATATGAAAAATTTTGCCTCAGTTTTCATTTCTTAAATTTTCCAATCTCTCACTCCCACAATTCCCTAAATAATTTTAACCTAATTTTAACACAAACGAGTAACAATCGATAACTTCTGGAATTGCGGAATCGTCATTAATAACTAGTAATTAACACTCACGATGGAAGCGAGATAGTGTCGCGTTGCAGGAACTCGCAAATACGTTCTCACGTTTTTATTCCTGGCACAATGAAATTCATTTATTGTTTCGCGAGACTGCAATTCATTGACGAAGTAAATCTTACTTTCAAATCCCGATACTGAAAATTGTACAATTTAGATAGCAATATCCGAGGCGATTGATTTCTATAATTTACTACGTGATGCACTATTGAAAAAGATCATTTAACTAGCGACTGTTACGGAGATGAAAAATCGCATGGTCTATCACGATCGGTATGTCTCGGTTTCCATGGCTACCCAACTTCATGACCTTTCTTCGGTGCATCTTTTTAATGTCAGCAACGATAGCAAATACACTTACTTTTACTCTTTTGTGCGATGAAATCGACGTATTGGAACTCGTGGAACTCAGATTCCGGTTGATAATTGCCTCTCCCGTCCCGTTATCTCAATGACATCGCTATACTTTTAATTAGTTTAAGTACATTCGAAAGTACATTCAATTGTATCTATCTTATTCAGCAATGTTGCAATTCGCTTTCTGGTAAATTATACTGGGAACTTCCTGAAAATATGATCGTACGAATTGTTATCATCTTTCGATTCGTTTCATCTACTAACATTTTTCCATCTTATTTATCAATTTTTCTTTAATTTTCATTCTTTCGGGTTTCACAATTTTTTCTGGCATTCAGGTCTTTCAATTTTTCGAATTCATGTAAATCATCCACTTCATTCACGTGTTCTGATTTTGTCAACTCTTCTCCTAGTTCGTTCAACTTAATTTGTATTCGACGACGTCACAGAGCCTTCTATGCGAAATCACGTAGAAGATCCGTTGGGAATCCTCGTTCTTAGGAAAGGTATCGTTAATGGAAAACGAAGTGGAAGCAAGAAAACACGTATTCGAGCAAGATCATCGATCGACTGGCGCAAAATTTCGTCATCCGGAATAGTTGCGTTAACATCGTGCGTTAGAGAAGCACTCGTTACTGGATATTTAACGTTCGCAGTTAACGCAACATGGAGCAAATATAAGTTGTGTCGAAAGGGATTCTAGCTGGAGAATTACGCAAAACGAGGAAACAAGAAAAAGAACGGAACCTAACCATTAGAAGCACGGTAGCTCCCCTTGATGTTACCATAAACGAGGGATTAGTATCTTGAACGACATAATCACACGTTTCGCGGCGAAATTAAGAGATGCATCCCGACAGATAATTCTAGTTGAAGACTTCATCGTTGCATGAAAGTGAAATTAGAACTGGGTTATAGTTGCGGGGAGAAGTTAGTGAGTAAAATTTCCTAAGGTTGCAACTTCTCAAACACAAATTTTTAAATTTCCCAATTTCTCAAGCTTCAAACTTCTCAATCCCAAATTTACCAATTTCCGAATTTTCCAAGCTTCTAACTTCTCAAGCTCAAATTTCCCAAGCTTGCAACTTCTCAAGCCCAAATTTTCAAATTTCCCAAGCTTCCAAATTCTCAAGCTCACATTTCCCAATTTCCCAATTTCCCAAGCTTCCAACTTCTCAAGCCCAAATTTTCAAATTTCCCAATTTCCCAAGCTTGTTGCGGGGAGAAGTTAGTGAGTAAAATTTCCTAAGGTTGCAACTTCTCAAACACAAATTTTTAAATTTCCCAATTTCTCAAGCTTCAAACTTCTCAATCCCAAATTTACCAATTTCCGAATTTTCCAAGCTTCTAACTTCTCAAGCTCAAATTTCCCAAGCTTCCAACTTCTCAAGCCCAAATTTCCCAATTTCCCATGCTTCCAAATTCTCAAGCCCAAATTTCTAAGTTAGTGAGTAAAATTTCCTAAGGTTGCAACTTCTCAAACACAAATTTTTAAATTTCCCAATTTCTCAAGCTTCAAACTTCTCAATCCCAAATTTACCAATTTCCGAATTTTCCAAGCTTCTAACTTCTCAAGCTCAAATTTCCCAAGCTTCCAACTTCTCAAGCCCAAATTTCCCAATTTCCCAAGCTTCCATCTTCTCAAGCCCAAATTTCCCAATTTCCCAAGCTTCCATCTCAAGTCCCTAATTTCCTTTCTAAATTTCCCAAATGCTCCCTAAATTTTTCAAACTGAATCTCGCAGCTTCTCCAGTCCCTCCCCAATTCCCCATTCCCGAACTTCCCAACTTTCGATCCCCGAATTTCGCAACATGTTTGCGAACAAATAAATAAATATGTGGAGTTATACATTGGCAATTTCGCGCGTCAACTTTCCAATCCCCATTACGTATGCGCAACCGCAAAGTCAAAGTACTTGCGTATCTCGTAACAGACAAATAACTGATCGAACCACCGATCGAATCTCTAATTAGCATCTTTCTATTTGCAACAAAACGTTTCCTCGTTCGATTTTCATCGGCTATTCGATCGTTACAAGCCCCGATAGCATAAAACACGCGGAAACGAGCGAAACAATGGTCTCACGATCCAGTTACGAACATCCATCAAGTTCGAAAGCGGATGGGTTCGTGACTTGTCGATGCTTCTACGATCGCGCAAACATAAATCGAATATTTTGGGTACAAATCTATTGTATCTTTCGAGGAACATAATCGATGACTAACTCGAGCAATTTTGCCGTTTACCATTCATTAACGCCTTTCGTGATGTGCTCTCGCTACTTGGGACGTGCTAACTGATCGTGACGACTGAATCGCTGTTTAGAAATCAAAGGCAATCTCGAGATCTTGGTACACTGATCTTGGTCGAGGTAGTCTTGTATTTGAGATACAGTTTCGGGGATAGTTTAGAATTTCTGAGAGTTGCAAGATTCACTTAAAATACATCTATGTAACACATGTGTGTCCAATTAACAGAACGATACAAAATATGAAACACAAATTACCAACAACTCACATTTTATAAAATGTAAGACCTGACCAACCATTGTTAATAATTGCAGGGTTAAATTAATAAAAAAGAAGATTAAGACACCCATTCCCAATTAAGAAGAATTCATCAAGTATAATTGCGAGTGCTTTGAAATAATCTGTGGCTTGATAAATTGAACGTGGGCACTCCTTTTTGCGCAGGTCTCGTGACGCTGGTCTTGTGTAACATACCCGACAGTCTTGAACATGAAATTCCAAGGAGGAGCTTCCTGTCACGAAGAGCCATCGATGGAACCAGAGGAAGGTGTGTTCTCTTCTTTCACGATTCGTGGTCGCGTACATACACGGTATATGCAAGTATCGATGTCGTTTGCAGGAAGTACTTCGATCCGGAAGAAGAGGGAGCCTTTGACAGTTATGGATCTGCCGGTGGCCAGTACGATCCTTACGAAGAGAAAACAGGTAAAACGTGAATTTTTTTACACTGGAAAACGGGATATTTTGTTGCTGATTTTAATGAGACGAAATATGAAATGGTTAGGTTATGTATAGGTTATATATCAGAATTGAATAGAATTGTATTTTTGAGCCAGGATTTAAATTCGTTGCGTGAAGAAGCAGATGTTATCTCTTGGTAAGGTGTGAAGTGATGTTCCCACACTTTTTAGGGTTAAATCTTTTGAGGAACTTTTTTGGTGGCTGCTGAATCGTGGTATTATTAAAGAATTTTTATGTGAAGAAAATTTAAAAAAGAGACATTTGTTTATTTCTGTTAGCTTACGACCTATGCCAGGTATTCTCATCTAACGTTTGATTAATTGCTCGTCAGAATAAATCGAAGATCCAGGTGTCTCCTTGGAATTACTTTCTTCTTATTGTCCCAGTAGTAAGATGATTAAACGCGGATGACTATTTCCATCCCAAGTAATCGCGTAAACCGGTAGAAATGGTGTCAACGCGTGGCTAATTATAGGCAAGATGAATAATCTCGTGTTTAACCATTAGCGCATTGCTCATTAGCATATTATCTTTTTCACAATTTTATCGAAACCTCCGTTCCTTTCAGACGATCGGTATTATTAATTGCAAACTGTACAAACAAAATTGTACGCCATCGATCATACAATTTTTTCCATAATTTCACTTCTTCGAATTTTTTAATAAAAATTTGGTCTTCAACCTTTAACTCTTTCTACGAAGATCTCTCTTTTAACGAAGATCGTATCTCTCTTTTTTTTCTTCGAGAACAGACCTTTATTATTAAGTGTGTGAAAGGCGATCGCAAATAAAAATCGATGGAATAGGTCGCGTGAAGTACTCTGTAAATTACGAGATACGTCGAGAAATCACGTGCAGCATCGTTTAAATGTCACAAACGCGTGATTATCCTGACGAGTTCTTTTTTACGACCTTGGATACGACGATCGTTGCGGCTTTTAATCCGTTGCATACTTTTCATTCTTCAATGTAAATTACTATCGATCGATTCTCTTTTCCTGCGATTTTATTGTACTCGCATTTATTACATTTATGTCCACGTTCCATTCGCGAACAAAATTTAAAAAATACACCTCTTAAAAATATTTTTCAAGTCGTGAAGAATTGATTAATGTGGAAATAGCAGTATAACAGAGCAATATTGTTCAAGTTACACAATGTTCATTCTTGAGAGTTCAGTATAATACATACGATCCATGATATTTGTTTAATGTCATAAGAATCTATGGGGCCTTGAGTGAGTATTATGCACGGTTTTGAGCGGCCATACAATGCGATGCTCGTTAGCAATGAATCAGATTGAAAGCCAGTAGCCTGTTCCGATGATGATGCCTGTCTTTCAGATTTTATTTAAGAAACGTGACTAATATGAAAGGATTACGTCGATGGATGTAACGTTTAATCTTTCAATCACCTTCCTACATATGTTACGGCCAAGGTATCCTACGTATCGATATCGATACTGCATTTTGTAAGCGTTCACAATTTTTATATCGCCCTGACACACGAGTTAATTTAAATGAAATTTGAATTTCTTTTTGAAATTTGGGTTCTGTCTGGTTGCAGATCTGTCGGACATTAGAAGGAACGTGCCAGGAGAGCCAGGCGTTGATTACCCAGCGTACACGACGCTGCCGCAGACGGGATTCACGTGCGAGGGACGTTCACGAGGTGAATGAGACGACACTCGATTGAATCATAATCGAGTAACTTACCTTTTAACCCGATTTCACCGCGAACATTCTGCTCGGAACGAAATTCCGTCGCCTAGTCATCTTCGAGATTGAGTAATAGTTGGCTTTTCACACGACCATCGGTGACCGGTTGATCTTAGGCGACCGAAAGCCTTTTAATCTGACTGTCTCGAAACGCTGTACATACATATTTCATGGGTTTGATAAATTATTGATGTCCTAATATAATAGACACGTACTTAATTACAGACGATAAAGGAATTTCATTAGCTCGGGTGTTGAAGGTGTTAGATGATTTTAACCTTCGTTAAACAATTTTGAGTTTACAAAAATTTCAATTCTCCGAAGTGTTCGGATACGAATTTTCCTCTTTTCAAAGCTACCAATTCGTAATTTTCAACTTGGAACTTCCACAAAATTTCAACGTCGAATTTCCCAATTTCCAAATTTCCAAAAAATCGAAGTTGCAGTAAGATAAATCCATGTATGTCGTAACGGATTAAGAACTCGTTAAATTTGAATGAAAGCCGAGTTCTCCGGTCACGCATCGATCAACGTGTTTCGTTTCGCACTTTTCCACCTTTAGCATCGATGTCAAGGATGATTCACATGCACGCGAGGATCAGCACGTGCAGCCTGTGAAATTGACTCGCAACATTTTCTTCGATTTCGCAATAGGTCACCGCTATTCTGTTCGCTATCGGACTACGGATGTGTGTGCCATCTTGTCGCAAACATTCCGCAAAAATGTTTGCTCGTGTAATTTTCACTCTGGAAAGGTAAACGCCACTCAACGTGTTTATTCTCCTTTGGACTTTCCGCGGATTCTCGCCGTCAACTCTTCCTTGTTGCGAAAACGTTTCTTCGATTTTCTTCGATCAGCTGATTACTAGTCCCTTCGCGGTCGAAAGAGGAAATGAACTTGTCAGTGAAAGAACATGGAGATCTGGATATTTGGGGATATAGAAACATTTGGGTGTGCAAAGGGTTGTGAAGGGTAAACCTTGCCAACGGAAGGGTTGTGAAGGATCTAGAGATATTGAGAGCATAGAAAATTTGGGTCCACAAATCTGGAGATGTAGGAACCTGAAAATGTAAGAGTTTGGGGATTCAGAAAATGGGGAATGTAGAATGAGAATGGAGGGATTTGGGATATAGAAAGATCTCTATGACAATAAACTTAACGATTCATTAGCGCAATCGTTAATAAGCGTCTCTATTGCGAAAGACTCATTAGATTTCGTTCGGTACGACCAGTCGTGACATAATTGCTGCGGTCACAAAATGAATCGAAGGAATGACGTTATTTAACGAGAAGAATTCAAGCGGGTTCTATAATAGTGATCGGTCGAAAGAAAGTTCAGCCTCCACTGGTTGTTACGGTTTCTTTATTGAGCAACATCCTGATAATGTTGTACACTTACGATGCTTGGAAACATCAGAATGTCGGCGAAAGCGGACTAACAATAAGATAAAGGCCAGCCAGATTATTCGAACGATTCTGACGAGAAGCAATCGCTATTCAGAAGCTTGTCTATTATTCAGACTACAAATTGACGATGTTAGATTCTTTTCTGATGAACAAGATGGATTCTGCGAGTAACTTGTTTGAACTATCGATTTAAGAGCAGCACGAATATACTTAAAATACTCTTTCAATTTCCTCTCATAATTTTATAATTTTCACTCGAATTAATTCGAGCGATGAACCGAGAGATGCATTTAATTTGCTAATTGGGCGTCCAGCAGGCGACACCTAGTTTCTTACTGAATGGAATTGTGCCAGGTAACCGTGTCACGCCGTTCCCGCGATGAAAGTGGTTTAATTGAAATTTCCAAGTACTCCGCAACGATCGAATCGAGTCGATTAGCTGCGAATCATCTTTTGCGCCCCACTTGAAAGCTCGCGGAAGAAACTGAGCTATTAGATAATCCGAAAGGAGAGAGACACCGGTCGGCCATAGAATCGCCTCCTTATGGCCGTTGCGTAACGCGTATCAAATGTAAACATTGCTCATGTACGTAGTTATACTAGGAGATTTGAAAAAAGCAAAAGCCAGGAAAAAAACGAGTTTCTTCATACATATTTATACGAGTCCCGATAGATTAAGTAACTGGGACGCTGCTTCTTGTCTTGTAACTCCAATTTAATTTCATGAGACAAGTCGTGTTATGTATATTTCGAACCAAATATTGAAATTTATTTCTTCGAGAAACGAAATTGCTCGCAGGTGTGCCAATGTAATCGGAATTCTTGATGGAATCAATCGAGTCGATCTATTCGTAGAACGCAGGGTAACAAGAGTCTGGTTTCTTTTTTAATTGGAATGTGTCCATGTCGTAAAATTGGGAAATGTGAAATCAGAGCTCTGAGAGTCGAGGAAAATTCACAATTAAAATTTTAGGATTCGACTTGAATTTAAAATTAGAAAAGTATAAAATTATAATTTGAAAGGATGAGCCACGATCAGAATCGCAGATTTTCCCAAAGCCCAAAACTTTTTCGCAGGTTACTACGCGGACGAGGTGGCAGGATGTCAAGTATTCCACGTGTGCCACGACGTGCTGGTGTCCTCCTTCCTGTGCCCCATAGGGTCCATCTTCAGCCAGAAGCTTCTGACCTGCGACTGGTGGACCAAGGTGGACTGTTCCTCCAGCGAGAAATACATCGACGTCAACCGCAACAGTTACCAGCAAGACGACGACGAGATGATACGCAACGCCTACGCGATGATCAGCCTTCAATCTGGAACGGACGTGACCAAGGACGGTCTCGTTGATCCAGATCGAACCGGCAGCGTTGTGGACTACCAGCGAGGTCCAGGTAGAAACCTGGACTACTCCTCCGTCGATCCCACGGGTAACGACTTGAGAAGCAACTACGAGGACTATTCAGGTGCTGTCAGTCGCAACTTCCTGCCACCTTATCGACCGAAGGACAGAAAGCTGGAGACCAGCCGAAGCTATCAGGAGAGGTTCTACTCTTCGGAGAAGTCGAAATCTCCTTACGAAGATTCGCCAATCATCCGCGTGCAGAACATCAAGGGTCCCGACTACGGGGACCAGAACAGGGACTTCCAGGGGAGCTATCAGAGACCAAACGAGTTCACAAACCAGTTTCAACCGTCTTACGCGCCCACTGTGCCCACGGTCACCACCACAACCAGGAGGTTCTACTCTCCGACTGTGCCGACGACCTTCAGACCGTCGACCTTGGCGTACAACAAGCTGGACCAGGTGATAGACAGCTCGGATTATTACTTCTCGCACAGTAGAACCAAAGGTTTCGTCACTCCACCGACGAGGAGTTTCGAAAACAAGGACAGACAGAGTCCGAGAAGGAGCAACGACAAACAGGAGGATGTCCCACGAAAAGATTACGGTCAGCAGGACAGCTACGAGGACGATTACGAAAATAGCGAAGAGGAGAGACAGGCTCCATCCGGAGAACGGTTCCAGGTAAGAGTAGCCGAGGACTACAGAGTGAACCGAACTGGGCTGCTATTTGATCAGGTTTATCGAGGATTTCGGACCAGAGACGAAGACGAGATTCTGGACGATATCGAGACTAGGGGTAGCATTGGTCTAGGTCATGCTTTAAGCAACTCCTTCAGAGGAATCTCGGTGCAACAACAGAATCCTGTGAACAGCGGGGTTAAAGATGAGGGAAAGTATACTCTGTCCAGAACAGAGCCTACGGTGTTCGATAACGAAGAGAGGGAAGAAACAACTGAACAATACCAAAGAAACGATCAAAGAGACCAAGGAATTGCGGAGCATCGAGAAGAGGATTTTGTACCGTCTACCACCCCTTCGGTCATAGAGAGCACCATAAAGGCGACCACAAACCTGCACGAATTAAATACCTCGGGCATATCGATCGATTCGAATTATAGCGATGCAGATCAGAAACATTCTATCGACAGGGTGGATAAGTTTCTGAGACCCCCTGAAGAGCCTCGCAGCAAATTTCAGATAAATGTGCCGGATCTGACCGAAGTGTCCACTCTGCTGATTCGATATTCGAGCGTGGATGATGGTCCAAGAACGGGAACAGAATCACCCAGGTTCCAGGACACTTACCCTGATGACTATGTGGATTCAACTGCGAACGATGAAGCTGTGACGGAACAAAACTATCCGTCTACCGAGGATAGACATTCTTCGGGTGAATTGAAGACTACGGTTCCTTACAGAGACGTTTCTTCAGTGGTGAACTACAGTGAGAGTGACTTCGAAGGACTACTGCTAAATCGGTACCAATCAGACCTGATTCAAGTATCCAACAAGTCCGAGGTTGAAAGTAATTCCAACAGCGGACGTCAGTCTCTTCAAAATTTTACGGCTTGCTCCAGTCCAGGTGAAAGTTCTTGCGAGAAAAATACTCAGGGTCAAATAAACTCGAGTTCTCCAAGAAGCACGACAGACAGATTTGCTGAAACCCTGACACCACGATCCAACGAAGAGATCAGAACATCTGCAGTCACACAATCACCGATAATTGATTCAACCTCGGAGCCTGTTCACAGGAGCACAGAAGATGAAACTTCGACGACTCTGATCAAAAGCATCAGACCGGAGACTCTAAAGCAAATCGAGGAAAGTATCGAAAAGAATAATTCGCCTTATCACGTAACGTTGACTGTGAACAAAGGCGAAGAGTTGGCACCAACTGGTGATTTCATTGGCAAACTTATTGCTCAACAAGGAAAGGAAAGCTCAACCGTAAATGACAAGCTCCATCAACTGGAGATAATCAAGTCTGTTGAACCAGAAATCGTTACAGACCCACCAGTCACCACAGCGAACATCGTAAACGCTGATCAGTCTAACACTGAGAGCTTCTCCAAGGTTGAACAGAACCCTTCGAGGAATAAAAACTTCAATACGGTCAGTCTACTTCAATTAATGTCCGAGTTGCTGAAATTGGACCGTGCTCCTCGTCCTTTCGCCCTGCCTGGAGCACATAATTTAGTTCCGAGGACTCAACCAGAAATTCCTAGCACTTCAACGTCTAAGACCATCGCCAAAGAGATAAATCAGGATATACAGGAAGTTACAGAGAAGTTTCAAGAAAATTCCACAGATACTAGACCGGACATCAGGGATCAATTCAGGGAGAATTTTAGTGGACCTCTGCTGAAGAATGATGGACAATTTTCTCAAGGGGACAGACCTGGAGATTTTCAGAAGGAGAAGGGTTTTGGGACCACTGTGGCTGATGCTCCAGTCAAGGATCACATCAAGGAACAATTATCTCTGACGGACCAAGGACTCGAACTTCCTCGAAAGGATACAATAATTCATTTTCAGAAGGATTCGAACAAAGATCAGGAATCCAATTTCAGGACAACCGTGTCCGATCTGAAGGACCGCATCAAGGACCAATTATCTCAGAATTTTGGTGAACCACTGCTGAAGACGGACCACCTTTCTCAGAAAGATACGATAACCCCTTTGGATCACTTGCCCACAAACAAGGATAACCAAGAGTCCACAAATCCCAGGACAACTATCGGTAGCAGTGTTTCAACATCCAGGTCGAGTACGATAATTACAACGACGCCGCAAACCTCCACCACAGATGGGAAGACAGTGGTAAAAACAGAGTTCGTACCATCGATTGGATTCTCTTTCGATACCGACGAGGGTAGAGAGGAATACGTGGAGGCTGTTCTAGGTGGACTGATAGAACCCGAAGCCGCCGAAAGCGAGAAAAAGGAGAGCGTCCTTTCAAAGACCCAGGAAACTTCGTCGAAGAAGAATGAGACTCTGAAAGACGCGTAGAGACGATTTCTAAAGAATGGCCAGTGAAGAACTTAGTTGTAGAAAGAAATCTGTGATGTCCTGCTGTTTCGTCCTTTTTCTTGTAATTAGAAGACGAGTGGATGACGAGATAACGGCAGATATGATCAATGAAGGAGTAATTGTTTAACTTTGGTTACCATTTACGTTGTAAGAGAAGGGTCGATGTAATTATTATATCGTAGAATAGATTGTACGCTACTGGAGATTATTTTATTCTTTCTATTCAGGAGATTTGTAATTAATATGATTAACTGTAGAGTGTGAACACTTCGTGATAGATATGTGGGATACACACGTACGGAATTATAATAAAATTAACTACTGTTTTAGAGAAATAAAATAGAGCTTGATTATCGCATATACCAAGGAACAGATTTTGATACACGGTAAAAATTATGCGAATATATGGATATATTGTGTATTAATAGTGTATGTATGTTTAGTTATATGTTTTAATAAATATGTATATTCCTTTTCAAATTACAGCCTTCTTTTCCCTATTTCTCCATCTTACACTTTCCAATCTCTCAGACTATCGATATTCTAAAATTTCTTTCCAACATTCTTTCCAAACCCCTCAATCTTGTTTACTTGCCATGGCAACATCGATATACCAGGTCTCGTATTTCGCAGTCAAGTTTAATCGATTCTCAAAGCTAGGTGGTAGGTTAAAGAATCTTGCTGAAACATTTTAATTTGGAAAGACCATTTGCTTGAAGATCAAATAATTAAAAAATGTTTAATATTACGTGTTAGTTAAACTTCGTGTCAGATTAAGTAAAGCAGAGATAATTTTAAGGCGAAAATGAGTGAATCAGAAGGCGAAGAAAAAAGTGTTACCGAACTCGATGAAGATGATGATGATGATCTCAGTGACTTGACAATTCACAGTAGACATTCTGTGCTGCACATGGACTATAGGTACAAACTGACGATTTTAATTAATACATTCTGGGCTACAGTAATAAATTCATTTTCAGAGTCATGTGGATAAGAAACAAAGTAATGAAGTTTCTGGGGATAAGTGGTCACGAACTTGCTTTCTATAAACTTCTCAACGTAAATTGCTTTTTATTATTAAAAACTTTTAGGAACTATAGTCTAGGAACTACACTATTCTACACGCACATTTTCTGATGCTAGATATTTCTGATTAAGTAAAATTTTTTACTTGTTCCTTGACAATTAAAATTTGCTATGATTAGTCGAATGTGCTATTTTATTAATTGCGTCAAAGTGACCAGATTTGAAACTGCAGGAGAACAATCGATATCTCGAAGATAAACTCCTGAATTTTCTGATACTCGATTTGTACGGGGTAATGGATTTCGAGAGAAAAGTGATCTTCTTCTATGCAACTTACACCACTGAGGTTCATCAAGAGGAAATTGATGTCTGGGAAAGTAAGTTTCACATAACCTTGAGTCACCTACTTGTGACTTTAACATCTTATCAAACTTTGATCTAGTTCCATGTTATGTGCCAGGTGTCTAGAGATCAATAATTTTATTTCGCGACGTTAACAGGTAAACAGGTGAACAAATTGGCTGCGTTGACAGCACTTGCAATGAAAAGGAAGGGTCGTAGATTGATCCAAAGTGCTCCTGGTAATCTGTATTTTTCTTTTTTTTGTGTACCAAGAGAAAACGATCTCATACAATTTTATTTAACTTGAATTTTATATTAGAGCTTGCGACAGTTTTCCTCTGTTTCGTCCACAATTATTTGTTTGACTAGCGTGTGAAAGTTATGCACTCGAAAATACATTCACTGCTTACACGTTTAATAATTGATTTGAATATTGCACTTTAAACTACACTGTTTCAAATTATTATTTGGTGTTGTATAAATATTTCGACAACGATATTCGAAAGCCATAGAATAATTGTACAGTAATTCTCAATTATTTGAAAAGGAAAAATTGAAAAAACACCGAGGAAACCACGGAAAAGTAGAAAAAGAACAAAGAAGGGCAAACGAGATACGAAACTGGATCCACTAGCGTTACTCAAACAATTAGAGATGTCTATGATGACCTTGCAATCGAGTAAAGAATCGTCGAAGGTTACTGTGAGCGAATCGGAAACGGAAGCTGGCGACGAGGAAGAAGAAGACGAAGAAGAGGAGGGTGAAGAAGAAGGGGAGGATGAGGGAGGAACGAGGGAACTAGGAAGTGGAGAACCATCGACGTTTTCTCTCCGAAAAGATGACAGTAGAAGCACTGCATCTGGTAAAATTATGTCAAATAATTCATCTGTCCAATGAGTCGATAAAAAAATGACAAAGGAATGAATTTTTAGTTAGCGTATCTTTCGTCCCACCCCCTGGAGAAGAAGACAAATACATTCTCACAAAAGTACATATCAAAAATTGAATCACAGATTGCTGATGTTCCCAAAATTAATAAAAATGTATCCACAGAAAATGGTGGAAAGAGTAAAGAAGGTTCCTGCCCTTCATATGATATGCGGAGAACTGGATGGCAGTAGAACTGATTTACACGACGTGACATTATTTTATTTCCTGAGAACACACGATGAGGGTATACCACCATTCGACTCGTACGAAGAATGCAACGATGAGATCGCAAAATACTTGGTCGTTGGATCTCTGCAAGGAAGATACCTGCTTTCCATGAACAGGATACTTCTCCAAGTATGATAATCCCTCTTTAATTATTGTATCTGCAAGATTTGTTCAATTGTGCACAAAAAATTCTACAGGTGTTCAAACCACTGGTAGAGAGTCAGTTCAGAGGACCACAGTTTGTAGAACTGGTAAAAGATGAGCACTCGGAGGACGATGATTTACATCATTTAGCGGACATTCTCCAGAGTCGTGTATGCTAATTATACTAATTCAATCTGTAGTTTCATTTCGCGATTATACCTAATGTTAAAATATTTTTCGAAATTAACAGAGCTCGATTCTTAGAAGGCCGTCCGAATTTCGTAGAGCATCCATGGTGCTAGCTAGGAAATTTTCTGAAAGGAAATCACAAAAAGACGTACACGAAGATGAAGAAACCAGTGTTACACCCGTACCTTCCCAAATATCAAGCGAACCGATCCGGCCAAGTAAAGCACGATTAAAACGAAGCGACATAAAAGTATCTACCGTGACTTTCGAGGAAAGACTTAGCAAAGTAGAAGTGAAACCCCCTGCGCACGATGGAGAACGAAGAAGTTCGATCGATCAAAGCAAACACGATGTCTTAACGTATTTGGATAAATTGGTTAGCAGCGTTGAATGGTTAGCTTCTCATCTTGTCCTGAACTCCTACATCAACTAATTTACACAGACTTCATAATATACTTTATTTAGGACATTAGATCGTATCGAAGGAGACCTTTTATTAACCATGCCAGATATTCCGGAGCTCCAAGACCCGAACGTCACCGATGAGATGCTCGAGAAGAATAAAGAAGTGATCGAACACCTCGAGGAGGTGACCATGTCCTGGGGTGTACACATACAAAAGGTAAGATTTCTAAATAAAGTCAAGGAAATTAATTTATGCGCATGCATTACGGTTTAATTAAATGTTAGAACACCGTAAATTTGCACTCAAGGTCCTTCATGTCCTTCCAGGTCCTGGAATCGTTCCATTCGAAAGAGCCTCAAGGAAGAGGACCATTAGCGGAGATCGATTACTGGCAGGATCGAGAAGTCGGGTTACTGATGCTGGTGGAACAATTAAAAACCCCGATTGCCAAAAGAATTTTGGAATTATTGAATAAAGTGATGTCGCCCATTGCGTCCAACTTTGAATACTTTTACAGCGATCTTTGGAGAGACTATACCGAAGCTAGGGACAATAATAATTTCTTGCAAACTATTCTGAGACACTTCAAGGTATTGTATGAAAGTGAGAAGACCATTAGATTTTCGGATAATTAATATTTGTTAATGATAGCTGATCGCGGAATCGAAGTCCTTCAAAACAATCACTCAATCTATACCATCATTGACGGAAGGATTAAGAATGATTTGGATACTATCGCGTTATTACTGCGCGGAAGATAAGATGATGGAACTTTTGCAGCGAATCTCGTGGCAGCTGTGCCAAAACGTTATCAATAACCTATCGATCAAAAATCTGTTCAAGTAAGGTACTTCTACATTTTTGAAGATTCAAATTCCAAACAAACTCATACCGTAGACTGCCACTAGAGGAAATTATCGAGAGGACAGCGTGCGCCAGCACTATGATGAAAAGATGGAAGCTGTCGTATCTCGAGTACCGGAAAGAAATCGAAGAGTCCGGTAAAGGTAATCGATGGGAGTTCGATCAGAAACAATTGTTTCACGGAACAGAATACATCGCATCCGTCTGCGACGGATTGAACGAAGTAGCGAACGTGCTTCAAGATTTTTACAATATTTTTGGACCACACTTGAAAGCCATCATCAGTGACCCGGCACAAATCGATACCGTCATAAAAAGAGTCGACAGGTTAACTGTGCCCATTCTGGAGGCAGATTTTAATATTTTCGACGAGTTTAACAGGGACAACTGGGAGGCCACGATGATTTGGTTCTACGAGGAAGTTCGGTTCCTTGAGAACGAGGCGAAATTCTTTATCGACGAGTGTTTCATGGTGTTAATTAGCGCGGAAGATGCGCTGCAGACGCTTCTTACGTTCAAGGAGGTGAAAACCAGGGAGACTATTCATCAGCAACTTCTGAGGAAGTTTGATGTTATCATGCAACAGTTCAGTAAGGAAATTAGTATCGTCGAGGGAATTTTTAATAGAGGTGAGCTTTATAGAGATGATTCCGAGAGGAATACAATGCACACTGAAACCCAATCTTAATTAATTAAATGTTTGAAAGGAAAACGAGATCCACCACTATTAACATATCACCCTCCAATGGCCGGTGCCATATACTGGGTGCGACAATTATTCCAGCGACTAAAAACGCCAGCAATGACCATGCAAAGCATTCCAGAACTAAAGCACAGCGACATAAAGCTGTTAGCGTTCAGTCAGTATGTCGATATTGCCAAACAGATGCAAGCTTTCGAAGAATCGAAGTTTCAGACTTGGGCCGACAAGGCTGAGTTTGTAGTATTGAATACTATGAAAAAAAGTATTTTAAAAATGATCCGCTCTGAACCAGACAAAGGTTAATTTCACATTTTCTTTTACATCTTCGAATAAAATATTAATAGTTTCATTCTTGAAGGTGTGTTAACATTTCCGGACGAAACGCTGGCAACTACGAAGGTTCTTCAGATGACGAGAAAAATGAAGAGCAAACGTATGGGTTCGACTGTGTCGACCCCTGCGGGTTCGGTGCTGAAAGGCGACATGGTGTTATCGAAACCGAGCATTGGTAATTAACAATTATTTGTTAAATATGCGATAATTATACGTAAATATGTTTCATAGAAACGAGTAGTTCTGTGGGTGGAGGCTCGAAAGTGCTTCCAATGAAGAGATCGGACATCAAGACAGAAGGAAAGACATCTGTTATGTCTCAAAAAGATCAGAAAACTTCCGTCTCTTCGTCGATGGAGAGACAAGCTACTCAAGGGGCAAAAGTTACTTGGATGGATTTCATGAGCGGCTCCATTCTCGTAGAATGTCAGCTCCGATTCGAAGTCAACTTTCACTGGGATATTTTTGACATTATCCACGAGGTATCTCCGTAAAAAAGAGCTCATCCGTATACAATAATATTTTGCAACTTATAAACATTCGTTAATTCGAAGACGAATGTGAAATTGTTCTGAATGGAACAGGCTTTGAGAATATTATAATTCAGAAGACAATGTTACAGGCGGAATTAATGGAACTATTAGGCTTCGAATTGACCCCCATAGTGAAAGAGGCAGGTATACAAAAGGATCGATTGAGGACCGATATCGAAGCGACAGAGAGAGTCATTAATCAGTACAATCAAGCATTAGAAAAAATGGACAGGGCCGATGTACTGTAACTCACATATGTACATATCTACACATTGATACATAAGTAATAGTTTTATTTATTGCTGCAGATAATGCTTCTAAAGAGAACTCTGTCAAATATCGAAAAGAATATTCAGCCTGGACTATCGCGTTTCACTTGGAACTCGTTAAATATACAAGATTACACGAACAGTTGTGAGAAGTTGTTGAAAGATCTAGTTTCGATCGTCGACCAAGTAAATCTCATGAAGAAAGATATGGATAATAGAATTGATACTGAACTTCGAACTTATAATTTGTTCACGCTTCCTCCTGAATTGTACGACAGCGAATTATTGCCTTGCAAGGTACTTCGTTAAAAACTTGAATTTTTTACAATACTTTCAATTTTCGTCAGATTTCTTATTCGTTTTAAAGACGTATTTTGACGAGATACAAAATCGAAGAACAGAGCTCCTCATCGCGATGACAAAAGCTTATCACTCCATGAGTCCAACATTGATCAAATTAGAAAATCTAGTGCTAGGGACGTCGACGGGAAAGAGCCCTGCCATGCAACTTTATTATGAAAAATACGAGAAGAAGATATTCTCCTCGTTCATAGTGTACGTTATCTTCGATGATATGAATCAAAAAACAATGCCTTACTTTTTATTCCAAAGCAGTAATTAAAAGTGTGCTGATACTTGTCTGATGTTTCAGATGTATGACGATGAACCTGGTGTGTTTTAACAAGTTATTGATGTCCTCTAACATACTGTTCCAAGTGGACGCTGTGCTAATATCTTCAGAGGTCGTGCTACGACCATCTCCTGGAGACATGTACAACATCATTCTTCAGAACGTGAAAAACTTATTGGAATCGTTGAAACTATTCCCTAGATGGATGAATGGTACCTGTCTGGAAAACACACCGCAGAAACGAGACGATTCTGAACAGTTGACTACCATCACTTTCTTCGAGGATGTGATGAGTATTCAAGTAAATTGCATTTTTTAAAGAAGCGAAAACTGATTGGAAATTCTTTAATCTTTATTAAAGATTTCTGCGTTTAGGTTGAGTGTATAATTTTGTCTATACCTTTGCGTAGGTAGTGAATGATAATATACTAATAGTTCAAGGGTCAGCGCATAGACTAGCTCTGGAATGTTGGCACTATCTAATGAGATGGAAAAAATATAGTAATCTATGGACGTTCGATAAAAACCTGGCCGCGAAGAAGTTTGCTGCCACAGAGCCAACTCTTTTTCAATACAACGAGAAGTTCACTTTCTACGACAGCATTCTTGACGAGGTGAAGGAGATGGAACCTCACCACGATCTATACAGCATACGGTAATCTTTTTCTCTTCGAGACTTTTCATGAAAAGAAGTCATACAAATATTTCATAACTAAATTATCCTAAATTTCAACTAGGCTTAACCTGAACCCCTTATTAACGGGGATGAAGCAACACGCGAACGAGTGGAAGCAAGTACTCGGCAACTTTCTATTGGAAGAAACTGTCAGAGGAATGACTGATTTGCAAAATATCATAGAAAACTTCCGCAGCGAAGTGGAGATCGTAATAACAGGTTTAGACCGCTTTACATCAGTCATGCAAGCGATTTCTGATATAAAGAAAAGTGCGATTCGAGCTGAAGTTCGTATAAACACGTATCAGGTGTGTTCCTCGTTAACTAGTTAACTCTCAACTGCACGATTAATTATTAAATTTTAATTGACAATTTTAGGAGACCTTTCGGATCTTTCGCGTTCATAATATACCGTTTCCGGAGAAGGACGAGCAACTGGCTTACAATTTACAACGCGATTGGGAATCCCTCTATTTGGGTGCTTTGTATAGAGCTTCCACCCTAGAAAGCACTTGTGATAGATTTTCGGAGATGACTCAGCAGCAGATAGATCAATTCCTGGAAGAGTTAGTGGAATTTGCGAGGGACTTCGAGGAGAATGGTCCTGGCAGTGTCGGAGAGGATCTTGAACTTGGGTTGAGCAAAATGATCGTAGGTTTCCACTGTTCATATCCTCAACATAAATATCTAACATCTCCATCCAAATTCTTGACTATAATTTCAATCAGCAAAAAAGAGAAATTTAACAAAAAATTTTGCTTCATTCAAGGACTACGGTGCAGCGATAATGAAATTGGAAGAAAAACGTCAGAGCATGATCAATTCAGAATTGCTATTCGATCTTCCAGCGACCGACTACTCGAGTTTCTTGAAAGTGAAGAAAGATTACGAAGGAATGGAATTGCTATACGATTTGTACAAACAGCAGAAAAGTATGAGAGACATATGGGCTCAAACGCTGTGGGTGAACTTGAATCCTCAACAGCTGATCGATGGTATGGATCACTTCATCAGGGAATTTCGGAGATTGCCGAAATTTGTGAGGGAACTCAACATTGCGCCTGCTGTGGACTTGAACATGAAGAGTTTCAAGAATTCTGTGCCGTTGTTTATCGAACTGAAAAACGAAGCCATGAGAGAAAGACACTGGAAAGAATTGATGAAAAAGACTGGACAGTATTTCGATATGGACCCAGACAGGTGCGACGATGATCGAAAATGTGAATGAAGTGTACTTTCAGTGATTACGTGCTTTTCAGAATATTTTTCTTTGTAGATTTTTTTTAAGTACTGTGCTTATGTGAAGTGATTTTTGTTATGATTTATGAACTATACTTATATTATTATTGTTTAATTTTATTTTTTTGTGACAATATATATTATAATTTGGGAAAATGGTGGGAACATATTGCATAATTATTTTTTATGTACCATGTTCCTGCAGCGATTGATATTGTTGCAGAATCTTTTTGTTTAATTATTGTTTCTGACGGAAAATATTGAAAAATAGAATATTTAAGTAGTTAAAAGTATGGAACAGAATGAGATAGAAATACTCAGAGGGTGAGTTGATGCAAGTTACTGGTATAAATAATTATTGAAAATTCAAGTTCAAATTTGCATTGTCTTCAAGATTCACCCTAGAGAATATGTTCGCGATGGAGCTAGGAAAATATCAAGAAATTGCCAAGGAGATTGTAATGAACGCCGTGAAGGAACTTGCTATAGAAAGAGGATTGAGGGAATTAGCTGAAGTGTGGAAAAACTTGGAGTTCACAGTCGTAAAATATATCAAAGGTACCACTAATAATTTACTAATTTTACTACACCCACTTTTGATACAAAAAGAGATGAAAATTTTGAGCTTTTCTTTCGATCAGGTACGGAAGATCGTGGTTTCATCCTCGGACCAGTGGACGAATTAAATCAAGTTCTAGAAGACAACATGATGAACGTGAACGGAATGGCAGCATCTCAGTTTATCGGGCCTTTTTTGGCCACCGTACAGAAATGGGAGTACACGATGCACACCATCGCTGAGATTCTAGAATTGTGGATGCAGCTTCAAAAGAAATGGCTGTACCTTGAAGGCATCTTCGTCGGTGGTGACATAAGACTGCAGCTACCAGACGAAGCAAAGAAATTCGATGACATAGACAAGACGTTCAAGAAAGTCATGATCGACACATCGAAAAGGTTGAATGTCCTCGAATGTTGCATGATCAAAGGTACTGCCTACAAAGTAGCATTAACATCTTAATTACTGTTGTGACCAACATTTTATTTAGGACGAAAGGAGGAATTCGAGGCAATGATAAATAGTCTAGATAGATGCCAAAAGTCTCTGACAGACTATCTGAACAGCAAACGTGCAGTTTTCCCAAGATTCACGTTCCTGAGCGACGATGAACTATTAACTATTCTCGGCAGCGGCGCGGCAACCGCCATTCAAGAACACGTGGGCAAAATGTTCGATAATCTCGACAAATTTCGATTCGATCAGAGTGACAGTGATCGAGTGGTGACTACTGCGTTGATTTCTTGCGAAGGAGAAGTGATGGACTTTCGAAACATGGTTTTTGCCGAAGGGAAAATCGAGGAGTGGATGGTGGTTGCTTTAGAGGAGATGAAGAAGTCCAATAGATATTTGACTAAGAAGGCTGTCTACAATTATGGAAAGGTAATATTTGAAGTAGACGGTTTTGTCGAAATTTAAAGAGAGATTTAACAGATAAGGAAGCCGAGAACGGAATGGATGCTAGACTTTCAAGGGATGATGGTCCTCGCTGCTGATCAAATATGGTGGACGGCGGAGGTGGAAAATGTTTTTGATAAAATTTCAAAGGGACAAATGCGTGCAATGAAAGAGGTACTGTCAAGGTTAAATATGTTAGTCAAGGTCAAATATTTCATCAGAAATCGAAGATCAATAATTTCAGTTTAATTCTAATTCTCAGTACCTGACACAACTCAACAACCAGTTAAACGAAGTAGTGACACTGATGGGTGGCGAGACACTGACGAACAACGACAGAAAGAAATTCGACATGGTGTTGACCCTCGATGTCCACATGCGAGACATCATCGAAGGCTTCGTCAGAGACAGCATCATGGACCCTGCTGAATTCGAGTGGGAAAGTCAATTAAGGTTTGCTCTTTTCAGTCAACTATTTCAAGACCTTTAAGTGAGAGTCAGAGCCTAGTAAAAAATGACACAAAATAACATGTTGCAAGTGGCTGTTTACACGAGTGTAAATTTGTTACTAAGGTTCTATTGGGTTCATGACCTGGACAATGTCTGGATACACCAGTGCACGGGCACTTTCGAATACGGTTACGAGTACATGGGTCTTAATGGCAGACTCGTTGTTACTCCTCTAACAGATAGAATATACCTGACGATTACACAAGCCTTGTCGATGCAACTGGGAGGTGCCCCTGCAGGTCAGTGCTATAATAATTCATAAACAGATTCGCAGTTCTTGCGTAACTAACTTAACATTTGGAATACCTTGTCGTACATATCTGGGTCATACGTGGATATTTATTGAGATGTGTCCATATTAATGAGCATCACGACTAGCCAATTAGAAATTATTTTGTAGAGTGCATGGAAAATTGCTCGTGGGCACCGATGTATAATTTCTCGATTTAATATTTCCCTTTCTAAATTCAGGACCAGCTGGTACAGGAAAAACAGAGACCACGAAAGACTTGGCAAAGGCGCTAGGATTATTGTGCATCGTCACAAATTGTGGCGAAGGGATGGATTATGTGGCTATAGGCAAAACACTGAGTGGTCTGGCACAGTGTGGAGCATGGGGCTGCTTCGACGAGTTCAATCGTATCGATATCTCTGTGCTTTCAGTCATCTCCACGCAGTTGCAAACCATACGATCGGCTTTGATAGCAAATGCAAGCAGATTCATGGTAAAAAACAAATATACTTTCTTAATTATACCGTTATTTTAATACTTGTGTAGAATATTCATAGTACATGATAAGATGTCTCATATAATACCCGTCAAGTTTCATCTCCACGCTATCACTGAACCACGAACAAAAACCTTCCAAACCTCGACAATAATTTGACAAAAAGACAGAAAAAAATATGCAACGCAGCATTTTTTTAGTTCGAGGGACAAGATATCGTGCTCGACACGAAAGTGGGTATATTCATCACGATGAACCCGGGATACGCCGGCCGAACAGAACTTCCGGAGTCCGTGAAGGCGCTCTTCAGACCCGTTGTATGCATAGTTCCCGACAACGAGCTGATTTGTCAGATAAAGTTGTTCAGTTCCGGCTTCTTGACTGCCAAAGTTCTAGCCAAGAAAATGACCGTCTTATACAAATTGGCCCGCGAGCAACTGAGCAAGCAGAATCACTACGACTTCGGTCTCAGGGCACTCAAATCTGTCCTCAATATGGCTGGACAATTGAAGAGAACTTCCGGTGATCTGCCGGAGAATGTCGTGCTTATGAGAGCTCTGAGAGACATGAATTTACCGAAATTCATTTTTGACGATGTGCCTTTGTTTCTGGGATTGATCGCTGACCTCTTCCCTGACCTCGACTGCCCTAGGGTTCATTATCCAGACTTTAACGAAGCTGTTAATTTGGTGCTGGAGCAACAGGGATACAGTATACTCCCTATACAGGTGAGTTTATTTAGGAGATGTGATCTAGTAGAGTTATTCAATAAAAGAGAATGCAAATGTGGAAATTAATAAATTGGGTGAAATATAAAGGTGGACAAGGTTGTCCAACTATACGAAGTGATGATGACCAGACACTCGACAATGGTGGTTGGTCCAACAGGAGGTGGAAAGACAGTGGTGATCGAAACCCTTTGCAAAGCTCAAACTTATCTAGACAGACCGACCAAGCTATACACCCTAAATCCGAAGGTTTTGTCATATTTTCATATGTGGGATTTCAAGGCAGAAAGACAAACAATATTTTATTCTAGGCATGCACTGTGAATGAGCTGTATGGTGTGTTAGATCCAGCGACACGAGACTGGACAGACGGGCTTTTGAGTAAAATTTTTCGAGAAGTTAATAGACCATTGGAAACTGATAAAGATGAACGGAGATATATTTTATTTGACGGTGATGTGGACGCTTTGTGGATAGAGAACATGAATTCTGTGATGGATGATAACAAGCTGCTGACTCTGGCGAATCAGGAAAGGATCAAGATGCAGAATCATTGCAGTCTCTTGTTCGAGGTGACTCTTTCAAAGTTTAAAACTACAGAAGTCTGTCACAAAATTTTGAAAACTACTATTTATTATAAAAGGTAGGGGACCTGCAGTACGCCTCGCCAGCCACAGTGTCCCGAGCCGGAATGGTGTACGTGGATCCAAAGAACCTGGGTTATCAGCCGTACATGGACAAATGGATACGAAGCAAAAACGAATCGGATGTTGAATTCTTAACCGGAATGTGCGAGAAATACGTTCATGGATCGATCAGTCTCATTATAGAAGGAATGCTTGGCCTGCAGGCGGTTACGCCGCTTAAGATGATCATACCGCAAACCGGCTTGAACATGGTAACAATTAGGCCTTTATACTCTAATTAACTAGGCTGTTTATGGTGTTCCTAATCAATGAGAAGGCAAATTGTGTCTGTAGTCTAGACATTTGGTTACGTGGACAATCATGGTAAAACGAGAAATAGATTCAGTTCGATCTAATATTCGTTACAAATAAATTTTGTAACTGAGTGCTTGAAATGATCGTTTCAGGTGATTCAACTTTGTTACGCGTTGGACGGTCTTCTTTCGATTTTCAACGAAAAACCGGCTCTTGCGGCTCCTAAACCCGACGAAGACGAAAGCGTGGTGGCGGCAGAGCCAACGTACACCGTGCAGGAAGTTATCGAAGCGATGTACCTCCAAGCGCTTTATTGGTCGTTGGGGGCATCTTTGGTCGTCGATGAAAGACCACGTTTCGACGAATACGTGAAAAAGACTGCAGGTTTTATGCTGGTTCAAGATACTGACGATAAACCAGCAACCGTACGTAAGTTCTGATTGCTTTTACGAATTTAAGGATCTAGTCAATCTGGGGATATAGAGTTATTTATCAACAGGATACATCCCGGTGACGGAGAAAACACTGTACGAATACTACTTGGATGTTAAAAAAAACATATGGGTGTCATGGCGCTCCTTGGTCCCAGAATACGTGCACGACAGAGCAAAACATTTTTCAGAAATTTTAGTTCCAACTATTGATACTGCGAGAACCATGTGGTTCGTTCAACTGATGAGTGATCTAGATCGACCTGCTCTTTTGGTCGGTGAAACTGGTACATCGAAAACTGCCATAATCAATGAATTCCTGCGAAATCTGAGCGCAGAGAAATATGTAAGCATTTGGAGAAAATTATTACTCGAATGAAGATATGAATGTAGCCTTTGAAAAGCGAGTATAAATTGATACTTGTTACGTTTGCGTTAAAGAACCAGCTTCTGATCAATTTCTCCTCGAGAACGACTTCGATGGACGTGCAGAGGAATATAGAGTCAGTCGTAGAAAAACGAACGAGAGAAACTTATGGGCCACCGCCAGGCAAAAAGTTGTTGCTTTTCATCGACGACATGAACATGCCGCTGGTGGACACTTATGGCACTCAGCAACCTATAGCTTTGCTGAAATTCTTGTTCGAGAAAGGAGGATTCTATAGTCGAGATAAGGATCTTTCGTTGAAGTACATGAAGGATATGTGTACGTATCTACATAAATTTATGGTACCAACGTTCGAATATTTACAAAGTATCTATAACTGTGTTATCAGGTTATTTAGCAGCAATGGGGAAACCTGGTGGTGGTCGAAACGAAGTAGACCCCAGATTCATCTCCATGTTCTCCGTGTACAACGTTACATTTCCATCCGACGAAACTTTGAACTACATTTACCACAGCATACTAGCTGGACATTTGGAAATATTTGCAGAAGAAGTCCAAGCAATCGCTGGTGACCTGGTGCAAATTACATTGGATCTCTACCAGGTACCTTCTTTCTAACTCCACCTACCATATTCTATATCATTCGATTGCTCTCAGATCGTTACCAAAGAACTACTCCCAACACCGAACAAATTCCACTACATCTTCAACATGCGAGACCTTTCGAGGATCACGGCGGGTCTTCTTCAGAGCCACCCAGATTATCTGCCAACGGTGAAACAGATCATCAGAGTTTGGAGGAACGAGTTCACCAGGGTCATATCCGATCGTCTGATCAACAAAGAAGTAATTCTGAATATACATGTATGATGTGGAGAATAGTTAACTGAGATCAATTTCAGGACGCGGATATAGTGAATGGACACATTAAACACAGGATCGAAGAACGATGGGAAGAGGACCCTGATACAATCGCGTATGCTATGAGAGATCCTTTATTGTTTGGTGACTTCAGAAATGCGATTAACGAAGACGAACCACGATTTTACGAAGATCTATTAGACTATGAGGCTGTGTACAGTTTGTTTTTGGAGGTAACAGTTCCAAACAGGGTAGATCTGTAGGTTACTGGGTCACTAGGTCCAGTTCAGATCATCAATTCCAGATATTTCTACTTTCGTCTCCAGATGCATAGATCAATCATTTTCTGCAGATTTTCGAGGAGTACAACGAGAGAAACGTGACAAAGCTGCACATGGTGCTTTTCAACGACGCCCTCGAGCACTTAACCAGAGTGCACCGTGCTCTCAGGATGCATCGAGGCCACGTTTTGGTGATAGGTATCGGGGGAAGCGGAAAAAAGTCGGTGATAAATCTGGCAGCGTTCGCGGCAGGTTTTCGAACCTTCGAGATCGGTTTAACGCGCGGTTATAACGAGGCCTCGTTCCGCGAAGACATGAAGCATCTTTACAACACGGTCGGTGTCGATAATCGCAAGATAGTGTTCGTTTTCACGTCGTCGCACATCGTGGACGAGAGCTTCCTGGAGCTGGTGAACAACATGTTGATGACTGGAGTGGTACCGTCCCTCTTCAGCGACGAGGAGAAAGACGAAATTGTTAATTCCTGTAGGGAAGCGTCTGTTCAGGCTGGATTTGGAGTTACGAAGTAAAGTTCGATCGATGATCAACTAAACCGATGGTCAATTGTACCAATCATATTTTCAGGGAAAATGTATGGTCGTATTTTGTGAAGACGAGTTTAGAGAACCTGCGAATCGCGTTGTGTATGAGTCCCTCTGGAGACGCGCTTAGGACAAGATGTCGTAACTATCCTGGTTTGGTGAACAGTACCACCATAGACTGGATGTTCCCGTGGCCCGAACAGGCTCTGGTTGCCGTCGCGAACGTCACCCTCAGAGACGTATGTACTTTAATTTAATCTTTCCACATCTGATTAACTTTGCTTTCCAGAATCCGAATGTATCTCAGAACCACAGGGAAGAGCTGGTGCAACACATGGTGTACGTTCACAAGACCGTCTGCGACTACACCATCGATTTTCAGACGAAGTTACGAAGAAGGAACTACGTGACACCGAAACATTACCTGGACTTCATCGACACATACCTGAACTTGTTGGTAGAAACGAAGGATTATATAAATTCGCAGTGTGATCGTCTTTCTGGAGGTATTTTACTTACGATACGAGATAAAAGATTGTGCTATTTATATGGGAAAATGAAAAGGTATACAGAAAATTGCGGAGGCGTCGGTGACGCTGAACGAACTGAACGAGATTTTGGCGGTGCAAAGGGTAAAGGTGGCGGATCAGACAAGAAATTGCGAACAGCTGCTGACTTCCATCGGTGAAAGCACCGATATTGCGATGGAGAAGAAGCAGATGAGCGAGGAGAAGAGTAAGGAGATAGAGGATCAACAAAAAATTATTACTAAAGAAGAGACCGAAGCCAAACAGGCGTTGGCAGAAGCACAACCGGCTCTCGATGCTGCTAGAGCGGCTCTGAGTGAATTGGACAAAGCTGACATTACTGAAATAAGGTTTACTTTTTTCCCTAGCAGATTAATACTAAAAAATATAGAAACTCGTATCATCTTGTAATTTAGATCATTCGCAACTCCTCCTGAGCCGGTGCAAATAGTCTCGGAGTGTGTAGCGATGCTACGAGGAGTGAAGGACATTTCTTGGAAAGGTGCGAAAGGAATGATGAGCGACCCAGCATTCCTAAGATTACTTCAAGAAATGAACTGCGATAAGATCACTCTTAAGCAACAACAGGCGGTTAAGGCTCACCTAAAGAAGAGCAACAAGTTAGATCAAATGGAAATGATCAGTAAGGCTGGATTCGGATTATACAAGTTCGTGCTTGCTGTTCTCGATTACTGTGCCGTGTACAGAGAGGTGAGTTCAAGCTCGAAGTGCTTATAAGACAATTTGTAAACTAATTTACACCTTTCAGGTGAAACCTAAAATAGAGCGAGTGAGAGCATTGGAAGCAGAATCGGAACGAGCTCGAAAAGCCTTGGAAAGAGAAGAGCGAGAATTGAAGAAGCTCGAGAAAGCCATAGCAGAGTTGAATGCAAAATACGAGAAAGCAATGGAGGAACGTCAGAAACTACAAGAAGAGACGGACATTCTGCAAAGACGATTGGTAGCCGCCGATAAATTAATCAATGGACTGTCATCGGAAAATGAACGCTGGAAAAAGGAATTGGAAAATTTGCACGGACAAACTGAGAAGATCATTGGCGATTGTCTCATCTCGGCTGGATTCCTTGCTTATTGCGGTCCGTTCTCTTACGAATATCGGAATCAAATGATATACGAGGATTGGAAGAACAGCGTGATCGAAAGGAAGATTCCCTTTACGGAGAATTTTAGAATCGAGAGTCAATTGAGCAGCGACGTCCAAATCAGCACGTAGGATATTTCATTTTTCAGATTTTTATTTGAAATCATTCTCAAACGAATCTTCTTGTAGTTGGACCTCTGAAGGTTTACCTCCAGACGAATTGTCAGTGCAGAATGGTATCCTCACTACGAGAGCATCAAGATTTCCTGTATGTATCGATCCACAACAACAAGCTCTGAATTGGATAAAAAAGAAGGAACAAAAGAAGAACCTGAAGGTTTTATCCTTTATAGACACTGACTTTCTAAGACAAGTAGAATTAGCAATAAAGTATGGTCTGCCAGTGCTGTTTCAAGACGTCGATGAAGTTGATCCTGTTTTAGATAATGTTTTATCGAAGAACATTCAAGGTAATTAAGCTTCTTTATTTTAATATTTAATTAGAACGTGACGTTATGAATTACAGTTGCTGGAGGTAGAATGTTTGTTCTTCTCGGTGACAAGGAAGTAGATTACGACCCGAAGTTTCGGATGTATCTAACTACCAAGATGTCTAATCCCATGTTTGATCCCGCCTTATATGCTAAGGCTACGGTGATCAATTATATGGTGACCATAGGGGTTAGTTATGCTAATATTTTAACAAGAATTCCAACCTTTATCTAATTTTTCTAAAATCCTAGGGTCTGGAAGACCAACTGCTATCGGTAGTGGTGCGAACAGAGAGGCCAGACATCGAAGAGCAGCGTGAAACGTTGATCCTGGAAACAAGCGAGAATAAGAACCTTCTTCAACAACTGGAGGACAGCCTGTTACGCGAAATTGCCTCGAACAAAGGCAACATGTTGGACAACATCGAGCTAGTTGAAACTCTGGAGGAGACAAAATCGAGTGCCCACGAGGTGATGACAAAATTGTACCTAGGTGAGGTCACTGCCGCAGATGTGAACAAGCTTCGAGACGGTTATCGACCAGTGGCGAAACGAGGAGCAATATTGTTCTTCGTGTTAGCGGACATGGCGATAGTCAACTCGATGTATCAGTACTCGTTGATCAGCTACGTCGAGGTGTTCATTTATTCCCTGAAGAAAGCGTTGCCTGACCCTGCTCTTCAGCAGCGTCTCAAGAATATCATTCCTATGCTGACCAAGAACGTTTACGATTACGGTTGCACAGGGATTTTTGAGAGACATAAATTGTTGTTCTCTTTTCAAATTTGTGTGAAACTGGAGAAAGATCTGGGACACGTCAGCCAACAGGAGCTGGACTTCTTTATTAAAGGAAGTATTGTCCTGGAGAAGTCGCCCAAAATTAACCCTACTGATTGGTTGCCTGCTACTGGCTGGACGGATTTGCTCAAGCTGAGCACTGATTTCCCTGACGTTTTTGACAAACTTCCTCAGGAGCTGCAGGAACATCACGAAGAATGGCGGAAGGTGATTTAAAAATTTCCAAATTCCAGTCACATTTTCTTGAAAAATTTGCAATCTCTTCTCTAATGTTGCAGTGGTACGACTTGGATTCTCCAGAGTCCGAACAATTTCCCCTCGAATATTCTTCGAAATTAAAACCCTTCGAGAAACTGATGTTGATACGATGTTTCCGCATCGATCGCGTTTACCGAGGCATCATAAATTACATCAGCGAGATCATGGGAGAAGAATTTATCACTCCGCCACATATCAGCTTCGAATTGATTTTCGAACAAAGCACACCGACGATGCCTGTCATTTTCATCCTGAGTCCCGGTTCAGATCCATCGTCAGAACTGATGAAATTGGCGGATGCTTATGGTTGCGGGGGAGGAAAATTCAAATACTTGTCCCTTGGGCAGGGTCAGGAAAAAGTAAGATCTTTGTACTTCCTTGATATTAAAAATTTAGGTGGTGCTAACTTTACACTTTCGTCAAATTTCTATCTCTAACATTTCCAAATTTCAGACTGCAGTAGAGCTACTAGAAATAGCCGTGAACAGAGGGCAATGGTTAATGTTCCAAAACTGTCACCTGCTTCTCAGTTTCACAAGAGAGCTAGAAAAATTATTGGAAAACGTAGAAAAACCTCATCCCGATTTCCGTCTCTGGTTAACCACCGATCCAACGCCAAATTTCCCAATCGGAATGTTGCAACAATCCTTAAAAGGTTAATAGTTACACCTAACGCCAAAATTATGACGAGTAAAACGATGAAATGATTTTCAGTGGTCACAGAACCGCCGAGTGGATTGAAATTAAATTTGGAGAACACCTATCTGAAGATGACTCCTCCAGTGATTGAGAGCTGCGCACATCCTGCCTATAAGCACCTGATTTATGTGTTGGCATTCTATCATGCCGTCGTTCAGGTAATTCAAGATTCATAAGGAAGCCAATAGTTCATGTCGACAGATTAATAAAACGCGGATTGATTAACAGGAGAGAAGAAGATACGACAAAATTGGGTGGAACATTAATTACGATTTCAACGACTCTGATTTTAACGTGTGCACTACTATTTTGGATACTTATCTCTCTAAGGCGTTGGCTATGAAAGACACTAGGATTCCTTGGAATAGTTTAAAGTATTTAATTGGAGAAGTATGTTATTAAGATGAAAATTGCATGGTAAAATATTATGAAAAGAGTAATCAAAAACTGAGTACACTTTTTAATCAGGTGATGTACGGAGGAAGAGTAATAGACAGTTACGATCGTCGAGTGTCCCAAACTTACATGGACGAGTACTTCGGAGATTTCCTGTTCGACAAATTCCAACCTTTCCACTTCTACCACGACGAGCACGTGGACTACGTGATACCACCGGAAGGAGAACACGAAGATTACCTGAAGTTCATCAAGGAACTACCTCTGGTGAACACTCCGGAGGTTTTTGGGCTGCATCCAAACGCCGAAATTGGCTACTTCACCCAGGCAGTGAAAGAAATGTGGAGCAATTTGATAGAATTGCAGCCACAGACTGGTAAGCTAGTAATCGAAACACTCTTCAACCGTCAATAATTAGTAATAATTAATTTTAGTATGCTTGGATGACACGAGTAAGTCTGTTGTACAAGGAATATTGTAATCTTGCAAAGTATAATGATAATTCTGATATTTCAGAAACGTCCGGAGTTGGAATAAGCAAAGACGAGTTCATCGACAACATAGCCAGTGAAATATTAACCAAAGTACCTGAAGAGTACGATCTTATCAGGATACGGAAAAATTACGGGGTTTCTGTGACTCCAACTACGATTGTACTGCTTCAAGAGTTGGAGAGGTTCAACAGACTAATTCGTACGATGAAGAGAACCCTGTCTCAGCTAAGAAAGGTTTGCATCATTCATGTAAATTGAATTACTGCACATGAAAAATTATTTAAAATCGAATTAGGCTATCGCTGGAGAGATCGGTATGGATGCGGTACTGGAGAACATTTCTACGGCTCTGTACAATGGTGTGTTGCCAAAGGAGTGGGCTAAATTAGCACCAGATACGAAGAAGACTCTTGCAGGTTGGATGGAACATTTTGAAAAGAGGATACAACAATATAATACCTGGGTAAATAATATATTATCAAATGAAACGTTCTGAAATATTACATAGATTTTTATCATTGCAGTCAGGTACTAATGAACCGATAGTACTCTGGTTAGCTGGTCTACATATACCGGAAACGTATTTGGCAGCCCTAGTACAGATGTCCTGTCGCAGAAACAGTTGGGCCCTCGACCATTCTCTTATGTACACTGCGGTGTCAAGATTTACTATACCAGAAAAAGTGGAAGACAGACCTGACGAGGTAAATAAGTTCCTAAATTTCCATCATCACAAAATACACAGTAAAGAATGAGAAATCCCTAGGGTTGTTACGTGAGTGGTCTATACCTAGAAGGTGCCAGGTGGGACGTAGATGAGCAATGTCTAAAAAAATCGCACCCAAAGGTCCTAGTTGAACCATTACCAGTACTCATCATCTTACCAGTCGAAGCTCACAGACTCAGACTACAGGTACGAAATACATAGCATTAATTTTTAAGAAAAAGACGTTCGATAACCGGGTCTATGAATCACAGAACACTTTAAAAACACCGGTGTACACGACATCGAATCGGAGAAATGCAATGGGAGTCGGTTTAGTGTTCGAAGCGAACCTTGCCACGACGGAACATGTTTCGCATTGGGTCTTGCAAGGAGTCTGTTTAATATTAAACACGGATTGAACGTAGGATAATGAAGTGCATGAGTGGATGACATAAGTGAACCACGAAAAGTAATTTATTCTATATATTACAGATATTTAAATTTGGCATCTAAGGTATTAACTGTTACAGTGGAAAATAGACATTTGTAGTGAGATATATTAAAATATTTATTTCATGATAAGATTATTCATTTATGATTTTCCCAGTTCCCTTAAAAAAGTTTGTAGCCACCTATTTACATCAATTCGCCGCTTTTAATTCCTGACCATTCATACATTTAACCTGAGGCAAACACAGATTATAAAAAGAGCTGTCGACGAAGTTCTTGATGTCTTGCCATTTCACCCAATGATAAGCTTCCAATTGTTCGCTGTTTTTCGCTCTGCCAATGAAATGCGGATCAACGATTAGCATATAGATGTTCTTCGCACCCTGGTGAATGCCTACTATACATTTACTAGAACAATCTCTGTCTCCTCCCATCATAATTGGACTACCGAATTCCTCGAAGTGTTGTTTGATTGCTGGTATCTGTTCCGATAACGCTGCGCCGCTTGGAACGTGGATGATCTTGCTGAGAACCTCGTACAGATGATTCAACACGAGACAAACCTAAGACGTATCGACCTGTTTACTTTCTCCTGTGGTGAAAATAACGCTTATCGAGCGTATCACCAATGTGTGGTCTTTTTATTTCGCAACAATAACTGATTTACAATGGCTGATTTATTAGTATAATATGCATGAATTTAAAAACTCCTAAAAACTTACTTCGAAGCTTCCTATCCATTCTCTTGATCCAATAAAAGATTCTCCTTTGTCTTCCAATGCAACAAGTATCTCCTGTATACGTCTGATACTAGGAACAGACTGATCCAACTTCCCATTCATAATGACCCAGGAACAAATTGTTTGCAACGTTCTGTACCCGCATCCCCACCCCTAAATTCGATAGCCTTTCCTTATTATTCAATCAAGAGACATATTTCGTTACAAACCTTGTCGTTAAAACCGTCACAACCATAGTGCCAGTACTCGTAATTTCCACGGATCAAGAAACTGGTACCAGGTTCCGGTGGAAGAACACCTTGATGGACGTTCTTCAATAAATCGCTCGAGTAATCATGGCTCATCCTATACGATTACACAATCAGACTAAAAAAAATGTACCGAGAGAAATTCTAACATTCCAATGTCTATGTGCAGAATAAAATTTTGAAGTTCTAAACTTCCTAAGTTCCGAAATTCTAGATTTAATCTTTCAGAATTCAATCTCTCAAGGTCCTAATTTTTTAACGTCCCATTCTACTAAAGTCCCAATCTCCCAATGTTCTAATTTCTTAAAGTCCCAACCTCCTAGAGGCTTACCAGAATTTCAAGAACCAAAGATCCCAAAAAATCAAAGTACTCGTAAAAAATGTCGGCAAAATATAAGCTATTCGAAGGACTAAAAAGGCTAGGACGATGCGTTAACGATGAGCTCGATACTAAACAGAGCGCGAAACTTCGTATTTCCCGGTTTGCGAACGATTCGCGGCCATTCTGCGTATTTTTATGAAACTCCTAACCTATCTAACAAAGACGTTCGCAACATTTAGCCATCGTAATGATTCAGTGAAAGCGTTCACCTACTAGGAAATCGTAATCTTCGCGTTACGTGTATCACGATCGAAAGTACTCGCGAGGGAAGCGCAGCACAGCCTTTATGATAGGCATTAAATTGTGGCGTTACCTGGAAGCACCTTTTCACGGTTCATCGACGTTCTCGTCGAGCAACAGTGAATTTGATAGAAACGTCAAACTCCGTACGCAGTCACGCGCACTTCGTTTAGCGTTTCTCTCGGTGACGATCAAATATACGCTTCTCGGTTACACGGTGTGGCGTTACTGGAACCGAAAGAAAAAAGAACGACAGTGTCGAGGTCGTCGGCGAAAAGCTGATCAACAGAAATGGACACTGGAATCTCATAGCAAAATGCCAATCGGTCAACACGAACACAATGCTGTATGGATAAGAGAAACGGACAACAAACAGTGGTAAGCAACAGCGGAAAAAAACTACGAAACGCGTACGCTCGTAGAACAGACGTGGAGGCACGTTAACATTTTTGGCAAGAGGAAAATGAAAGCGGTAATCTCGTGCACGGTAAGTCGTTGCAAATCGTATGCTCATTCTTCTTATTGAATTAGCGTCCTATCAATTAGAAGCATGAATCACTCGAGCTGTTTTATCGCGGTGCATTTTGACAGCAACGCAATAGACTTACCGCTTTTATTGATTTGCCCCTTGATTAACTACGAGATTACAGCTCATTTCGCGGGAACATTTGTACTCGTGGCTTTTTGTTTATATCGTATCGGTCGTTGCTTTCTATCAATGAAGGTCGCCACTTGGGAATACTGCCAAGTATTTTAGGTTATGTTTATTATGTCACCTTAATTAAGCTCAGTATTTCACCATGTATTACTTGTGTGCTTACACCAGAACGGTAATCTAGTACTTCATATCGTATCATCTTACTCATTTTTTTTTTAATCTTCCTTAATGTTTTCGCTACTGGCTGAAATTTCAGTTCACTACTTTTTTATCAGAAATATATCTTTTTGACTTTTGTGCTCTGGAACGCTTAGCTTTCTTGCTAGCCACTACTTTGACATATCAGTTATAAAACTTGATTCAACATCAGACTTACTTCATAGGAATATAAGTATAACAGCAATGTTAACAATGAACAAAGTATTACATATCTATTACCAGCAGCGAAAGTGTTAAGTGCATTGGTATTTTAGACACAGTACATATTTATGTCCTTATTTTGTTGGAATGATATACATTGTAATTTATTTGTTTGTTAGTGAAAAATCAAGAAATGATTGAGGCGTAAGGTGTGCAACAGAATAAAAAGTATGTATGGTGCAGTTCGTGAGGAAGTCTCTGAAAGTTGGTTGCACACGTATGACTTGAGCAGTACGATGATTCCTAATGTTAGTTCGCCGATAAACAATGAGGAACATTTTTGCAAGTTTATCTTATACAAAGAAATTAAAGATTCAAGGTATGTTATATGTTACAAAAATATTCTTGTATTATCGTATCTGTTCATTTCATGTTTTTTTCCAGAGTACGGATATGGGATATTATCATATTGATACCGAACCTCTTGTTTTTCTTATTTATCGCGATCAGATTTAATAGAGCACGGCTTAAATTACGAGCAACGAGTAGTCCGATATTTTTAGCTTTTTATGGACTTGTAATTTGTAACGTAGTGATCTCGGTGATACGATGCGGCGTTTCGATGTCTGTAAATGCAGCAGGTACAGTTGGAGGCAAAGTGGATAAAGTACTGTGGATTACAGTAAGATTTTTTCTGTTATCCACTGAGATGAGCGTGCTTATATTTGGTTTGGCTTTCGGTGAGAAACAGTTTGAGAACCCTAATTTAAAATTAGCTGTTGAATATCCCACATACACTGCTTTTGTTTATAGGACATTTGGATAGTCGCTCGAGTATTCGTAGGGTATTACTTGCCACGTCGTTGATAGCACTGGCTTTTACGATAACCCAAGGGACTTTGGAATTAATTTTACCAGATGATACATTCCGTATTCCTAGTAGAAATTTTTACGTATTTGGTCATGGAGGCATGATGTTTTGGTTCTGCAGCAGTCTTGTTTTCACAATGGTAAAATTTTGCAAATTTTCTAAGACACTTCTTACATTCTCAATTATCTTAATGCTTCTTATGCTTGTTGCAGATATACCTTTTTATATTGATACTGCCATGGACACGGTTAAGAGATCGCTTAACTCTTCCAAGTATGTTGATATCATTGCATTTGACTGTTAGTATCGATCAATATGTTATAAACCATCTTTTATTGCAGCAAAAAAAAGTTTTTACATTTATGCTGGTACATTAGCCATGCTAGACCTAGTACAATCAATTGGGGCAGGCTTTTTAAACTACACACAAAATCCTGTGGGATTATGTATTGTGGATTTTACTGCAGCCGTCTACTTGACCCTTTTCACGCCTTTAGTTTATCATACGTTTCTGTCTGAATTTTTTGGGTAAGTTGTCTCAGGTTTAATACATGTTAATTTATAGAAGGGACTAACGAGTTCCATTACAGGGTTTCGCAACCTTCCATAATGTTCTCGTACAAGGCGCAAGTGGACGATGCAATGGATGAAGACACAGTGTCCTTGCCGCATCAGCAAAGTTTCTCTTCGTTAAGAACAGACAGCGATTATATTTATCAGGTCCATACTGCATCTATTCACATGCCTCTATACGATTCGCAAGCATTAAAATCATCTCCTACGAAACATAAAACCTCCATACACTCCTTAGCGTCTCCGAAGGACTTCAAAGTCGGTAGTGGACATACCTACGACTCCCGGGTCGCTTTGTACCGATCCCCCTCCGGCATCAAAAGTTTTGCCAGACGTTTGAGCGCAGAAAAAGCAACTTTCGATTTCAAGAATTACCCTCTAACGAAATCGGACAATTTTATCGATTCGAAAACAAGCGCGCCAGATCTAAGGTTTCCCAGTACCGCTTGGAAAAGTAAATCTACCTCCCAGTTTAAGTATAGCGGTCCCAGTAGCGTATCGAATTTACTCTTCTCCCCAAATACCGCTAGCAATTTCCTTTACAAATCCGGAGCAAACGACAGCCACACTAATCTGTTTTCGCTTACGAGAAAGGGCAGTTTAGAACACCAGAGAAAAGGGTCTGAGGGGAATGTACCGGCTCGATTTTACGAGATTCCACCGCTCGAAACCACCACGCTCGTTCAGGAATCTTTAATGAAGGACAAAACTGTTGACAGAAAACAATCGAGACCTCTAAAACACGCTAGCACTGAAATGTCCGAGGTGGACTTAGAAGATGTGTTGTCTGATCCATCGGACGTTTCTAACGTTACCCAACAGTTACTGTTCAAATCTATCTCTTTGACACACGAGGACACGTTCAAAAGACGTAAAAAAGAACAGAAGAAAAAAGAGTCCGGTGGTTTGAGCGATTATTTATTGTCTCTAACGACGCCAAGCGCGCCTAAACCCGTAAAAGATACCGAAGTAGATCCTAGCCCTCCTCCTGGTCACATGAAGTCTTATACGCAGACCGAGTCGCTGTAAATATTTTGTTAGAGCTATCGGTGTATCATCTAAGTCATTACGTGTAGTTGTATATAAGAGCAGTAATTTTAACATTTTTTTTATGAATTTTAACCATTTGGACGTGGGATGGCGGAATTTAAACGTACTTGTTAATAACTACATGTATTATATGGTATAATATATAGAGGAGCGCACAAAATGCTTTGTTATCTGTATATACAGCATGTTTTAGATTTTAATTAAACTCGTTAATGTAGCCAATGCACTTGGTTTTATTTATTTATACACTAACTTGGCAGTGGATCGTGCTAACACACGTTAATTGGTTTTTCTATTTATGTTGCAAAGTCGGGTGAGTTTATACTTTTTCACTGACGCTACCATTTTTCTTCTCTTATTATTTATTTTCAAGAAGTTGCTGGAAAGGGTAAATTTATACACACATACACGGTTTGTTGCAGACAAGACATTGTAGGGTTTTGGTCTCAAAATTTCTCAGCCCCTAAATTTTCAGTTTTCTAAACTTATCGATCTGCAACGTACATGTTAAACTTCCACCCTACAAATTATTTGCAATTCTATTATAGCATTGAAACATTACAGTACATCCTCAAATGAGCGTAGCCAAATGACGAAAAAGTACTAACACAAAAAGTAATCTAAGTATGACAAAATTTACCGTAGAATAAATTTTAAAGTTGATAAAAAAAAGAGAAAAAAATAATTCTTTTGTTCGCAGAATCACAGTGTTTATGACTCGACCCAATTCGACACAAACTCCACACCAGTGAATCCACTCTACGCAGCGTCTCTTCAGAGTCCAGATAGCATAACTGGTTACAGTATAGATAGTCAAGAAGGCCAAACTCAAGCGAACGGTTATCAACAGTGAACGTATCGTGTAGACTAAGAAAAGAACAAAAATATGGATTCAACGATTGTTCAACGACGTTGAAGGTGTTCCAAAAAAACCAATGTTCGATTTTCCTGTCTAAAAGGATCAGGATGGAACCGCCACGAGTTTATTTCTCGTATGATTCCAACGATTGAATCTAGTCGCTCTAAACGTTCTCAGAGCGTTAACGTGATAAACGGCAGGAACGTTTTGATTTCTTTGTGATAGCATCGATCGATCGCGAAGAACCCCAAGGAGCTGTTCTAAACATGTCCCAGCAATTGAATTTCTTCGCTCTACGTACTTAATCGGTTAGAGAATTCGTTTTTGTAGAAGGAAAGAAGTCTTGTGTAGAAAGATTGGCGTAACTTATTCGAGGTGGGACCCTAGATTTAGTTTAATTTAGGCAAGGTTTCATACTAGGTAATAGGTGGTCTTTGGAAATTTAGAATTTGGGGGTTTGAGAATTAGGGTGTGTGATTTAGGAAGTTATGGAAATTTGAGTGGATATTATACACCTCCTTTACAAGGGAATGAGCAACCCCAGAAGGAACGAAATGGACCCATCTTAGCCTAATTACGCCAATGCATCTAACAAGCATTTGAACATCAGTATCGAATCGTATCGATGATAAGCGACCCCACACGCAAAATTCGACTCCATCGAGGATCATAAATTTCTAATTAATTACTTATCATTTCTCCGTCCTCTTCACCAAAGAGACCTTCGATCGCGAGTATATCGTACACGCAGGATCGAGCACGATTAGCGCCGAATGTTCCTCGCTATTTTCCTACTTTTTGCATTAAGAAAAAAAACCTTTCGATCGGAACGACGCAAAGGACAATAGAAGCCGTCGAGACGAGCACGGCCACGAGGATCGAAACATAATTAAATTAAGTCTAGAGTAAGTGATAGAGTATACTCATGCTGGTAGATGCAATTTTGCTATACAACTTTACTGTACTCGTGTAAGCAAATGAGGAATTTGTAAAGTCGGGTTACTCTATCGCTAGATTTGGTTGGTCTAGTATACTCTATCACTTAGGTTTGAAGTCTAAGTTACATTGGTATTGCAAGGAGCATGGCAGTGCTGGTATCTTCTACTATCTAGATTCGAAGCATAGTAGTAGGATTACTGCTCTTACCTATACTAGCGTCAGTATACTCTATGTAGATTTCAAGTCTACATCTGGTATTACAAGTTTACAGTGTATTCTCTGCCGAGTTTGAAAGCTAGTAATAGGACTACTGTTCTTACCATGTTCATACACTAGGTAGTATATTGTACGATATAGAAGCATAATTGATACAAGTAATAGAGTATACTAGCACTGGTATATTGGAGCAATGGGAGAAGCGTGTCAATATTCAAAAATATCTCAAAGTTCCAATATTCCAGAGTTCCAATATCCCATGTCCTAGAGTTCCAATATTGCAACTTTCCCATCACCCAAAGTGCCAATCTCCCAAAGACCCAATATCCCAAATTTCCTATTTCCCAAAGTACCAATATTCCACAGTTCCAATATTCCAAACTCCCAGAGTTCCAATATCCCAAATTTCCAGAGTTCCACACCTCGAATTCCCTGCAACCCAAAGTGCCAATATTCCAAATTCTAATGTCTCAAAAGACCAATCACCAATCTTCTTCCACTACTCCAACCTACTAACGCTAATATACCTACTCAATTCTGTCATCTCTACCGATGCAAAAAGTACCAATCTCTGATCGTTTACACGAGTACTATGCATACAGTATACTCTACCAATGTAACCTAGACATTAAGGAGAAACATCCTTCGATGCTTCGCTATAACTAATTACGAAGACTCCATCCATCGTACATGTATATAAATACCCTGTACTCTAGTGTAAAGAATCGTGCTATTTATATATTAATATATACATATACATACGTATGTATTATACATGCATAAGTAACGTTATATTTATCGATATTGTATGTCCGTACTCGTAACGTGCTAGTTTTTGGCAGACTCGCGTCGGGCACGGCTAATTGATCAGCCATTTTTTTCTCAATTTGATACGAAAAAGCGGCGATAATCTCTGTTGATTTTCAACGATCAGTATGTTGAAACGTTGGAGAAAGGAATACTCTTTTATCTTTATTTCTTGCTCTCAAATGGATCTCGAATCTTTCTACTTTAATTTCACGACGAACAAATTTTGTACCATTTAGAGTTTAGGTAATTACACGTTGAGCGCCATGGGGTCACCGGTGACAACATTCTCAAATTTTCAGTTTCCTTGCATTTCTTAATTTTCACATTCCCTTTCCAACTTCTCAAGTCCCTAAAATTTCCAAGATTTCAAAAATTTCTGCATCTGCAAGTGGAGAATTTCAGGTAGACCATTTAAACCGTGGCGATTGACGTGTGAAGCGATATAACGTTGAACTCGAGGATTTTAATTGACCTAACGACATCGAGTATCCAAATAAGGTTATCATTGGCGTCGAAGCGATGAAATCAGTAGCAATATAACTAACCATGTATTTTATAGTCTGATCCGTTTTGGATTTGTAAATACGATCGGATTTGTTCGACTAGTGACAAACAAGCAACGAGTCTCTCTGTCAATTTGCGGTCGGTTCAACTTCGCACTTTGAACTACTGTGCGTGGCTCGAGAGAAGTCTCGCGGATCAAATTTGCTCAGAGTGCAAAAGACACGCCTCGCGTATCTTTGAGCCGAAGCTACAACGTTCATATTATCGACTAGGCTCTTAAAATATTGCCGTCGCGAGACTTCTCGCGGGACGCGCACTCGTTCTATCTTGTACTCGTAACTGTCTGACAATGTGATGTCTTTTCTCTAGTTTACTCTTTCTTTTCCTTTGTTTTCTTGGTGATTGTCAGGTGGGTTGTAAAAGGCAATACTTCGAACGCGTAACAGCGATTATTATATTTAATGAGAATAAAATTACATTTCAATCGGATGGTGATTTTTATACCTCTTTCCCTTCCATGCTTTTATAATTCGTAGAATGGGGTATCATTTATTGATAATTAGCTACGTGAAAATACTAGGGAAGATCACGCGATCATAAATTAATGAAGCTGTACATTTTAGTATTAACCGAAGTGGCTCGTACATTAAGGTTTATGAGGGGCAAATTATAGAAAGCTCTATGGCGTCTCCATCACCTTTTTTGTTATTTAATGCCTAAATTTAGTCACTCTTTACGTACGAAAATTGCTAAAAAAACCACGAAGAAATGTAGCTCAATTTTCATAGGCCGCTGTTTAACCTAATCGATTTCGATTGGAAGAGTATCGGTGAAAGGTCAAACGACGAAAAGATGGAGGCGATAAGAGGGCTATGACTGAGGCGTTGATTAAACCTTGGCAGGAAGAAAGGTTCAGAGACTAGATTTCAGCCACTTAAATTTTCGCCACGCGATACGCTCGTGCTATAAATACAAAGTGCATGCATGCGCATTATTCGCGCTCCAACTTGCACCACCTTTTCATGGACAAGGCTAGCCAGAGGGTGACGATTAGTTACGGTACAAGGATCATCGCCACTTTCCGTTCGATTGCCTCCCATTGCACAATATCAGAGGCCACCTTTTTTCTTTTCTGCCTCGAACGGTCAGAGAGTGCATCAACACCTTGATATTGTACTTGTTTACAGAAACTGCGTGCCGATCGACTCTGCTCGCTAGTATAACTATCGAATCGATATTTCACAAGGATTTCAACACAGGTGATTAAAATAGGAGCAATTTAATTCTGCAATTAAAAGATAATTCCCTAATTTGTGCTGAAAATAGAAGCTGAAAACAAAGTCGTGTCTGGTCTCGTTTTAATTAGAAAACTGTCAGAAATTCATGGATAAAAGTTTCATAAGACTTGAATAATGTACGATTATTTTCTGGAAGGGTAACGAAGAAGGGATGTTTCAAGATTGTTTTCCCTTCATCGTACCCCCGGTGCTATAATGTCCAAACAAGCGTTCCAGAAGGGTAGAGAAAACGTTCCACCAGGATGAGTTCACAGGATGTATCCGTGACGAGGGGATGAAAAAAGAGAAAGAAAAAAAGCAGGAAAAATTTGTTACGTAAATGAGTTCTTGACCAAGCAGAGACGCGTTATCGAGATCGAGTACGACGTCTTTCCCTAATGATGATACCCGGTCTAATTAAGTCTTGCTCCATTTTAATCAGCACATCGTATGTGACGTGCTCTGTTCAGACAATGTTGCCAGGAAAATAAAAGGGTGTCCTAAATACGACGCCTTTCAACGAGTAATTGGACACGCTTTTGCAATTAGATACTCGTGTTTCGACAAAATAATATGTATATCAAGATTTATTCATAAAAAATGTAGTTTCCTGAAAAATTTTTAGCAAAATGTAATGCGTTATTTTTTTAATTTATCAGGAATTTCAATTGGTGACTTTCTGAAGTCCTAAAAATTTTTATTTCTCAAAATCCTAAAATGGTAAAAATAAGGTATAAATGAAAATTGATCAATGTAGACGAAATCCTTGATAACGATCGCTATATACGAAGGATTCGAACTATAGAGAAAATGCGGTTTTGGCAGTGATCCAAAAAATAGGATTGTATCTTGTCGGGTCGCGTTAATATGCACCGTGTACATTTGTATAAACCGTATCACGAATCGACAAACCGTGAATATCGACATTTTCACAGATTTCCACTTTCGAAACAAACGATAATTCCATATTTTTTTAACCTCTCTTAAATATATAATCTTGCAAATTTTTTAACAGATTATAAAACATATCAACATAAATATTTACAAACGCGATAAGAACAATCTTGTATAGGCGTACTATGAACGGTAGCTGAAGACTTTTCGACGGTGAAATCTGACACGTACCCTTGAAAACCTTAAGAGTGTAAAACACTTCACGCTAGAGAGAGCAGTTACTTTGCTCTTTCACGAGATATACTGCAAAAACGAGCGAAAAACAACTTCGAATCGTTCCTATTCCTATTTTATTCGAATCTCGATAATGAAAAGCTAATGGAACGGAAAGTTCAATTCGTGGAACCTGTTCACCTCGCTGGATCGTTATAATTGTTCGTTCAATTAGTTTTCGTGCTCGTTTTGTAATACCCATTGTTCTTTAAAATTATAGGATTTCGAAATGGTACGATAAATGATTTCGGTATGAAACAAGAGAATTAACCCTCCGTTCTGTCGACAATATGGTAAAATAATATATTCTATAATATCAAAGAAATTTATTATAAAATTGTTCAGTAAAATCTTTGGCTACTACTTTCTTATACACTGATTTATTTATAACTAGTCTACCATTCCTTAAAAAAATATTTAATTTCGTGCAACGCGATCTTTGCACAAAATTCCGCAAGTTCACGGCGAGAAAATATCGTTGACGAAAGATTGGAAAAACGGTGTCAGAACAGCGGGCGCTCGGACCAACGTCTGACGTCTATTCTGTTTTTCTCCCTAGGGGAACTCTAGCATGTATCCCGGGACGCTTTTCTTATGGCGGATAAACGGCGCCTGAAGACCTACTTCGGCAGCGTTCAAGGATACCCAGAACATTTCAAAGAATCGAACGCAACAACAAACAGAAAATACTCGACAGTTTTCCTTTCGGAACCAAATTCTCGCACGTTGCAAAATGCGGACTCTTTTGCAATCGCAAAGCAAGGTTAATCAAATATACAATATTAATTTTATTCTTACAGAATTAAAGCTTGACATATTTAGGACGTTAAAAATTACTCTCAACATCGGTGACATATTTTTATCAGGTTTGTTTGACATTATCTGTTTATCAGCGTTATCTTTTCTGACGGTGATATTCAATGTGTAGGGGGAACACCCGGTACATACTCCCAAGATATATGTAACATTTGCATATAATAAGTAAAACTGAAAATTGGCGAGAAACATAATCTCTCTGGCGCCAGTTAAACTTGGTGCATTTAGCAAAAGGAAATTAAAAGAAACTACTGCTGGATAGCGAGACATAGTGGAAATATGATTTAATGAAAGAAAGAATAAAGCAAATGTCATTGATATAACTCGATAATAATCCGACCGGCTAAACTGATATTAAATCAAGCAATATCCCCAATTACCTCAATGACGGTGTCACATAATTATGTAGGCACACGATTGCTATCGTATGAAACCGTGGTATAAGTACACGTTATGAAGTGTCTGGCTTGCAATTATTTAAAAACGAACAATAGCTGTTACAATTCTAAACAATAACTATTGCAATTCTAAACAATAAACAAATGCATTGGTACACTTTTGTTTAGTTAAAAAGAGGAGATGCGAAAAGAGGAGCAAAGGTAGATGTTTCACCCAATCGGCTGGTCAAATATTTAGCGACACGTGTACAGCCGTTGTTGTTCCCAGGATAATCCGGAGGATAGGGTATTGTTGGTGGCCGTTAAGAAAGGACATCAGGGATGAAACACGCATAACTCGACACGGACGCTTAGAGCTACATGCGCGCTCCACCGTCTGCCATCATCTCAAATTGCAATCAATAGATACCCGACGAGACGGCGCCGAAACCTGCCTTTATCCAACGTGGGCACAAAACAAATAGAGGGTGTCCGAAAAGTCACGCGATCGAATAATGGGATACGTCGGGGGATTCGAACATTCTAAAAATGTAGGTTCAGGTACACCGATGATTGGAGTTGAGTGAGTGGTTTCGACTACTTGGACTTTGAAGTTCTGAAACTTTGGAATCTTCAGATTTTGCTAATGATTTCAGAATTTTGAAATATTGTGTCCTTGAGATGTTGGGAATGGTTGAACTTTCAGACAATACTAATGCATTATAGGCGGGTGGGTTGCGATAAATTACAATTCCCGAAAGCTGTTCTCCAATTAGAAAAGTTTGGGAAACTGATCTATATGTGTCTCTTCTACTACTAACTCTGCTTAGTCCGTGAGATCGTGTTGTTTGAACAATAATTCTCGACCGATTTCTTTTCATGTTTCTAACACGGACGACTTAATTTGATTTTAATAATAAAAACTTGTTACGTGAAATAATTTTCTAATACATCATACTTGAATCCCCTACCTAATCGGTTATTGTACATTAAATTCAATTCCTTTTTAACAGCTTGTACAGCGTCGAACGTGGCATAAAGTGTAGCATGCATTTACAAAATGATAGGCTATCACGGAACCTGCCTCCCTTCCGTTTAATGCATTATGCATCAATCATATTTCATCCTTTTATGCTAATGATACTCCCTGGGGTATTAACATTTTTCATCTGCTCGTACAATCGCGTGCAACCAATATCATCAGTCAACGCGTGCACGCGTGAAAACGTCAATCACTGTAGATCTTTATCAAACCCTGTAATTCCAGCCTGCATTACTATTACAATATCAGTGTTGGTTTGAAAGCATTTGCAGGAGTAATTACAATAAAATAAATTGTTTGACAATTATATATCCTTAAAAAACGAAACATTCGTTTGTTCGAAATAAATGTATTAATTATTTTTACACGGTAATACCGTGTTAACATTTCCTTTGTCCCCGTTCTACGGATAAAGACCCGATGTTGAAAAAGGGTTTATTAAAATAATTAATTAAATAAGCCGCGTCGAAGTTCATTATAACGAGTAGAACGGCATCGCTGACATACAATGTTCTCGACCCCTTTCAGAAAAATGTAAAAGCTTCCCAGATTAAATTTCATTACGCTAGGAGACTCGCGCTTTGTTATCCGCCGGCGGATCTATATGCCGCAACACGACCGGAAATGAGTTCATAAAACTGAGACGTTAACTCGGTGTCGCGTTGGACAAACGATATAGGTGTTAATTTCACTGTGTCGGGGGGTGCGAACTATATAAATTGCGAAACGGTTCGCTAATGGGCTAAATGGAGAGATTTCTGCGTTATCTCATTAGGGAAAATCGAGAAGCTTTGCCATTTTCACGACTCGGTATATTTTATAGCAAGCTTACTGTTGGTAATGAAAGTCGGAAAGGTTAATCGTATAATAATTCATGATGTAATGGGCATGATATGACCAAATGACTGTAATGCTAAAGAGCAGACATCAGTCTGGTGAGAGAGTGTGATGTGTCCACATCATCGATAAACGCGGTATTATAAAGCTCGTGAATATTCGCGCCGAACGATGTTTCTAACAAGCCCATAATTCGTGCGGTGTCGATCGTCCTGGCACGCGTACTTCGGTGAATGGGGAAGAGGACAAAGGGCGGCAAAAGCTGTGGAGGACGCAGGAACGCGGAAGCGAGCGCAGCCGCGAAAAGCGTAGGAAAGAACAGCGCCGACGCTGCGAACGACGCCGACGCCGACGTCGAAGCGGTGTTCGGAGCGTCAGTAGAGATGCGTCCGCCGTTACGGTGTATGATGGGTGTCAGTTAGCCCGCGGGTTAGGTACGGGGTGGATCCAGCCGAAAGTTAGGGGTGCGTCGGGACGCGTGGGTCGGACGGTGTGCGTCGATTAGAGGTCTTCGTTTCGACCGCGAGGAATTTTATCGACATACCGATCGAACGGGAGATCGAAGAGGATCCTAGCGAGAGTGCCATGAGAAGCAAAAGTGCTGCGACGGGCGTCCTGCAAACGTTTCGAAGCGAAAGGACGACAAAGTACGACTAAAAATAAGTAGACGCTGCTTCGATCATCGTCTCGTCCCTTCTTTCGCTCCCCTTCGACACGCGATCGATTTTATTTCTTACATAGGGATGAACGATGAAGCGTGGACAAAGCGGCATTCGAGAGGTGCCGCGCGCGTGTGTGATGGTTAACCTTTAACTGACGGGCAAACATCGTTATTTCGAACGTAGTTTGATTCTTTTATTGATCACCGATTTGCCTTTCTACGAGCAGTCGGACAGATCTGCCCGCCGGGCAGATACGCGCGGGACGCGACGGCTCGCCTTTCGATTTCAACATTTTTCAACTTGAGACTCGAACATTAAACAAGCTCCAAAATAAATTTCCTAGTCAAGGAATCTTTGCAAATTTAGAATCTAACTCAAAAATTCGGAAACTTGATAACATAGAAATTTAGAAATTAAAGAATTCTAGACCTTTAAGTCGAAAAATTGATCAGCATCTGTGATCATTTGCCCTTACATGTCCCGCGCGTTATCCATAATCGTGATCATTGAATTCTAAATCTTAGGATCGTAGCGCAAAAGAGACGTGCAAAAGTTGCGTGATTAAAAGGCGGGAACGATGGTGCTCGATTAACTCTTTGACTGGTATTTGTGACTCGAACAGCTTTTAGTATTATTACTCTTCGATTCCACAGAAATAGTAGCAGTAATTAATTTATTGTCTTTCGTGTAGATTTATATTTGTCTTCCGACTTGAATTGAAGGTTCTTTCTATTTTTACTCGCTAATTCCTTGATGCGGGTATAGTGGATTATTAAAAGAATGGAGCACGCGGTTTTATCGAGGTGATTAAGGATCGTTAAGGATGTAATTTGAGCAATTGAAATGTTGCTTTTACGAACCTTTAGAATTTGAAACAAAGTGTTAAACGCGGTATGAATACACGAAATAACATTTGAATAGAATTTATGGATGAATTAAACACTTTCGAAGGCCGTCGATCAGCAAAAGTACCTAACAATAATCGATTATAACGTTGTTATCGACGAAATAATGCGTTTAATTACGAAGTCACTATGAGTTTATCGTTCGATAAACATCGCGTTCGAAACACCAGTCGTTTGATCAACGTCACGGCAAATAATTAAATTCTTGCGAGTACAGAACAAAGGAGAATAACGAGGAACTAAAGGAGAGCGTGGAGTATTCGTGAAATGGAGAAGCTCGAGTTCTGACCTAAGACAAACGGAAGTGGCTCAAATTCTTTCAACGATGAATCGAGAAAACGAGGAAGTACGTTTCGAAAAGTATTCTCTATTTTCCAAATATAAAATATTGTTAATTTTAAAAAGATTTCTGAACATTCGTTAAATATTAATCAATCGATTTTACATTATAAATTATTCGAAAGAAAAGTTGCTAACTTTAAAGTTAAAAATTTGAAATTCGCGATTAAAGAATTTTGTAAAGGATCGATGTGGAAATCTATCGATGAAGAATACTGAATGTGAATTACGTTTGTACAGCAGCGACCAGTTTCCCAAACGCTTTGCGGGGCTTTGCAAAAAGAACCAAATTGCAAATGTTTGGTGTTGTCCGTGTTAATATACGGATGCCTTGCCGCAGTGACGTGGTGTAGATGCGCGAATGTCACCAAGGTACGTCACTTCCTCTGCATTACGGAATTATTGTTCGAGTAGCATTTCACTATCGAAAAGGATCGTCAGATTTAGTCCGTTCGATCGATCGTAACGATACGTGTCTTCTTGTTCACTGGAAATGGGATTATTCGTAGGTGGTGATCAATTATTCGAGGTATCCGATCAAAAGTACCAGACACGTGTCACCCTGCGACGATGGGTACATTTATATTCCCGTAAGTATGGAATGCTTTCAGCTACTAAATTTATACTTTCCTAATTTAGCTCTGATCGAGTATACCACATTTGGATACGATGCAGGTTACAAATTTTTACAGTCTTCTGTTTGAAAGTTTCAATATTTCCAAATTCCCATCCCCAATTGTCGAGTCCCCAATCTAAATTCTTTAAATGCTTTTTTTTCATCAAATGTCCACAATCTAACCACCCAATTATCAAAAATTCTGAAAGCTTAAATAAATAAACGGAGACCAAAAAATGTGCAAACTATCTGGTATCCGATCGCATTTAATTAGAAAGGAAAATGATGTTTTATGTTTCAGGTGGCGTTTATGGGAATGTTATACCTGGTTTACCTCGTGGAATGTTACCATTCGCCGATCAGGATCGATCTATTGCACGCGGAGAGCCAAGACAGCGTCCTATCGAAGCTGTCGCAATTAAAATCGGCTCAGCCCACGATCTGGTGGAAAGCTGTCTCTTACCATTACGTTCGCAGGAAACGACAAATTACGCGGTACAGAAACGGAGACAATTACACTACGACGCAGGTAACGCATATCGCGCAACGTGCAACGCATATCTCGTAATCCAGACGAAGGGAATGTCGCGGGATGGTAAATCGTTGATACGCTTCGCGAGAGCCTGATTAAACGTTCTACGAGGAAAGGTGGACCATTCTCTAACGCTTCAAATTCTATCATTCCTAGAATCTCAAGAAGTCATATGTTCTCCAACAACTCTTCATCCCCAATGGTCCATCTATCCTCGATCCATCTTCTTTTTTAACGCTGACCATCTTTCAGGTATACTACGAGAGAATCAACACGCACGCAGCAACGTCATTTTATTATTACGATTACTGCGGCGTGAAGGATATCAGCAAAGATTTAATTCTCGACCCAAAAGTGCCAATTACAAAGATTAATCTTAGTAAAGGGTTCGCTTTCTCGAACATGAGATCAGCGACCGAATTCGAGGAAGCCAGATCGAGATTCTTTGCCGAACAAGTACGATAATTCACAATCAATCGAAGGTCTGATACTGAAGTTTTTAATGATTAGTATGAAATATTGTTTCAAGGAGCTGAGAGACGATTATATGGAAATGAGAGAGGGACTGGATCTGGGATACAATTTAAATCCTACAACCCTAGTAGCTGTTCTTGGTAATCCTTGGTTCACCAATCGCTACGTGTACTGGTGTCTGAGTGCTCTGCTGCTTAGCTGGCCTTTGAGGGTTATTATAGAGTACAAAACCCAGTATGCGGATTATCAGGTACGAAATAGCTTAAATTCCTCAATTCTTGGATTTCTAACTATAACTCCTTTGTCGTACAAATGCACTTAACTATGTATTAAATTAATATAACCCTTCTTCACCAGATCACCAAACTGTTCGGGATTAATTACGACACCCCAAGCGGAAGCGAGCCGATACATGCGTCCATGAGCCAGCAGACCATCAACCAACCCGGCTCTTACATGTTGGCACCCAGTTACAGCGAAGCTCTTCTCATGGATCCAGCTCCCGACCACCGCCCCCAGGACCCGGCCATTACGGAAATGGTACCCAGTTACTCCGAAGCCTTACTCTATCAACGAGCCGAACAAGGTTGCATCAACCAGGAACCGAACAACGACAACCCGCACCATTCACAAGAATCTCGCGAATGCACCTGTCCTTGCCACATCGATGTCTCCGCGAACGAAGACACCAGACAAGACGACTCTGGACAGTCGAATGCCAGAGAACCACTGATACAAACTACCATCGAAATGCACCCAGTCTGTACCTATGTCACCCAAACGGAAGGCAGATGCGGAAGCTGCGGAAAATTCCTAGTCGAGGCACAAATGGAAAACTCGGAGATCTCCAGAAACGCACAAATAGAACCTGGAACTTCGGGGACTCAGAATATTAGAAGGGAGAAGAGCAACGTTATGCCCAGGGACATGTCTGAACCTAACCTCAGGTTCCGATCGGAGCTGATGGAAACCGACACCAAGTTTCTTCGACTGAACGGGCAGAGTTTGAGAAATATTCTGGAGAGCGAACACGAAGAGGAAGTTAACGAGGAGGAGAGGGTACGAACGAATTGGAATGCGGATAATGGACAACCGAGAGGAGAGAGGTTCAGATTTTCTCTCTGTTCTCTGGACGAAACTAGCACCCAGTCTGGGCCAGCTGTGGACGCCAGCAGAGGAGCGATACCGAAGAGGTCAGCGGGTCGAAGCAGGGTCATAGCTAACCCCATGTCGAACGAGACCTCTCCCCTACCCGACTCCAAAACTTACTTCTGTCTGAAGTCGATTTTGAAGCAGAACAATAGACGTTACACGTTGATCACGGCTAGAGAGCTTCAGAGTCTGTCTGATCAAGAAGACGAGGAGGTAGAAAGACGTCGTAGGGTACGAGCTAGCTATCACGAAGGCTGCGTCCCTGTGTGCGCAACCAATGGGGAGGGCAGGTTTAATTTCTTTTCAAGATCGAGGGAAAGTTTGGACGGAGCTGTTGGGAAGAGAAAGAAGCCTGATAGCTTGGAGTATGATAAGGCTGAAGATGGGAAATCGCTGCGGGAAAACACTAGGTAAGTTCTGGTAAGTTTTGGCTAATCGTTTAGTGGGGAGATTTGGATTTAGAAGTATTCCGAAATTTAAAAATTTCTGGCCATACAAACTCTGATATAAAATTCCACCTTCCTTAATAAATTTTCCAAATATTCCTTCCAGAACCTTAATCTTCGCGAGCCCGATTCAAGAGGTGTGTCCAGGGGACCCATTTGGCGGGAAAGACGTGGTTCAAACCCGACAGGAAGTGGCTTCTAGCCCCACAGAGGAGACACCCGGCCACACAGTCCTCGGCCAACTGGGACGGTCCCTAACTTGCGACCGGAAGTCCCGTCGTCGAATGCAAGATGCTCGTAGACAACGCTACTCGGACTCTTCTCATCCTTCCTCTTTCTCCTGTCCCCCGGATCGTCAACATCCTTACCCGTACGCGTTTTCAGCGTCCACGAACTCTATGGACGCCATAGAGTTAGTTTCTTCGACTGAACGGGCAGAGTTTGAGAAATATTCTGGAGAGCGAACACGAAGAGGAAGTTAACGAGGAGGAGAGGGTACGAACGAATTGGAATGCGGATAATGGACAACCGAGAGGAGAGAGGTTCAGATTTTCTCTCTGTTCTCTGGACGAAACTAGCACCCAGTCTGGGCCAGCTGTGGACGCCAGCAGAGGAGCGATACCGAAGAGGTCAGCGGGTCGAAGCAGGGTCATAGCTAACCCCATGTCGAACGAGACCTCTCCCCTACCCGACTCCAAAACTTACTTCTGTCTGAAGTCGATTTTGAAGCAGAACAATAGACGTTACACGTTGATCACGGCTAGAGAGCTTCAGAGTCTGTCTGATCAAGAAGACGAGGAGGTAGAAAGACGTCGTAGGGTACGAGCTAGCTATCACGAAGGCTGCGTCCCTGTGTGCGCAACCAATGGGGAGGGCAGGTTTAATTTCTTTTCAAGATCGAGGGAAAGTTTGGACGGAGCTGTTGGGAAGAGAAAGAAGCCTGATAGCTTGGAGTATGATAAGGCTGAAGATGGGAAATCGCTGCGGGAAAACACTAGGTAAGTTCTGGTAAGTTTTGGCTAATCGTTTAGTGGGGAGATTTGGATTTAGAAGTATTCCGAAATTTAAAAATTTCTGGCCATACAAACTCTGATATAAAATTCCACCTTCCTTAATAAATTTTCCAAATATTCCTTCCAGAACCTTAATCTTCGCGAGCCCGATTCAAGAGGTGTGTCCAGGGGACCCATTTGGCGGGAAAGACGTGGTTCAAACCCGACAGGAAGTGGCTTCTAGCCCCACAGAGGAGACACCCGGCCACACAGTCCTCGGCCAACTGGGACGGTCCCTAACTTGCGACCGGAAGTCCCGTCGTCGAATGCAAGATGCTCGTAGACAACGCTACTCGGACTCTTCTCATCCTTCCTCTTTCTCCTGTCCCCCGGATCGTCAACATCCTTACCCGTACGCGTTTTCAGCGTCCACGAACTCTATGGACGCCATAGAGTTCGGTAAGAACGAGACGTCGGCTCGCGTTTACCATCACGCGACATCTTTCCCGCCGTACGAGGGTTGCAACGAGAAGATCGATCAAACATCCGACAGTGTTTCGACAGAAAATTCGAAAGAACTGACCCGTTCTCTGACGGAGAGACGAGCGAAACCTGTACGTCCCGACGCTAATTTTCGCAGGAGTTTCACGGGCAGGGTCGAAGATTACAGAACGGAGAATAACAAGTGGACGAATTTGAACATGGAGACGTCGTTATAACGAAGGAATATTTAAGCCAATAGAAAATAACTGTAAATATCCGTCCTACTTTTCACGGTTCAAGATCCTGTAAATACGAGTGGCACGAGCTAGTAGTCCGCTGAATGTGTCCGTCTTAATACTATTCGCTGGAGGTTTTAGGGAGATTGCCAGATGATTCTTTGGTCAATATGTACAAAATGGACTCGGTATATGCTGAGTGAGTTGATACATAAGCAGAAGAAGAGTTTAGGACTTCCTAAAATTTCTGAGGAATGGTAATGGTTCAAAGCAGTGTTGGGCTTTGATGAGTAGAGATCTTTTAATTTGAAACTTTGAAAATTTGTCTTCCTAAAGTTCTACATTTCCAAATTCAAAAATTTCAACATTTAAAAAATTTGTATATTTTTAAATTTCTAAATCCATGAAACTCTAAATTTCCGAATCTCTAAATTTTCAACTTTCCAAATTTCTAAATTTCTCCATCAGCCCATCGCTTACACGATAGATCGTCAATTTAGATTTCGAAGAAAGGAGGCGTGAAACGCTATCGAAGATGCCAATAGGAATTGCCTTGCATGTATCAAGGTATCCAAAAAGAATTCTGCAATAAGCAGTAAAAGGTTCACGCGATATCGCGTGTTCAATCGCCGCCAAATGTCCATTCACGCGATATCGCGTGGAAAAACGTCACAACTTGACCCGAGTATTATAAATCTTTGCGCAACATATTAGACCAAATCATTCAATGACTATCCAATATCGTATCGTATGATATCGAGCATATGATACGACCCTGCAAAAAAAACGCAAAGCATCGAATGTATCGCGATGTCAATTCATAGTGAACGTGATGTTTGTAAAAAAATCGTCCGCTCAAACGCAAAAGAGAAAACTGTAGTTTTTAAACGGGTTCGAACGTGAATGATCGAGAAGGATAATCCGTGCCGATAGGAAAGAAACGATTGAAAGTCTTCGCTTTTTCGTGCATAGATACGAAAGTATACATATACATTATATATTTTTGTCTACACGTTTGCTCGCGAGAAGCTAACATAAGAGACGAGGCAAAATATCGTACAAGTACGATTTATTGTTTTTATCGATCTCTCAATGTTTCCACCGAGATCTTTGTATTACTAGACGGTATGTTACGTATATACATTGTACTATTATACATAATTGTCGCGAAAGAACAAACGCACCGTTATATGCTTTTAGGAAAATATTTTTCATATACTCGGATAATGTGTATCGATGCCAATTGCTGATCGTGATAATCATTGATAACAATTATTATTAACATGGTCGTGGTATAATTAAGATCATAAATTCACGGTAGTTTTCTATGAGAAAGGCTATTGTTAAATAGTATTATTTAATTGGAACAGTTTTTATTAGATATTTGGTAGAATTTCACTTGTGTCTAAACGACGCAGTTTACAGCGACATCTAAATATGGCGGGAGTTTACAGTTCCGGCGCTTTTTACGATCGTAATACGCACATGACAAAAATTTACTTAATATTAATCACTACGACTTAGTAACAGCAATTCAGTACTACACGACTTAATTATACCACGATAATATTCGTCTATGATAAGTTAATCCGGATTTCGAAGTCCATATGTGCATACATATATGTGTACGTGTAATTCAATACGATTAATGCTACCGACAAAAATGTAACGTTAATGTACGTTACGATTTACGTCAATCCATTCGAAAGAAAATATGTTACCTCCTTCAAAGACGGGAAAGGATATATATTCGTACGAATATTCCATATGTATATTTATCATATAATTTTATTGTATAAACGAGAGAAAATTCAATCGAATGGATTGAAACTTATTACATGCATCGTAAATGGCTAGTTGCCGAAATAGTATTCACTCACCATTTGTTGAAAACGATGAACAGCGGCGAAATTTCCCTCAGAAATTGTCCCAACCAGTAGATTTGCGTTCCGGAATTGAAGTTTTCCTTAAAACGGCAGGTTTTTCCACAAATATCACCACATTTCTTGAATTTTTCACACGCGTACATCGCTCACGTCCGCACTTGTGCAAATCAAACCGCGTTCTGCCAAGATGGCGTCAGCTACGCTGGCGTCCTCGCTTGGCGCCAAAATTAAATGGTAGCCGCCGCGCGAACATATACTATCAGCCAAGAGTTTGGATACTCCAACTGCATTTATGTTCTATATTAAACACACGAACGTTACAATTCGTTAAATGACAAATGATGAAGCATGTGATAAGAAAATCTTCGATACTCACGATAATTGTATAATTGTTAAGGCATCTCAGGATAACGCGCGTGATTATTATTTAAGTTTTACATGTAAAACGAATAATGTATGGCAATTTTTTATTCCGCGTACAATAGAACTTTTTGATAGGTACAATACCGAGCACAATAGGCTTTTCTGCGGAAACATTTGTTTCGCAAAAGAAAGCCTACGTTGCAGTCGCGTGTACGTTTAACGGACACTGTATCGTAGAGGCACTTTCCATAATGGCGGATGTACTGCGGTTAATGTTGCTGCAACTAAATTTAAATTTTTTATAACGATACTCATATTCCGTTAAAATTTGATACGATAGAACTTATTTAAAAATTGATACACTAATTATTCAGAAATAAAATCATGGCGCAATTATTATAAATATACGTCGATTTATTTAACAGGATATGTATTGATTAATTAAAATTTCCGCGGTAAAATCGAAAGTGTCTCTTCCAACGAACCATTCGCGCCTTTAACATTTGACAATTCATCGATTCATAGTTTCATAGAGGCAAATTTAGGCTTTAAGAATTAATCGACGATTTCAATGCCAAACGTGTGATTTAAATTCGAAAAATCGAACGGTACTTATCGATAACAGAAAACAATTTAACGCCAAACTATTATAATATTAATACGGATTCAAAATTCACTTTACTACGAATTTTTGACCGAGCAAAACATTTGGATTAAGAAAAACAAATATATTTCATGAAGATTTGGCTACCACAAAGATTGCACGCCAAGAAGAATTTCGTTGATTATCGCTTTGGTGTTCGTGCAAAATTTTAAATAAATACGCGATGTATTTTAAAGCCCTGGTGTAACCGAAATCCTTATTGCCGTGCAATATTCAGAACAGAAAAAAAACCATGCCGTCTCAGAAAAGTGCTCTTCTAATTAAAATTGTTATTATAGGACGAATTGTCTATTATTATGCGATAATTGGAAGCGCGTATTCGTTCGCGTAAAAAAGCCTGTAACTATATATTGCTGCGCATATAACTATTATTATTATTCTTATTAATGACGATATACAAATCATTCCTGTAAAAAAAAAACAAACAAACAATATGGTTATAGTACAATAAACGTTGACACGAAAAAGGAACATATTTTCTCGTAACACGTGCGACTTTAATTATCCGTTTAACGCGTCAAAAGTATCGAGTGGTTAAAAAATGAAATACTCGAGTATTTTAATTTCAATGTATTTTTCTAAAACCTGGGACAGTATTAATAAAAGTATAAGACACAGACACGAGTGAGATAATAACAAAGATAGACTAAAATCTGACCACGATAAACAATATTATGCATTAGAATCACCGATACATTACTGGCATAATATACAATCGAATACGACACTAATATATCGGATATGAAGAATTTGTTTGATGCGTGTGTACCGGTATTATCGACGTTTACATACTTTTTGTTTCGCTCGTTTATAAACATTCACAGGAAGGGGGACAATAGGAACCTTCTTCTTTTACTTGTGCCCACTTTGCTTGCCATATTAAACAATAAAGTGTCTTTACATAACTATAATAATAAGTATATTTTCTTTTCCTTGCGAACACTTGACTTTATATGAACAGAAAATTAGATATAGGACTCTTCGTTTAGTTGGACTAGCAATATCGGCAGACCATTTGACAGGCTAGTTCACAACGATTGTACGATCGGCGAATCGCAGTGACTTTCGGTGGAACTAATTTTTCACGTAACCATTTTGTGTGTAATAGACCCGATAATAAAGCGTTTTACTTCGCCATAGTGAGTACGCATTATCGAACTTGAGAAGATATACGCCCTGCAATAAAACATAGTCATAGTTGCATTGAAAGTAAACATTAAAATTAATATTGAATTAATATTTATTTACCTGTCCTGGATATCTATGACTTCCTGCATAGATCTCTTCTTGTGAATCTCTCCTATATATCTGTAAAGAACAGTATATGATCATAAAATAATTAGTAAAATCACTTGCTCAGTGCTAATTAAGCTATAATTATATACTTACAGGTACTACTACACTTATAGGTGGTGGCAATGGTTTGTAATCAGATTGAATGGTATCATTAGATACTCCACTTTCCAAATCTTCTTTTGATTCATAATCATCATCGTCCTCATCTTCATCCTCAGATCCATTAATATGTACTGATACTTGATTTGATTCTGGTTTTGACCATTCAAAATATACTCCAAAACCAATATCATAACCATCAGTTGCAAATTCCCAAAACAGGCAGGTGCCATCTTCATGGGTTGGCACTCTAACAGTTAAAGTTTCTCCATGTCCAACTTTAATAACAGCATCACCAGCTTCTCTCCTGATAATTTCTTTGAATTCCTCCACTCCTTTCCTTGTCCACATCTCTGCAGGAGCAATAGGTGGATAATCCTCTAACAACTCATCCGAATCTTCGTCATTTATTGAAGCTGCTTCATTTGTTTCTTTGTGCTCTTTTATTTCTTCGTTTTCTGTTGCCACATCATTTGTATCTGGGGTTTGTTCTTCTATAACTAACTGATTTTGACGCAATTGTTGCATATACTGATGATAATGTTGTTCTTGTAGTTGTCTTATTAACACGCCTTGCTGTTCTGGATTACCAGGATATTGTTGTTCTGCATACATTTTAAATTGGTAATATGTTTGTTGATTTAAGGCATCTTGAATTTGTCTCCTTTGAATCTCTTCTTTTAATCTAGCTTCCTCTTCTTTCTTTTTTTCCTCATCTAATTCTTTCAATCTTCTTTCTTCTTCTAATTTTCTGGCTTCCTCTTCCTTCTTTAACCGTAATTTCTCTTCTATATCCCTTCTTTGCGCTTCCACAACCGTTCTAAACAATGGACACAACTTATCCAATAAAACTATAAATCCTTCCATTGCCTGTTCCTTAGATATATCTCCTAAATTTTGCCATGCTAAACGCCTATCCCTTCCAATTACATCCAACACACCCAAAGGTGGTGCATTTTCAGCCGTACACTTGCCATGTGTTACTTGTTGAGTAAAAGCCACCAATTTTAATTTGTCTTCATAAGACAGGTGAACTGCTTTACCCTCTTTTTCTACAATAACATCATATTTGACAAAATATCGCATAAATAATGAAACAAATTTTTCTTAACTATAATTCTCGCGTCTATTTACTATGCAACCTGAACACGAGAGCAGGTATACAAAATCAACGAAACAATCACGAATGAAGTTCTCATAAAATTCTGTACTTCAAATTTTCAAAGTATTAAAAAACCATTAATGCAACAAGGTGATAACGTATATCTATGTAGATACGTCATTTTCCTCATACAATGCGTAGAACCGAATGGCAAGATTATTCTAGTAAACTATCGATATCATCGACTCACCTTTATAAAAGTTAACCGCGATTCTATATAATTCTCGAGTTTCGAATCCCCAGAAACAAGGTTCCGATCTCTTCTCGTTCTCTTTGTCATTCTTATTCGTTGTCGGTTTCTCTGCAGATATTGTTAATTTTTCAATTTTCTTTCCTACTAAGGAAATGTCACCATTGGTGCCCGCCATTTGCAATTGCACTGACACGTCAAACACTGTTGCTACAGCTGTCCTAACCTTACTCTCTTTAAAGTATTTACGAAAATCATTTCCTAAATTGTTGCAAAAACGAAAGGATAATAAAATATGAAGTGCAAAAATGTATCTACACCCGGTACTTTTATTATAACAACAATTCTCTATATATATATATATATGGTATCAACGATCTACGCAAAACCTTATCTGTCAGTCAATTACCACATCTTAAATTCGATGTGCGAGTTACGAGACTGATCGTCGAGGCAATCTCGATAATCGATCACCGCCTTTTATAATTCTTAGGCGCGAAAACCGTGACGGCCTAATTATGTCGTTTTCCTTGAAAACTTTATGTCGCTTAAAAGTATTTAGGTATTACTCGTTTGTTTTTATGAAAAACTATATATTCAGACTAATAGACGTACAATTTATATTTCATTGAACGATAAATGGATCTATTGGCGAGGTCATAGTGACTCCTTTCAGGATCCTACCTCGAATTTCAGAACTTTTTAGCGGAACAGAAAGTGTCTTTGATGCATATTCAACATGTGTATTATCGAAAGTGGTAAAATACGATGTTTGAAATTGCACCGACATGATTGGAAAGTGCAACTATTTACGAGCGTCGCGAGCAGATGGCTCCGTAAGCGGGAGCAACACGTTTAGTTTTCGACCGACAGTCGTCGAATGTGTATCGTCGGTGCACGGTATCGTCGGTTATCTCGTTGTCTGAGTGTATGTAGAGGCGCGGGAGAGGTAAAAGCGTCTGTACGCTTTCGATTCCGTGGGATCTCGTCAGACGTGACGGACAGATGCGTGCAGGACGAGCTATGCTGTGCCGGGTCGAGGCAGTGTGTCACTGAGAGCCGAGTTGGACCGCGCGCGCGCGTCCAGGCGGCAAATCGTGTACGCTTTTTCGTGTCTTTTCGCCATGGCTGAGACATACCGTTACCCGTGAACGCTTTTTATTTCCCTCCTTTCAATGTGTCACGCCGCGAAAGGGCTAATTTCGTGAGCCGCGAATCGAATCAATCGGTGACACCGGTACATGGAACTTTCCCCGCGGAGAGGGTTAAGCGGATAACGCGAACGAAGAGAGAGTGGTCCTGCAGCAAGGTTAGGTGAGTTCTTTTGTGATCCGGCACCGCTTATTTCGGCTCGTACGGTGTATTTAACGTGTCCGTGGTGCTGCATCGATTTTTGGCCACATCTTCCGGCCGGATTCTTGCTCTGTCATAGCGTTCCTTTTATTTTCCGAAATTTGTTGTCCTGGACCGGGAGAAGACGCTGCCTACGGGCGTCGTAACACACGACTGTTGGAACAAAGGCGTAACCTATTTCGTTCGCCGCGTTCGCTTTAGCACCTACGTCGTGTAACTTTGTAGCGCACAGGTGAATGGAAGGTTGTATGTTGTGAAACTCGAAGAACGTATGCATGTTTTACTGGCGCTGATCGCTTTTGAAGAATTGATCGACTGCTCCGGCAGCGTAACAAATCCGCGGACCTTTAAAGGTTTAAAGGCTGAATCGATGTTTAAATGCGATGTGATTACCGCTCATCTGTTTGAAGTCTTGCGGGAGAGTTTAGAGCGCGCTATAAATGTACGAGCCGCTCTCAGACCGAAACTCTTCTCCAATTTTTCTGCGATGTTACTGTCGATGCAGTTCGTTAGAAATAAAATACTAAGAAGGAAGTTGAACTGTTTATGCAATGAATCATTTTACTCCACGCTTTTTCCGCGTCATTTTTGCGGTTGAAAATAGTCGTAGACTCTCGTTATTTTATTCGCAAACTTTGCTAGTCTTTTGTATTTTATATAACATTTGTTGTTATTACAGATTAGTAATAAAAACACCAGTTCTACCTGTTGTAAGAATCCATTACATAAAACATGTATACACATAACCATCGACGTGTGAAGCGTTGTTAATTACTGGTTGATAATTACTCTAAAACGCTCTAAATTTATTCACTCGAGTCAACAATGCAGCCGCATTAGGAATTAAAATGTTCTTTTTCCTTATCGACGTAGATTTCTCGCGAGATTTCGTCATCGTTGCTTTGCGAGCGTGTAAAAAGGAAGAAAAAATAAAATCTTGTTATTTGCAATACACGATGTACGTTCGTGGAAGCACGAGGCGATGAAAATTCTTGTCCCTGTTCGTGGCCGATGCCGCATCAACACTTTTTCATTATCTGATTAATGAACGGTGTTTCTAAGCCGGCTACAGGAAATCGTCGTTAATTTAATTTGTATGCAAGCGAAATCTGGGTTAGTTCCAGATTAGAATTGGATTAAAATTAAGTTAGGCCTCAGGGGAGATCCAGCTCTCCTTTTGCAGGGAAATTGGCAAACTTGCTGATGTATCGAACTAAACTTCAATCAGAATTTCTTCCCTTACCACTTTTTTGTTTCGGTATAATTAAGCATCGAATACAACATTTTGAGTTGTAATAGATCTCAAATTCCATTACACCGAGTTGAAAGAATCGAAGTCGTTCTTCGGCACGTTCGCCTTAGAATACGTCCTCAGCTTTTGTAGGGCAAGCATCGGAATACAGCACAGACGAGATTTAATCGAGTGTGATCTTCCTGGCCAGTCACCTTCCAATTCCATTTAACGCAGCCATCACTGCGAGAATTAGTTCGTTTAAACCGTTTGTCTTTACAACCAAACATCTTTTCATTCCCGAACAATTTTACTATCTGGGTCACTTTTCATTTTATTTCGTGTGAAATTCGCTTAGTTCGCGTGGAATCACAGCGTGCAAGAGTGAAATTATAACGCTAGGAATCACAGCGCGTAGAATTACTAGAACAACATGTAATATAACACAGAACACGTAAAAGACCTCCCACATCCAGATATAAAAAAAGGGCGCAATAGTTGATCAGGAAGCAGATCAACGATAATCATTGATTCGAGCATCCTCTCCACGTAACAAATTGTACGCAACACTTTTTCACGGTTCTCGCGATTCGCCCACGCGATCGCGAAACACATGGTTAGTTCTCATCGCCTACAAAGAAGCTGGATGATGAGTTATACAATTAACGTGGCTTATATACGTCGTTCAAGGTTTCGAGGGCAATGAAATGGAGTGTGCGATATGTGGAGAAATACTTGTATATATTTCTTGAACGCGTGCACAATAAAGGCTTGTAACATGGAAGAGAATAGATAATTGGTAGGACATTCCGTTTGTGTGGTTACGCAAACGGCGATAAACTTTTTTATCCGGTGCGGCGAACCACGTTCTCAACGGAGATAGCACATCGTTGCTCATCTTCTAAAAGTAATCTTCTTCTTTCGAATGAAACACGTTAACAAGAATTTGCTATCAACACGAAGGAAAATTTATTTACGAGTACCCTGAGAAATATAATATACATAGTACAATTTATTACGTATGTAGTATAATTTGACCGATAATCGTAGTATTCAGGTTAAGAATTCATCGTAGAAACACTGAGTCGTAATCTAAGAAAAGTCTGTAAACAGAATTTCATGTATCACAGATAAAACTGATAACTCGTACTTACATCCAATCGATTGGATACATTCGATAAGTCGATTCGGTCAAAGGAGAGTTACATTTATAGAACATTCGAGGAATTATTTAGAGACAGACGAAGAGAGGTTGTTACTTAAGTTCACGGTCGCTCATTTTCTGGGCTGAACCCGCGTCTGTTGGAATCCTCTCGTTGTTGCAACTTCACACACGGTGTGCCTTTGTTTCAGCGTGCATCGACATTAAAATAATTGCAACCGCGTTTCTTGCTAGTCGCTTTCACCATTCGTTCGGTTTCGAGGGCACACGCGAGTTCGAGAAGATCTTGTTTCATTGTCTTCGCGTTGAATATTTCAACAAAATTAATTCTTTGTTGTACGAATTACTTCACTCATGCAATTATCTTCTTACGAGAAAACTTTCTGTATCGAATTATATAAACGTATCTTTTTCCGTTTATAGGAAATTCTCCGCGTAAGCGGAATCTCAAACTTTGGATATTAAATTTTCCACTTATAAAATATTCTGTGCTGTTAACATCTCTCCGGATTTATTATTTCACGAAAGCTTGCGATCCTGAATTTTGTAGATATTCAATGTTTTATTCATAGAAAGTGCTACGTTATTACTACTTTCCAACCTAGGTATTTTCACTGAAATTATATCGACATTTTTGCATCAGCATGTTCCAGGATTTTTCTATATCAAGTTTCTCTCTTTAGGTGCAAATATACCTACATGCAATCAGCCCAGTACTGAATATCCTACATCTAATTAAATCAGACGACATTAATTAAAAGTCCAGTGATTTCTTGACTGGTGGAAAAATTCAGTCATTAAAAGAAGTCCAGCTAGAAGCGGAGGCTCATGCGATGTTTACGGTGGCGTGCAACGAACGCAGACAAGTGCGAAACGCAAGTTGCACCCACATGAAGTCGTCTTTACCGAAAATATCCTATTAACAACGGGGTGAAAAGGGGGGTAACGGGAAGTCTTTGAAAAGCTGTGGAACGGTCTTCTGTCGTCTACCGGTAAGCCCTAAATCCGTTGACGTTGTAAAACACACGATTATCCTGTCGGCGGACCGGTCACCGTGGATAATGGACGAGACTGCCACCCATTAAAGCAAGGCCAATTAATCGAAACATATTACGTTGCTGTTTAGAATACGTCACGAGCTAAATTAACGCGAACGTGCACGCTCGTGATGGACTACTGCTCACGATTTAATCGTGCCTCGTAAATGTGTCTCACCTTATTCAGTTTTATCCTTCTTATCTATTCTCTGTACGAGTTTAACACTCTATTGTTAATTGACGTTTTTGTTAGGATGTTTAGTAAGATTGGTAGAATTTATAATAAAAAGATTCTGAGTGTTTACGTTATAAAATGTACTGTTTAATTTAGTAACGTGTACAAAATCTTTTGTATTAAAGAGTTTGAAAGAGCATGTATCAGTAATGTCAGTCATCAGAGATTACGATTAAAAACGTATCTTGTGTAATGATATATCTTAAAGATAGATGTATGAACAAGCAAACAATAAGAATATCTTATCAGTTAGCGAAAGTTCACTGCAATGATTTGAGGAAGGCGTTAATTATTAGATTCCGTTATTTTTCGAATGAAAATATTTACGAGGTTCCGCCACCTTCGAAGCTCGTGAAAGTTGGCGATCGGGAAAGAAAAGTTTCCAGCTACCGTGTAATAATTTTTCCATCTCCTCGGCTGGAAAAGTAGGGTCGAAAGTTTCGAACGACCCTCGGCGAACGGTTCAATGATTTCCTCGTAACTATCGCAAAAGTGGATCACAACCTGCGAGAACAGCATCGAATATTTCATCTGTTTCGAACTTTACATTAAAATTAAAAGTTTGCAAACGATTTGTTGCCTGCTATCATTTTTTCCAGTTGCTACGTGTCTGATAAATTCGAATCTCCAAGGTTGGGAAAATTTTCTTTATCTGCAAAATCAATTATTAAATGTGTGCATGTTTTTTAAGCACTCGTAAAAGAAGACACGAGCAGATAAACGTATCATTTAAGATTTTTCAGAAATTAATTTCTTAGTACGTAAACACTTGTTTTCTTGTATCGATAACTCGACATTTTTTAAGATAACGATATCTTTATGCTTTTCAAATTAATAACGTATAATATAAAAGAAAAATCGTATTAGTGTTACCATAATTGTTAGCCGCAATTAATTTCTTAATTTTTAATTTGCTAACGACTTATAGTTAACACGATATATAATTATCGCTAAAGTTGTACTTAAAAATCTGCAAACTACTTTTGACCGAAATGAACGTATAATGAATGAACGATAAGCAGACAGATTTTATTGAAATTCAACAAGTAGTTTAGATAAGACTAATCAAGCAATAATTCTTTATAATTGGCATTCGATCGTAAATTGTCACACGAAACGACCGATTGATTGAATTAACTGCCAGTGTTTATTCAATAATAATTTAGTCGATACGTTTGTGTGACGAGTTATATGTCGAACAAACATAGCGTTTCAGATTAAGCCGTTTTATCGTTGAGGCTCGGTGCAAAATTAGCACGAGACCAACATAAACGTTAAGTTTGCAATATTCGTTGACAGCTTTCTGAATTATTTACTTGCGGCAAATAAAGCTATCTGCATACCCGCTTAGAGCGTTGAAACTGCCTTACCCTGTTTTGTTTGTTATCGCGAATTGTGGCTGACATTGCAGAGTTCGTTGTTTAGGATTACAAATTAAATTAAGGTGGAGGTGAAGAGGATAATCCAGTTTGGGATTTCGGAGTTTTGGAGATTTGAGGAATTTGGGGATTTGGAAACTTTTGAAGGTAATTGAGAATTTAGAAATTTGAGAACTAGAGCTTCTCACGCTTACAGAAGAATGTTGCTAACGTTCTTGCCAAGTTCTAGGGCGCAAAATCGTTGAAATTTAACCGCATTTTCAGCTCGAAGGCCTATGTGGTAAAGTAACACGTAGACGAATTCGCGACACTTGATCAGCTCCGCGGCTGTAAACGAAGTCTGTAATTCAGGCCCTCCTAAAGTGGTCTTTAAGCTGATCAACGATATAGTAGAGGACCGCTAAAGTGGCCTTCGCGAGCCGAAGGTTAAGATCATCGATTTCTATCTACGCTCATTGGCGTAACTAGATGGGAACTAGGGCGGGGATCACGACTGGAACTAGATTACTTCGAATTTTTAATTTTGCAAAATTAAGGTCCCCGATTTTTAACGTCCTAAAATTACCTAGCGTGGTGGTATTAGTAAAACTAGGGAATTCCCCTTCTAAAGTTAATTACAGTCAATGTCAGCGTATTTTAATGACTGTACGCTTCATGACTCGCACGATTTCATCGTAGGAAATTAGCACTTTCCATATTAACGTGAGAATTGTTTATTTTTGAAAAATGAAGGCATAGGTTTGGCAAACACTACGATTATTACTTAGTACTAGTAATTGTCAAAGTTAATGCAATAATAATATTATCGACACCATATTATCATTGACAACAATATTCAAATAAATAACTTCTCAATATATTCGTCAGAAACGTATAATTTGAAGACACTTACGGTATTCTAAAAGTACAATATATCTACACGTTATTTTAGCTATGAATTTTGCAGTTTCAAATTACGTTTTAATAAGCATGTTCCTAAAATGTTCGAAAGATCGGAAACAGATATTCGTTGCTTTAAAAACACTCGGTAGAAATAGTAACACGTTGATCGCCACAGATAAATTGAATTCGATCACTCGAACGGAAAGGGAAAATTGAAAGTAATATTCCATGCGGTGTTCGCACGTTGTAAAAATATTATTGCCATAATTCGCACACTATATTTCTCACATTACGGTAATAACATTCTACGTGTTAATGGATTCACGTGAACGTTTACGACCGTATGTTCTATTTCATCGATATAAATATTTATGATTATTCCGTCTCGCCGAATCAATTGTATAATCACGAGAGATACACATGTAATAAGTATAATTACAATTCCTAATATTTAGATCGGAACACCTTTTGCTTAAGACACGAGCTCGTCGCTGCAGTGACTGAATTATTCAACCCAATTAAATTTCTGACGTATTGTCTTGGTAATCAACGTGCTAACTCGCTTATCTAAGCCTTAAACTGCAAAGGAATATCTAAGTTTCCTGCATTTTCATCAGGGAATCGAATCACGAGGCAACTTTGGAATTTTACAAGTTTTTTTTTCTAGTTTTGGTTCAGTTTTGGAACTATGTAGTTTTTGTGGGACAGTTCGTTAAACCATTCGTCCCGAAATTCCAAAAACTTGAGTCTATCTTTCATATTCAGCTCCATAATAGATCTTCGAGCATCTTTCACCAGTACAGACCTTTTGTCCGAAGTTCCCTGAAAACCACACACAAACGTTCACCGTTATCCGAAGAACCAAGAAACCGAGAAGTCGGAAGTAACGTTAGCTCCAGTTTCCGCTTCCCTGGTAATGGCGGTCGTAACCATCCAGGAGGGAACGATCCTTGTAATCGATTCGTGGAATCGTAAAATCGTAGCAGGCCGTTCGATTAAAAACTAGCTCAGTCGGATTACACGTAACCATTAGAGTCGAGCTTTAATGCAGCCTCGTAGGAAGGCAAACCCTCGTCGGTTGCGGTGGTTTCTTGTTCGCTGGCCTCGTTGCATTCCACGGGTGTAGCCGCCAATCCCAGCAGAGTGGACACCATAGAAGGAATGATGGTACCCGGGGTTTCAGGACCGTCCATCTTCTTGTCGATACACGCCGGCAAACTCTTCGGGTCGAAGATCAAGCTGTCGTAAGTGGGTGGAGGTCCTGGACCAGATCTGGGCGTTACAGGACACGATAGGGCACCGTAAGAACTCTCGTCTGGATTACCCTCTGCCGTTGATTGCCTCTCGCAACACTGCACCAAAACAGAAACAGGTTAGGTTAGTTTTCTCTCGAGAACTTGAATCTGGAAATCTTGGTATTTGAGGACAGCAGAGTTTGCAGATTTTTACAGAATTGAAACTACTAATAGCTTGAACCCTAACTGATACTGTAATTGTATTCCCAATAAATCCGTGAAAGGAAGATTTCTAATTGCTTCTTGTTTTACCTGTAACCGCGAACGAAGCGATTTCACCGCAAATCACCATATACGTCCTTATATTATATCTATACGATATGTCGGCAAAATGAGAAACCACAGATTAACGAACAGGTTTTGTTCCCAACGGTTACAGTTACCTAGTTTCCCGCCTCACGAACCGTGGATAAGTTATCCACCATTTTTGAATGCTAAGTAGATTCACCTAGTAAACTCGCCGCTTGGATTCCGTTCCATCAGATCGGACCGCGGAAAGTGCGGTTCGTCCGAGCTATTTTAACCGAACTTTACATAACGCTCTGCTTAAGCGAACCGTTTGCGGGCAAGAATTGGACAGTACGTCATTTTCTCGCGATGGTTTTGTGATTAAAGTGATCGGGATTGTATTTTCTGCGGAAAGATGAACACAGTGCTCTCAAATATCTGAAGACCCAAATTCTTAAGTTTCCCAAATTTAATTTAGATTTTTCTGAATTACTAAACGTTTAAATTGATCTTCTAAAAGTGGGGAACTTACGGCTGTGTGAGCTTCAGTGGTGAACACCTCAAGACTGTGCACGTCCGGTTCCGTTCTCCAGTATTGTGGATACTCTTGTGGTCGACTCTTCCGTATACTCTTATGACAGCAGTAGCACATTAGAAAAACGACCATAATCACGCCACTGAGCATCGCTCTGCAACAAACAGTGGCACGCGTTGAAAAACGTGATCGTAAAGCATTTAAACAACACACCTATAAACATATTAAACTCGTGTGATATCAGTATGTTGAAATATCGGTATAGTTATCTCTGTTAATAATGTTTAAAGAGTCTATGAGATCTTCAGAATAAAGGAAGGCGGATTTATGGTTCGTCGAAGCGATTCCATCTTAACACCGTAGCAAAAACCGACAGTTTGATAGTCGTTACGACTTAGGCGAATATCAAAGAATCACGGTTCTCTACTGTGCCTGCGATTATTGCGGTGACAGGCTAACTTCCGGTGGAAACGGTTCTTCATTATCGTTAGACTTGTACTCTTCGACTTATTTCTTACTAACATTTTTCGCATTTAAATTGTTCTGTAACACTTCTATAAACGTTCTGTAAACATTTGTATGACACTAGGATAGGCGTTCTTAGATTTAAGCGCTTCTATGTGCGATGTTGATGGAATATAAAAAAATGAATGCATGGTACATCGATTTAAAGATTGAAGATAGAAAAAGAATCTTTATACTCCAGTTTGAGAGACACTGCAGTAGTTGACTCTGTAAATATACTCTGTAATTTATATGAGAAAGGAGGCTAATCTTTATTGGATGTTATCTTTTCTTTGCTTCGTATGAACGGTAAGACTTCCTTGGATACTAACTGAACCATAAAATCCGGTAGGTAATTGACTCTAAACTACCACGTATATACAAAAGAGGAATTAATAAATTTCCAAATTTGTCTCCCTGAAACTCTCGTATTTCACAAATTTTAAAAATGATTCTCAGCTTTAAAAGAGTGCACATTTGAATCAATATTGTTTCAATTGTCAGAGGAAAGCCCGTATGATATACGTTCGAGTCTGCTGAATTATGATCGTTGATCGAACATCACGGATATTGAATATCGGCGATATCGAAGATAGAAATGCGAGTACTCACCCACCGAGGAGAATGTTAACATTCCCATGTAAATCGGTCTCGGAATGGCTCGTCTTACTGGATGCTCCACTTGCTGTCGTGGTGACATTATATCCTGGAAGGATGGCCACGTCTTCGTAAATGGTCGTGTTGTTACGTTTGCTCGAAGTGGCTTCCGCGGCAGCCAACACCATCATCGTTCTCCGAAATGTCGACCTGAAATGTTCGCTTTTAATGTCCTATTCTCCCCTGATATAACTAAGTCACTACTGATACCAGCAACAAAAAATGTTCTTAGACCCCAGAGACTGTTCAAAAGAAACCTTTGGTATTGATCACGAATTCGGCCTTAAAGCTAAGATTGAAAACATCCCTTACCTCTTCACTTGCGGAGATTCGTGAGACATTTTCGAATATCTTTATTCGGCGTTCGGATACTACGTTGCCCTCGATCCTTCTCGAACGAATTTGCATCGAATTATTCGACCTTCAGTCCCCCTGGGCTTCTTCGATCGAAATGCTCGTTTTCGTCGCATACCCTCTAAGACTATACCTGCGCAATTACAATTCCTTTTTTTTACTGCAACCCTTCTCTGGAACCAGTTTCACTTGATCTTTTCTATTTGCATTTTTTCGAGATGGTTGTAAGCAGTTGATAAACGTTAGTCAATTCGTTTTCTATTATTCAGAAAATTATTTAGGTTTCCAATGTAGATGGAATATATTAGAAAATTGACGATAAGGAAAATGTTCGTAGCTTTTCGTACAGCATTAAATCGGTTGAATATTGATAATGAAAATACGTGTTTTCGATAGGTCGTACGTCAACTGACGAGGTGAAACATTAACGAAGTTGTCGATCGAAGTTGACCGTTGTAACTTTTCTAAGTGCAAGTGCGTTCGATTTTCCTCGCAGCGACCAAGGTTCTCAGGAAACTCGTAAAATTTCGATTTTATTCAAATTTAATGTGTTCGATAAAAAGTAACAAAGTTAAATAAGTGACAGCTTGAATAAATATCGAGCGAATATACCGATAGATGAGACAAACTATTTCAGTGATCGAGAATTGATTGAAGTGCAGAGAACAAATGTATCAGTGGTTGAATGAATGAAGACTTCGATTGAATGTAAAGTATTTCACGTGAAAATGAAAATACACACCGTACGTCCTAGTTTCCTGTGGCGCGTGTTCTCCCAATGGGAAATAAGGTTCAATTCTTGAATACGAGCATGAATAATTAACTCCTTGACATGGTATTAAAATAGCAACGGTGTTGTGTTCATCGTGATTTCGATACATGAATTTTTCACCTGGTTATTAACACATCACACTTCTAGCTTTTCCTGCAAACGTAAAATATGTGTAAAACTTGTTTACGACTTTGTTTTATTTTTATCATGATAGAAAATTTGTATTTATCGATGTTCTGTTATTAAACGTGTGACTGAACAATATCACCGAATACAAAATCGTGAAAATTTGTAATTTATCTGGGAAGCGATGATAAAATTTTAACCATAGCTGTACCACGCATTGCTAAAAATTGAATACCAGTTTTGTTATCGATTTCCGCTGGAATTTTAGAGTTGTTTTTGAAACGTTAAATGGGTAAAAATACCTGGGTACGGTAAATATTCGAACGAGTGAAACTACCCTATAGTTCTTGCGCCATTTGTTACGTCCTTCGTGAGTATACGATCGATTTGTGGCCCCAGCCTGCTCGATTGACGAAACTTTTAGCTTAACAAAGAATGAAATAGACGGCATTCTTAAAAGGCTTAAAAAGATTTCTTAAAAAGCATCGGTTTACTTAGACTGCATTCAGCTTTGAGGGTTAATAAACGAAAAGACAAAGAATTTGTCGCTACTTGTCACTACTTGACCTCAAAAATAATTTTGTTAGGCGTTAAAAGAATAATTCTCATTCCTGAAGAGGTTGAACTACTTAAATTTGCAAATTAGCTATGTCTGACACTTATCCATTTTCACTGTGTGACAATGTGTCATTGATATTATGTCATGCAAAGAAAAATAGTTGATCAATCTTCTTAAAGCTAGAACGGTTACTTTTGCTAGAAATAACAAGATAAAATTGCAACAGTTATTCACCGAGGTTAGATACAAGTATTTCCTGGATTATCTATCTGCTGCAATCAAAGTATCGCGAAAGATATAATTACAAACGACTTCGTATCTAGTTTGTCGTGAACACTTCCTCATAATTTTGTATTTCTTAGTGGTCACCTTGCTTTAAGCCTCATTCACATTGTACTTTATACGTTAAGTCACCTTAATTGCAGAGATTAATTGATTAGACCATCAAGGTTTTGATATTAAAATGTAAGTTTGACAAAAATATAAATTACAGTGTTAAAACTTCTAAACATATTAGTATTAATCTATGAATGAATCACTGGAAAGATATAAAGATATAAATTTACATACCAGACATAGCATAACTATCTGTGAAGGCACAAAATTAAGGTGACAAAGACTACCCTAAACACCAATGCTATTCTCACTGTCATAACGTTCCAAAATTATTTTATCAACCCTTCGAGCTAGCAAAATTTTCTGATTGAAAGATTTGACAAATTTTGGTTATCCCACTATGTCACGTTACACTCTAGATCTTAAGACTCGTTGCAAATTAAATCACCTTTCGCAATTAAAAATCTTACCAGCCTACATCAAACTAAAACTGATCCCTGAAACTGGATCATCCCCCTGGGTTGTTGAATGAACATCAACCGCAAATCAGCGTGAAACCCCTCTGTTTTTCAATCGAAACGTATGAATGCAACATAAAATCTGCACAATCCACGGTTGGAATCGTTTTCGATTAACCGGCGAGTGCGGTGTGTGGCTTCGCGATCTTATGCAAGGGGGAAAAGTGTCGATCCGTTCCCGTAACCGTTTCGTTTGAAACTATTACGGTGGTCATAATATGCGCGTTGCCTGGCTACGACGCCACGCCGTGAGTCCAGGACGTAACCGGGCGGCGCACGACGCCGAGCGTCGCGACGCCTAACACGGTGGAACCAGACGGAACGCCTGGAACTGGGACGAACAGCCACGAATAGGGCCAAGGTGCGAGCAGGGGTGAACCTAGGATGAGTCATCCTCTTCGAAAATGCATTTGGGAAATCAATTTTTATCTCCCGTTAATTTCAACCTTTTAAATTCCGTATTCTAAACGAATTACCGAGTACTGTCTGGAGAGTTCCACGTTTTTACCAGGTCGATTTAATGACTCGAGGCATCTCTCGGGAGATCTCTTAATATCGTGTACTAAAACGTTTTTGGTAGACCAACATTCGCAGCATTCTGATATATTAATATTTGGAAGTTTTCGCATGAAACTTATGGAAATCGATGTCAGGGTTTATAACTTCCGAATTTTTGGAACGTCTTGCAATTGCAAAATGCATGAATGAACCTGTCGTTACTATTTCACGAAGTTATAGACCCTGAAAGTTTCCCGAGTGTTTGATCAAATTAGCTATAGCCTGCATGCTCGATGACCGTCAACCAACAACAGAGAACGTTTTAATCGCGAATCGAAGTGCAGAGCTCTATCCCCATTTACTATTCACCCCGTAGTTCTGTGATTCGACAACGTGTTCGCATGAAATTACCCGGACACTTTTCGCTCGTCCTTCGAGTCGATCAGCCGTACAGGTTGTCGGAATCGATTCGTGGCCAGTCGGTTGGTTAACACGAAAACTTTAGTCTTTCGATACGCAATACCAGTCGTTGCGAAACTGTGGAATAAGTTCCGTCTGTGGCCGATGCCTGAAGCTTTCAGACGTCGTTCCTCGTTTTATCGAGGTGCATCCCATTTCGACGTCGATGCATTCCTATCGAGCCATGTTGAAAGGTAAAGTTCAAAGGACAACTTTTCGTCGATCCTCACCTTTCACGATTATGCTACTGCGAGATTATCGTGTTTGGTTACGCATAAGTCGACGTCGCTGGACTCCAGATTATTCCTCTTTCAATTTAAGAGGATTTACCCAACGTACGGCTTCGTGCCAAGAATTACCGATTTGCCTTATTACAGACACGTTTATTCGAAACTGGGAATAACGTTAGTTAATAGGAATACGGGGGCTTAGGAATTTTGGGAATCTTTCGGGATCTTGAGATCTAGAGATAGAATGCAGGAATGCTCACTTGTTTTTCGCTATAACTCGAATATTTTTACCTTAACATTTCCTTTTATTATAAATAATGTACCCTTTCATATTTAATGTAATGAGACATTTCCTCATTTTCAAGTCGATGAACACGATACCAGAAATATAATTGTAGCGACAAGAATTGTTTAATAGAAAGTAGAGATAAGATGTGTATGATCAGAAATAATTACTTGTTGTTGCTAATTTTTTATTATAGACTTGCGAGAATGGTGGGTAACGTGCCCAGCGGATGGATGAGGAAAATTCTCCTCTTCCTGGTGTTGATGACTGGGGTTCTACTTATCGCCATGTACGCACACGCTCCGCCGCTCGTCTCTCTTCAGCCGTTCTCGTCTCGACGGTAAGTACACGTTAATGTAATGCACATAACGCGATACGAGTCGATACTCGATCCAATTATCGCCTGTATTAACCCTTTTAGCTGCGAACTTCGTGTATACAGGGTGTCCGTGCTATTATCGTCCGACCCGTTTTGTCTGATCGGCGTACACACCTTGACACGTAATTCCTAATTAACTTCAATCAGCTTTAATTCGTAGATATGTTCTAATTTATAACTCGTAAATTTGTAATTTATCTTTGTAACTTATATGCTGCTTGAAAATTTTAATAACAAATGCACTCACGAGAAAAAATTTGCGAACGTTGCAAGTTGCCCAACAGACACCGAGACACTCTGTATACCCCGCGAATCCATTTACAAACCCGATTAGAAAAATTTACAGACTCTAATCTCGTTCCCCTCATTCACGATCACCTCCATATCTCTATCTCTTTCTCTCTATCTCTCTTTATTACTCCATTCCATTCAAATATTATTTATGCGCCTCCTGTACACGATATTATACGCGGCGTATTTTGTTTAACTTGTGTTAACTTTTGTTTGCCGCACACGTCTCGTTTTGTTAATTACACACTGCACACTTCCGGTGACTCCGTGCGCATCAAAGACTGAAGGAGTTGCAGCGAGGCTTGGTTACTTTCCTGGTCGGTAATGAAAGCACGAAGAGGCCGGAGGAACGGCTCTACGAGTATCTGGAAGAGCCTAGGTAACGTCCTCCTCGTCGAGGAGGAACACCCATACTTTGCTATAAAGCTTCTTGTGTCCAGGGCCGGCCATATAAAGAGAGCGCGCAGCCCGGTGCAACACACTCGGCCCACGATTTACATGTGGCTCCTAGACAAAAATACATTTCATACATTAAAAAAGAAAAGGGAGATTTGTACAATAAACTATACATTCAAAAAGTGTGTGAATTTAAAGGAGTAAAAACATGTAATTGTTTATGGGGTCCCAGGATGTTTAGCACCCGGACTCCTTTATGAAGAAGGCCGGCCCTGCAGAGTCCCGGAAAAGTTCTGCGCTACGATCGCCTCCTCTCTGTATCCTCTGTGAAATATTTCTTTCTCGAAGTATTTCAAGATTGTGTATCTCTCACTTCCTCATTTTTCGCTTTTTGAAACCGTTTCACGGGACACTTCGTGGTGTACGTTTGCTTGTTTTCCTCGGTTACCTTGCATGTCCAACGCATTTCATTTAGCTCGTTTTTTATTATCCTCTTGAATCGTTTTAATAGCTCTTGATTCTTTGATGATTTTCTTCGTCTGATGGTTGTGTATGTGTACGTCATTGCGAAGGACCATTATCGATGACCATCAGGATTTCTCTGATGAATTTTCTCTGGACAAGAAAATCGAATGTTTGTAGAACAGTAGGATGTGCTAAGAGAAAATAGAGGCACTGTGATGCCATCGATGAGGCTCTAGGAGAGGAAAATACTTGGAGGCAATAGAGACTATTCTATATAGAGACCATCACTCATAGGTTTCATCTAAAAATTTGCGAATTCGAGAAATTAGAGATGGAAATTGGGGATGTGAAAATTTAGAAGTTCGCGATGTAGAAAGATCTGAAGATTTGAAATTGCACTGTTTAAATAATTCCTTCAAACTTGACAATCTTATATTAGTTTTCTGTGAAAGCTCTCGTTGTTTGAATTCGATTTGAGAAAACAGGTATCATGTTGTTTCTCAGAACAAGTTGGCTAACTTCCCAATTCCTCGGCACACTTGGCAATGTCTTTCTTTTGGTTCTATTTTTTCGACTTTCAGTTCACTGTACCCTTTAGTTTAACTTTTAACATGTTTCTAGATTACTTACATTCCTTTGTACAAAACATTGAACAACATTATGTGTACAATACCTGATCATCTATACAAGTAATCCTAGATAATTCTTCCATACAACTTAACAACTTAATTTAACCACAAGATCAGCACTTTTTCCTTCACCTTCCATATGCACAAGCATCGATAGTTCCTACTTGATTGCACCTTTCATAATTCCACCATTTTTGTACAATCGCTTTTACGTGTTATCTATTGTGGCTACCCATAAGCGACATCATTTTCAACGAATCACTATGGAACCTACAATTTAAAATCTATTAGAGAGACAGAGAAAGATTATCAATAATTAAAAAATGAAATTACTTATGGGAAGCTCTAGTATCTCGCAAGTGAGTCGTCCACGTGCTTGTATTACGTGTCGTTAAAAAGTGAAGAAATGTAACGACGATGGTTCGAGACGTTGATTAGTTTATTTGTTGGCTTCCGGATCACAGGACATTCCAGAGTCCGTGGTCCTGGGCCTGCGTTGCTGGTCGCTGCGAGAGGAGAGCAGTCCGATCTTCGAGAACATCTCTGGCGAGTTGTATCGCTCTTTGCGGTGGTAACACTCGTCTGCTTTGGCCAAGGCCAACCGGAAACGTGGTTCTAGGGGATGATAGTATTATCATACAACTGCATCAGATAGAATTCGTCACGGTGAATACCAGCGATCAGGAGACGAAGAACTTGTTGGAGCATGCGAAGGATGTCTTCGTCGGTAAGAACTTGGATTATTCGTGTATTAATTTATATTATTGTTAACATTGCCGTTGTTACTATACTCCAAAATGCATTGCTCATTTCCAGGCAACATCAGAAGCCTAATAAAGATTCCAAACGCGAAGAGCAGGTCCGGAGTGGACAGCTTCGTGATCTACCTGTCGGCCGGGAACGGTCGTCCAGTGGGTCCGAACCTGGACACGGACGAGTCCTACACTCTGGAGTTAAACACCAAAGGGAGAACCTTGGAGGCACGAATAAGCGCGAAAAGTTACTTCGGTGCCAGACACGGTCTGGAGACGCTGGGCCAGATGATTTGGTGGGACGAGACTGCGGGAAGGGAGGGTGCTCTTAGGGTGCTGTCCCACGCCTCCGTTGAGGACAAACCGATGTTCCCTTATCGAGGTTTGCTGGTGGATACCGGCAGACAATTCTTCTCTATCGAACGGCTGAAGCGCGTGATCGATGGAATGGCGGCGTCGAAATTGAACACGTTCCATTGGCACCTGACCGACTCGCAGAGCTTCCCGTTCGACTCGGCACAATTCCCAGAAATGGCCAGATGGGGAGCCTATAGCGGTGATCAGATTTACACGCCCGATGACGTGAAGGATCTCGCGGATTACGCGAGGATCCGGGGCATCAGGGTGCTCGTCGAGATCGATTCACCCGCCCACGCTGGCGCTGGATGGCAATGGGGTGAGTCGCAAAGCTTCTTACAAGACGGCGAAAAGAGGATAGACGGATAAATGGCCGGCGTTCGGGGTTAAATCTAGATTGGTTAGGCGGGGGCAACACCTCTTTATTTGGACATTACTGGGTCACGAATTATGAAGATCCTTTGGATCTTTGGTCAAACGGAATCAACTTCTTTCTTCCTGTTTTAATCTTGACACCCTAACGAAATGTTATAGAGAATAAATTCGATAATATATTTATTGATAGATTATCTCAACAAATTTTAATAGGTACTTGCTGGATTTAGAAAGACCTATATCTATGTTAATAGAGGATCTATGTTTTACAACGTAGGAGTGTAGAAATTTCGTGCATCAAAATACGAACAGCCCCTTGAATCCCGGTTTCAAGCCCACTCACGCGCCACACCTGATCGAATTAATTAATTCCAGGGACGGAGTACGGTTACGGGGAGCTGGCACTCTGCGTTGATCAGCAGCCATGGTCGTCGTATTGCGGCGAGCCGAATTGCGGCCAGTTGAATCCCATCAACGAGCACTCCTACAGAATACTAGAGGGATTATACCGTGAGTTGCTGGACCTAACCGAGATCCGCGACATCGTGCACCTCGGTGGTGACGAGGTAAACTTGGACTGTTGGGCCCAATACGGTAACATCACAGCAGCGATGCAGGCGCAGAACATGACCGATCATCACGCGATGTGGGCGGAGTTTGAGACGAAGATCACGCAGAGGCTGGTCAAGGCCAACCACGACCAGGTTCCGAAGGCTGTGATTCTGTGGAGTTCACCGTTGACGAAGAGACCGTATATCACCATGTACTTCGATCCTAAGATCCACGTGATCCAATCATGGGGAGGAAGCAACTGGCCGGAGACGCCTGATCTTCTGGAGGATGGCTTCAGGGTGATCGTGTCGCACGTGGACGCTTGGTACCTGGATTGCGGGTTCGGCAGGTGGAGGGAAACTGGAGAAGCTGCCTGTGGCGAATACCGCACCTGGCAGACCGTTTATAATCATCGTCCTTGGCGGGACTATCCTCAGCAACACCTGAATCTGGTTCTGGGAGGGGAGGCTGCTATCTGGAGCGAGCAAACTGGAGACGCGTCCTTAGGACCTCGACTATGGCCTAGAGCGTCCGCTCTTGCTGAAAGATTATGGTAGGTTAGAATGGGTTTAAAGATAATTCATGAATTATCTCAGAGTATTAATATGAAAATTTTTCATGTAGGAGCGACTTACCAACCTACGGCTACTCCACGGACGAAAGCGTGTATACGAGGCTAGCGGCCCACATGGAGGTGCTAACGAGTCGAGGTCTGAAGACGGAAGCAATGTGGCCCCAGTGGTGTTCCCAGAACCCCGGCAAATGTCTCTGACCGTTCGCTAGGCCGGAAACGATTGCTAAATCCTTCGACTGGAATTGTACGCACGGGTGCGACAAAGAGAAACGGTTCTATCTGCCATTTTCTGATCCTCTGATAGCCTCTGCGAGACACCTTATCATCGAGGACGAAGACTTGAATAATTTGTTCGTGATCTATGAATCACTGATTACCCGATAACGTTTCTGCCAGTCCTTGAACGAGCTAACACTATGTACAGAATGCTGATTCACGCAGATGTGACATACGTAGGTCCACCTATGGTTAGGTGGCCTCGGTGATGTGGCACCGGAAACAGGCGCGTCGAGGAAGATGTTCATGTTTGCGTTTCAATGACCATGTTCACGTCGATCATGCGAATTCTAACTCGAGGTGTCTGAGTCAGCAAGAGGATCTAGTTCGTAGGAGATTTACTTAAACGAATTGAAATGAAAAAGGGGAAGGAACTTCTCGAGCGTTTATGCGTTTCTTTCTGCCGAATACACATGGCACAATGATACGTTCTCGGGTTTTTCTGTTTCAACGCATTCGCATCTATAGGGATTTGAACATTTGTGTTTCTGTAGCTACAAAGATCGAAAAGGATAGGATGTTTTATTGAGATTTTATTGTAGAAGTAGCGGACAGATTATAGAATCAATTGTCTAGGAAGATGTTATGTATTTAAAAATTTGAGAACTTCAAAATTTTTACTCTTTGATACGACTAATAAATAAATTATTTTGAGTATCGGTTCTTATTGACTCATCCTGTATACTGATCATGTGCATGTGTCCAAGAAGTTTAAATGTGCTTTTCTGATGCAAATGCGTTGAAGACAGAAAGAACACGGTATACTCGACTATGTTTCCGAGTAAGCGACCAGTACATAAGCGAAGCACGACAAGATGAACTAACAGGTCAATTCAAAGAATTCACGAGCGCGAAGTTGTCGCGCGACGCCTTGTTGTAGCTCGATGCCATACTTTTCGTTCGAAGTGCCTTTCCGATGTAATCTACTCGCGATGCCTGAACGCATCATCGTTGCTGTACGATTTCACGTGTGAACACCGTGCGCGTTCCTAGATGAATCTTGGTGACGGATACTGAGATTATACTGATCGTCGTTCACAAATGGACGATAGAAAATTCAGTACGTTCCGTATACAGGAACTTTTCTTTGACATTATCATTTTGATGGACCATTGATTATGCTTTGTTCACGTAGAAATTTTTTGGATATCAGTCATAAGATTCCACGAATACTACAGAGGCAGTAGTACTTAAATATCCTAGGACTTGTGCCTAGGAGTTAATACTCCTCCACAATAACGCTATGAAACTAGACGTAAAATTAACAATCGTTTTAAAAATTATACTTCAAGTTACTTTTGAATTGTCATAGAGCAAAGCATAAAAAGTATCGGTCAAAATGACAATATCAAGGATATTTCACACACGTTATTAACGAAACTTCTAAAATAATCCTGTCGCCAGGAAAAGAGAATACAATGTTGTCATGGGACAACGAAACGTGGCTATCGAAACACGAGAATAGCGCGATTCGCGTAGGCTTCCCTCTTTAAACTGCCACATTTAGGTCCTAACTGTAGAATTAATACAAAAAATTAAGACAAGGAATTTTCATGGAAACAAATGTTACGGTATTTCTTTTTTGGTAACGAATACGGGCTGAACCCAGACGGATCCATGTTCAATGAGATTACTTTGCATCTTCAACCCGTTGCGGTTCATCCTGTATCTTCGAGTAAAATATACTTTGTACGACTATGCCACTTCCATTTGTACCGAGAATATGAAGGGAAACCGATCGCAGAGTTCATCGACAAACTTGAATAAAATGTTTCATTTTTCGATACGCTTTACACCGTTTTTTTGTGAAATGTAAAGACGAGTTTATGTTGGTAGAAATTTGCGTTGTGCTCGGGAAAACCTAATAGTTTTCCAATTCTCAAGTAGATAAATAAAATTTCGAATTCGTCATTCGATGCACAACGCGAATTTGTTCCACTGTGGGCCCGACTTAAACGAGAAATCAAAGGAACGTTGTTTTTCTTGCATCTGGTGAACAAGATGGCCTATTAATACGAGTCGAGGAAATTTGTAAATACACGATCACAGTTCGACGTAGGGAGCGACGTGCCCCAGAACACGTAGTTGAATAAATAATTGAATAGAAACTGGGATAGCTGCGAAAAAATTAAATGAATCGTCTGTACTTATCGACACTTACCGACATCGATGGCTGTAAAAAGAAGTGATGTTTATGTTGGACCTGTTGGATAGCGACCGCTAAATCATCCGCTGTACCCATGCATATTCGATATTTCTATAAATAATTATATAATTTGATTATCGAATTATTTTAGAACGGTTCATTATGTCCTGTTTTGCAAAATATGAGTGTAAAAATCGCAGAAGAAAAAGGTGTTGGTGAATTATTTTAATTATAGCGATAAAATTGTGAAGAGATCATCTTTTGTCAAATTGTGGGCGGATGATTTCTCGTGTTGATCCATCATTAACGCAATCTGTTGTAAAATGTGGTTGGTGTAAGTTTAACATAAAACAGATTTTGAATACAAAATATCTTCTTCTTGTTTCCCGAACAATTGATTCCCAACGTTCCTAATGATTTATGACTACCTCACGCAAACACACAGTCTGTACATTTTTATTTACAATTGCGTTTGTATATTTGACAGAAATCCTTGTCAAGTTAATTCTAGAATATCTGGTCCCTGAAACAGAGGCGATTTAAATTTAACCGTAGGCTATATTTCACTTTCATTTTCTAAATTTAACACTGTCAAACACAACACTATTTCCTTATATTCGTTTCCACGCATTTCACTGATTTGAAAAAGGATTGATTCACTGATCATTTACTGCTCTCTGAATACAGAAAAGTGCATTTGCATTTTTTAAGTGCATTCGACTTCTAGTTGAAAATATTCAGGTAGAGGATTGACCCAATTCCGAGGGCTAATAAGATTTGTGATTTCTGTAAATTTGATTAATGGAAAGCGTTCATCGATTTTATCGATTAAATTTTAAGTACATAGTTGTAACGTTGACAGCATTTTTAAGATATTGCTCTTTTATTAATATCCGAAATGAGGTCTCGTCTGCGCCATACTTTACGTCAGTACAATTCGATGATCGATCACTCTTTTATAGTTGTATCAATATTGGCGACAAACCTCGAGAGTACGTTTAGACGATCAACCTTTTGATGGATCATTCCTCTGGTAGACAATCGATTTGTTTTATTATATTTGTCCTCTAAACTGCATAAGAAAATTGCCAACACATCATCCTTATTCCAGAATATAATCTTTCTAATTTAATGTTTCAAAAAATAAAACCCAAAGTTATATTCATTCATACACCGGAAAGTGTTAACATTGTTTGAATATTTATGAACCTGTTTTATTGATTTAATAGAGAAGAAAATGTACAATCAAAACGATTCGAGTTACAATCGTTTTTACGCGCCAGGAATCTATTTATTTATCTTTACAGAAAGTAAAACGTATTCGCCTGTGTTTAGAAAGAATCGTATCTGCTTATCTTTACAGAAAATCTTTTCGTATCCATGCCCCGAAAATAGCCACCTTCCATCTCTATTTTTGCATCTCCCATTTATTCAAACCGATAGTTTCCTTTTGACGGGACTTTTCTATTCTCTTTTTCATATGTTACAGTTGCAGCAAAGTAGTCTTCGCTGGACGCTAATTTTTCTTTAATAAAGTTATAAAAGAAATAAAAGAATCGATACTCCTCTCTAAATGAAAGAAGATGCTAAATTACAGTTTTTAACAATTATTAATATTTTCTATATAAAAATAAATTTTCAAATTAGAATATAATTAGGAAATTTACATCCCTTTACCTCGTAAGAGCGTACATCGAGTACTTTTACATTAGGAATGTTTTCTAGCAATTTTCACCGATAAACACGTGTGTACGAAAGCCTTGTTTTCTTGCCTGACTGTTCGTCGACTCGTTCCACTTCCAGCTTGTCCCTTCCCCGAGTGACGATAGCAAAAAGAAAACGGAGGGCGAGGCAACATTGCAAACAGGCTTTGTATCCACTTGCTGCTCACTCCACGTTCAGATTTCGACACAGCAGCATCGGTTTCTTCACTCAAAAATTTCTGAGAATGCAACAGAACACGGTGGTTGAATTTCGACGCTAAACACGTGTTTTTGCATCTTATTGTCAAGAATCTATAAATATTAGGTGTTTTAGACAGATAACTGTTTTTCTTCGAAACTGTTTCGTGGTTGTTTGTGAACACGTGGATTTAGAATGACTACGACGGAAGCGGATGTGTTATTGGAGGTGGAGAGGTTCTTTGACGAAGAGAAACGGAAGTGCAACGAGTTGATGAACGAGTGTAAGTTCCATCAGAATTTATATTTCTTTATCAGATACGGTGTGTCTTCATATGTGACCTGATGCGTCAAGTTAAGTAAAGTCCAATTGTTTCCATATTTAACGAATAAAAATCCCAAACAGATGTAAACGTAACGTCGAAGACCCCACTTCACTATTGCGCCCCGCACTTCGATGGATTACTATGTTGGCCGAACACCAAGGCATCGACAACCGCGGTTTTACCCTGTCCTCTCGAATCTCACTCAAACAACCGTGCGATCGCGATGGCTACCAAAGTTTGTCTCTCCAATGGTCAGTGGTACACGAACGCGGACGAGATTCCAGGGAGTAATTACAGCTTATGCGAATTGTCCGACGAATTCACCGCTCGTTATCTCATGGAGACCATCGCGGACCTGGGAATTGGGATGACGCATTCGCGAGACTACGGGAACTTTGAGTCCTTCCTGCTAGATGTAAGAATCCTATGTAGAATTAAGTCAAACATTTTTACTTTTATTTTCTGCTGACTTCAAATTGCTTGACTCCAAGTTCTGAACTGTCTCCAGAATTTGACAAAATATTTTACCAATTCAATGTTATAAAAAATATAGGAATCTATAGTAATTTAAAGGGTGCAGAGATTACTAGATTACTATTCCATTTTCCTCGACAGAAGTGGCTGCCTATCGTCAGGATCGTCTCCCAGATAGGATACGCCACGTCCTTCACCATGCTGGTCATCGCGATGATAGTATTTTCTCTTCTCAGGTAATTACAAACGCTTCCTCTTAATCTGCAATGTATTAATGTCGGTTCGTTACAGAAAACTTCGGAACCCGAGGAACAGACTACACATGCACTTGTTCGCGTCTTTCATCATGAGAGCGTTCATGGCTTTGATCAGAGACTGGATATTCGTCGACGGTGTTGGTCTAGCCGTGGACGTCGTCTATGTGGATAAAAATGCTTTTATCAAGCAACGAAACGTAGGCATGTTAAACAGCTCATTTGTGTAGATAATTTGAATATCGCAAAGTTGACTCGTTATGAAACTTGACTCGATGTAACCTAGACTTTATTTAGTCTACTAATACTGTTCTATCAAGTCTATGATACTGTTTGGTCTATGATACTGTTCTATCAAGATGTAGCTTTATACCAAGTAATCATTTATGTACACTCTTCTTATACTGACCCCACATAAGAAGTTTATTTTTGAAGTAAAACGCTTATTGGAAACTGAGTCATAATCGATGCGATTAATCATTCACTTCTCCATAATTCAATCGCAGACTTCAATGATCACCGCAGACAAAATAAACGAAAGATGGTGAAAAACATTCGCTTCCAGGGTAACACTGAAACGATCAGTTCCAGACATTGATCTGCAAAACAATCACCAGTGCCTGGCAATTCTTCATCGTGGCTAATTATTCCTGGATCCTGATGGAGGGGTTATATCTGCACAATCTGGTCGTCCTTGCGTTCTGTGCCGACAGTGCAGCCATCAATTTATACATTCTTATGGGATGGGGTAGGATTTCGTACGCAAAAATGTGTTGCAAAATACATTTTATCTAAATAATTTATCATTTTTCTTTTTAACGAAGGCTTGCCTGTTTTCGTGGTTGTTCCTTGGATAATTATTCGCGCTACAATAGAAGACACGCTTTGTTGGACCACTCACGATAATCCTTCCGTGTTCCTGCTGATTAGAATACCGATTATGATATCAACTTTGGTAGGTCCTTTCTAATTTCTTCAAGTATATGCTTATTATTATTCAAAAGTTATTAGAAATAATAGTAATCGAATGATTGACAGTTCAACTTCCTGCTGTTCATCAACATAGTACGAGTACTCTTCATCAAGTTCAAAACTTCCGTGCACCTGCAACGCAAGAAAATGCAATACAGGTAACTTACTGCTCGCTGTCTAAAATACTGTGTATAATGAACCCTTATTTTCATGTAGTAGGTGGGCTAAATCTACGTTAGTGTTGGTGCCCCTGTTCGGCGCTCATTACACGCTCTTCTTGGGCCTCTCGTACCATAAGGATCATCGAGTGGAACTTGTCTGGCTCTTCTGCGATCAGTTCTTCGCCTCCTTCCAAGTAACTTTCCAGTCTTCAAATTTTATCGAGATTTTCAATATACTAAATTACGTTGCGACTGAGTCTGTTTTACACCTCATTCCAGGGTTCATTCGTGGCTTTATTATACTGTCTGCTAAACATCGAGGTGAGGACAGAAATAAAACGTGCATGGCAAGCCAGATGGTCGAAGAACGTGAACATTTGCATTTCGAATTGCCGTGAATCGAGGAAAAGAATATCGAGTCGACATTGTAGGCAATCCAACGATTACGAGCAACCGACGGTTTCCGGTACGACTATGAGGAATTTGTTCACGGTGCAATCAGAGAGAAGATCGAACGATTACTGGCCTAATGTTTTAGAAATGGAGACGGGATAAATAAGAATCTTTCCTTGATTAAAATATTATCTGAGTGTCCCACTTTTGTGCAATATTCACACTGCACTTCACAAATATTTCAATCTTGCTAAAAGTTTAATTATAAATTTAATACTTCTTTAGATACAAATATTGTATTGTTTTTTATAAATATAATAGTTTATATCAATGCGTTTTTCGAATTAATTTAAACATTTGTCTTTTGAATGTTCAATAAAATTTAATAGTGTGATGATGAAATAGATACTAAAAAATGTAACTTTTTATCGTTGATAATGTAGAAAAAATTTCTTGTATACCAACTGGTCCTGAAATATTGATTACTTTACTGACGACCTTGTTTGTGCTGCACCCTCGTGTTACTTTTCGTTTCAGATGAACTCAATTGCGCAAATTAATTGTAATTTCTTATAAACATATAATCAGAAAACTCACACAAAAAAAATTATAAATAATTTCCTTTACATATTTTTAATCTTTCTTCATTGAAAGTTTGAAACCCTAATTCTTGTCTTCACAACAGTCTTCTTTATCTAAAATTTGATCACAACCACCCCTCACCATTACCCTAACTCGTTGTTTCAAAAATTCATCAAAGTCAATCTTTCATCCCCTTTTCAAAACCTGCCCCTCAAAAGTCACGTGTCTTGAAAGGGTGCGAAAAGGCATTGAAAATGGAGGGGTTAAAATAACGAAGCGTGAACTATCTCATGACACCGACAGCCGACAGAAAACATTAATCGAGAGCAGTCGATTAGAGTGCGGTTTGCCTCATCTCGTCTCTTATTACAGATATACTCGAGACACGTGTCACTCTCGCGTAACGTGTATATTATCAACGTACGTTTGCTTTTGATATTCTATCACCCTTTCGTGTCTTGTAATTTGTTCGGACAATTTGCGAAATTGTTCAGGGATAAATAATAGAAACAACCCCCTTTCAGTTTGGTGTTTTATAGCTGTTGTACTTGTAGGTATTTTTTTACAAGTGTCAGAGTTAAGACATTTATTGTAAATTTTCAAATATTAGGAGCTAGTTTTCTATAGTTTCATTGGGGACTTAAGTGCTAAAATAAAATTTGTACCCACATTCCCCATAATAATTCCTTTTCATATTAAATTATTAAATAACTTACCCCCATATGTTCCAACCCTCCATCACACAATACATTTCTATTTAATACACAGAAACAGTAATCATCGCCATAGAATTATCAACAACGCTGAACGTTAAAAATTGCCTCTCACTAAATTATGACAATCAAAGAATTAATGACAAACAAAAAATAACACAATAGCACTAAACAGCTTCCTGAAGAAGAAGGCCTTTAATCGCAAGTTCGAGCCCAGGAAAGTCGCATGATCGATAAAATGGTCCACCCATTCGAACATTCGCATCCCTAACGAGCAAAACGTTCCATCGTTCTCGTCAGCGACAGAATGGCGGCCAGTTTGGGGCGGTCTCGTCCCTGTTTTCCAGCAATTTCATTGGAGAATCTAAGGGATGCTGCGTGACGAAGACACGATGTGCTGGCGAAGGATGAACAACGAGGGGATGTTTCCGGAGGCGTGGTTTACGAGATGAGATAATCCTCGATCTGCAGGGGTGCAACCTGCCCCGGCGAGCGTCGCAGATCTTATCAGAGACGTTGCTGATCTCGCGGAGTGTCGTCCTTGAACAGGTTCATCAGTGAAAGTCATTCAATTCGTATTTTTTATTACAATAATAAGGTAAATATTGTGGAGAAAATGGGGTTACAATTGGAACTGTATATTGTGATATGTTTTGTTTGAAAGTGAAAATAGTGGAAGCAAGGATTCTATGCTTCGGGCAATATAATTTTCATTTTTATAAAAACGAGATAAATATAACTGGAGGAAGTGCAAACTAGTGCAAGAGAAAAATTTCAAGAAATATACAAAGTAGGGAACGAGGGGAAGAAAATGTCTCCATTATAAAGTTAGACAAATTTTTTAAAAACTACCCCTTAAAAATATTATTCCTGTCGCTGCAGAAATACATTTTATACAAAAATTAGAATTTATGCGAAGTCTGATGAAGAGAAATGTCGGAAAACGTATCGAAATCTGGTGCTTTTCTTAAAATATTAAATCAACCGCGAGATGTCCATACGAATCGCTGGTTTACCATAAGAATCAGATCGAACGAGACCAGGGGGTTGTTCCCCGTGAATAATTGAGAAGAAATAGAGGGACAAGGTTTTTTCTGAATAATACAATCCTACCTTTCGTCGGATTCCATCGAATTGCCTCGAATTTAAGAGCCCCATGGGTGTCGAAACTATATTTCCTTTAACATCGTCCGTGGTCCTTTTCTGATTTATTTATTTCCACTCTATTTTATTAACCATCTAATTTTAAGTCACTGTAGAAAAATTCCGATTCTTCTTCAAGTATTATAATATTAGATGGAAGGGCAAAATAAATATCAACCCTTTCTGTACCACCTTATGGGCAAATATTTGATCATCCCATTATTTTCCGACACAAAAGTATTTGGACAAATTTCCGGAATTTCGATTCCTGTGGGATTTCTCGGTTTGCCTTAGGGGTACGAAGGCTGCTAAATCAACAGTCGACGTGGCTCATAAAAGCATAATAATTGATCCAAATCCTCTGCGTATAAAAATATAAGGCTCAGGAATATTTAACGAGATACATCTTAAAATTGTTACTCAATAAAATTGTCTTTTATTATCCATCATAATAGTGATATTATTTGTGTGATCAAATTCATTGTCAAATTGAATTACACTTGAAAATTGCATACTGAAAATACTGCGGCAACAATGAACAATTACAATATTTACTCTACAGAAAAAATGAACGATCCGCGTGTAACTGCAGTTTCCCTAAAATCCCTTCGTTCGAGACGGACTTAGGAGGCAATCCAAATTTTAAGAAGAAAACTTTCCTCAAGATTTTCTCGGTAAGAGAAAATGGCGAACGGTGGACACGGTGTGGTGGTGAACGGGGTGGGTGTACCGGGTGCTGGCACCCTTTCGCGAGAAGAAAGACGTCGACGCAGGAGAGCGACGCAGAAATATCGAACAGCACATGCAACGAGGTAGAAAAACTCTATAGAAAATGTTAAAAATATTTTTATTAAATATCATAACTCATAGAACACACAATCTTATAAGTCTTAGTAAAAATATGTGAAAGATTCGTCATTCTTTCTAGACAGTCTATTTCTACATTCTTTTGAGATTTTGATAGCAAATAAATTTTGACGATTTAGAGAACGAGTAAGAGTAGAAGCATTCAACCTAGCTTTCGCGGAACTACGAAAGCTCCTGCCAACTTTACCGCCGGACAAGAAGCTGTCGAAAATCGAGATCCTGCGACTGGCCATCTGTTATATCGCCTATCTGAATCATGTCCTCGAAGCTTGAACGAGCTTTTTCTTCAAAGGGAGGATTATATTTTTGCAGAACTCGAGTGTCGTGACACTTGGATCGGACCAACTTTCAGACGGATGAAACATCTTTAAAACATTGTTTCCACGATGGTTCAAAATGAATTCTTTGGTGTCCAATTTATCGTGTATGACAAAAATAATTCGATAACTAAACCCACGAAATGACTATTTTATTTCAAGAGCGATATTCAGAATATTGTAAAATTACCAGTGCACTTTTTATTTCCATTCGTTAAATTTTTATATATAATTCTTTGAGAGCACGTTAATTATTATATTCGTTAATAATATTAATCATTTGTAAATAGATTCTTTGCGATCCCACTAAAAAATGTTTCAAGAGCCACTCTATGAAATATAAGAACAGTTAGTGCAATGTATTATAGAATTTTTGTATCATTAATGGTTTACGAATACGTATAATAAAATTGAAATGCAACTATTCGAAATCGTCTAAGCCCTGGAACTCTTAAATCAATCTTGTTTCGTGGATTAGAAGTGTCCCGGGGGATCATCGCACCCCAACTCACACGTATCCTAAATCCTCTGTTTCGCCCTGTGGAATGGTCACGACCATTCTTCTTGCAATCGAATGCACTTTTCTGTTTACCGGCGATCAAACGAGACTGAAGGAATCAACTTCACGGCTCATCGAATTCCTTTCTCGTTTCCATTACTCTTCTTTTTTTCTTCCTGCACAAAACGTAATCTACGAACACTCATTGCGATATTGTACACTTTCTGCAGATATACGATTTATAGACACATTAAGATTTTTGTAAGCTTGTAGGCATTGTTCTGTTTTGTTTGAATTTTCTATAATTTTAGTCACGCGAACGAAAATTGCAAGGAGACAGAGTTCGATACGAGTATTGATTTTCCCGCAACACCTGAGACAAAACTACCCTATCTCTCCTAAAATCTTCCCGTTTATCAGTTCGAACCGTCAATAAAATTCTTGTCCATATCATTTGATCGTGTTTTCAACAAAATGCATAATCTTTAACTCGAGCAATCATCTTAAGTGATAGCTGAAGGTCAAAGCAGAAGTCCATTTTTAATTCATTATCTAATGGATTCATTATCCGAATGAATCGCGAAAATGTCAGCGCGATGTCGACTCTTATTCTAGTCGAACAAAGAAAGTAGAGAGCTGAACAATTTGTCATATACTTAATATTCTTTGCGTGGAAGATTATTAAAAAATGACTACGAAGAGTTTCAACGAGGCGACCGCGTTTGTAACTGTGATAAATCGCGTATGGGCACTGAGAAATTTTACGAGACCCGAAAACAAAATCAAATTCTTCTTCAGTTGGTTGTACAATATTTCCGTTCTGTGCTTGTCTGTCGCGATCATACTTTGCGTCGAATTAGCTCAGTTCTCTCAGTTAGATTATGAAACGGAAGGCATCGTATACAGATACATGATAATACTTTATTTATTCGGACTTACGTGCATCTTGATTCTGGGTTGGTATCACTCGAAGGTAAGGTACCAATATTTTTAATAAAAAAAATATAAAGTTTGAATAAAACTTAGAATCGAAATTTATGAATGTAACGTGTAGGACGTTAGATGTAATAGAATCCTTCCAGGATGTGTTGAGGTATAAAGAACTCCTTCGCAAAGTGGAAGAAGATTTACAAGCATTGGGGTCGACGCATAACTACCACAGAGCTTTTCTTCAAATCGTGATATTTGCAAGCTTCTGGCTTTGCGCCATGATCGTAGTATGCGCACTATACGTGAAATGGTTAAAAAATAAATCATTAATATACATAGCATTTACTTTATATAGTTATACGTATGGACAGAGTGTTGGATGGATCTTGCTTCTTGACTTCAAGACAAACGTATTGTGAGTATTTACAGAACTATCAAAATCGACAAAATTCGATAGACAAATATTGAGGAATAATTTTTATGGATTATAGTTGGATAGGAATAAAATTTAGGGAGACGAATAAGCATCTGAATGCGCTTCTCGTCAAGTATAATCGAAAAGATGTTGATACGATCAGTGAATCCCTTCAAAATTCTCACGATCAGCTTGAACCTTATTCTCCTCGATCGAAAATTTCTTCTGAAAATTTCGCGTTTAATTCAACCTACCGACCACAGTCCACCAAAACGATATTTCGACAGGTCAGGTAAATCAAATGAAAATCTTCTTAAATTTGTAAATCTTCTTGAATTTGTAAATTTGTAAATTTAAACGAATTTAAATGTTAAGAATACTCTTGTAAAAGAATATGCACTGAAGTCTGTTCATCAGGAAAATGATAGAAATTTCTATTTTTAAGATTCGTGCATCAACAACTGTGTTGCGTAACAAAGATATTAAGCAAAACTTTCGACTCGCAATTATTGATAGTGTCTGCCAACACAGTGGTGTATGTCACTATAGTCTGCTACTATTTATGCATCGAAGTACGTAAAACAATGTCCATAAAGAATCCGGAGGTAAACTTACTTACTGTATTCATAATCGATGCAATCTTCGATTTCACGAAAATGTGCATAGTCACTCGTGACTGTGAATATGCAATGAAACAGGTATGTACTATAATAATGATAATAATAGTATAATAAAAGTGACATTTGCGTAGGCAAACAAAGCAACAGCGATCGTCCACGAGTTCGCTTTGTGTCAAGCGGACACGGAATTAAAAGAAGAGGTAAAACAAGTAGTATTTTAATTAATAAATAGTATAATTCGAACTTGTTCGTAGATACTTCAATTTTCTCTGCAAATATCGCATGCTCGACAGGGAAAGTCGAGGATCAATTTCTTTAGTTTGAACTACAACTTTCTACGAGGGGTTAGTGTTCCCGTACAGACAATATAATTGTTATAGTAAAATAATAATTAATTGTTATAGTGTGTGGGCTTCGTAACGACGTACCTGATCATTATAATACAGTTTAGCAAAATTGGAGAATCCACGCAACAAGACTTTGTAAATACTACTCCAACGACGTAAAGAAACGTATACGTATCTGAAGGAAAGGAATTTATAATTAAATTATAATTATTACATATTTATTGTACCGTTTGATATATTACAATAGACTTAATTAACCACAGAACAAATAACTAATTCACCATTCCATGTAAATACATCTCACTACCTAATTCCATTAAACTCGTCATCAACTTCTTAGCATCTTATCAAAATAATGATCGTGAAACCACGTTCATTTCATTACAGCGATATTGATCCAGTGATGAATTTATATTCATTACTTAACTTCGACGAACATGACAAGATAATCATCACAACCATGAAGAAAACGAATATTGAACAGTAGAGAGTTGATCTTCGAAGTGTTTCAACGATGTTCGAGCCAAAAACGTTCGATCAAGCGATCAGACCGATGATCATAATGAACTTCATTGTTGGAATTGGCGTTTTTAAAAATTCTAATAATCGTTTGTACAAATGTTTCGAGTATATTTATACGGGATTTTATATACTAATTTTGATACAAATATGCTACTTCATTTCTGTGTTCTTTGCTAACATGGAAATGGAAACAGACTACTTTCTGAATCGAGAACTATTTCATATATCGTATATCCTTAACGCGATTGTGGCCCTCGCGTTGATTGTTATAACGAGGATCAAGGCGAAGGTAAGTTCGATTTGGACTTTGAGATTTAGAAGTTTGGATATTTAGAAATTTAGGAATTGGGGAAATTAGAAGATTTGAAAAAGATGTAGAAAAATATTAAAAAATTTCTAAATTAAAATATCTGGAAATATCTGAGATTCTGATAATGTATATTTTTATAAAATCAAATACAATCTTGCAACGAAGTTTATACGTAACTAGTTGCACCAATAACCTTTTCAGTGCATTCAATTTGTTCGCAGAAAATACGAACGATGATCGCACTATTTAAAGACTACGATCAAACCCTGGACAAGATAGGTTTACCAAAACAATATAACTCGATCTACTGGTTTCAATTTTACCATTTTGGATTTGGAACAACGCTAGTTATTGTTTATTCGATACTTCCAGTTGCATCTATCGACTTACCACTACTTCAGGCAATATTTTCTGCGTTATTCTTTAATTTTTCATTTATAGTCGTCAACGCGTGCAATGTATCCTTCTGTGTTTGGATTAGGTAGAACTACTTTCTTTGGCTAACCTTCTTCTTTCGCTGTTAATGATGTATAATTACTTACCTTTTTACTGTTGCAAATAAGATACCTCAGGTTGAGATTCGAACAATTGAATGGTCTTCTTCGATGTATACGAACGAAGAAGTCGGATATGCTTCGGAAGAAACAGATCATGAGAATGAACTACGATCTTGATAATAAAATGTTCGACCCATTCGAGGACGAGGACTTTCGGAGGAATAAAGGAAACGCGGTAACGATGAGTATAGTAAAGTGAGTTCATTAAATTACGTAAAAATTAAAAAATAAATCAACGCCACCTGGCGGTTTGAATTCGGAACTAAAAGTAAAGTAACAGGCTAACATGAAAGTAAAAGAGGTAGATCACAATTCGCGCCATCTAGCAATTTCCGTAGCGAACTAAAAATAAAGTATTAGGCTAACATGAAAGTGAAAGAGGTATTCGCAAAGTGCTGTTAATGTACAGAGAAATGCAACGCAAATACTGTCTTTTTGAAATGTCAACAGCTTCAACTACATTTGTTTCTTTTTTAAAAGACGTTCACACCTGGAATTATTTAAAATTGCCAATGCAGCGAGTAATACATATGGACTACAGTTACTTATGATGATAGCCACCGCGTATTTTTTCCTTACAACCTTATTTTACGCAACCTACAGAATTATATGGATATCTTCCACTGCAAACATGTCAATGCTACAAGTATGTTCACAGTTAGTAGTGCCTGTGATCATACTCATATTCTTTGGATATCAAATATTCATCACAAGCCATAATTGTGGTAAAGTCAACAGTCAGGTACAGCTTTGCATAATAATTTTGTTTGTCTTAATAGAATCAAGTTCTGAGAAGTATCCAATAAATATTTTTCATGTATTGATATTTTATTTTTCACAGGCTATAGTCACTGGTCAAATTATTTGCAAGCTCTATGGATCATATGCCTGCAAAATACTTAGAGCAGAGGTGAATGTCCTTTAAGCATGTAAATGTAAGGAAATTGTTTTATTAATAAATAAACATATTTACAGATTCGAAATTTTACTCTGCAACTGGTTCAGAACCCTCTGACTTTTACAGTTTATGGATTATTCACAATGGACCGTTCATTCCTTTTAAGAGTATGTACATCTGCTCTTTTTATTCAATTATCAATTTGTAATCTCAATTCCTCTCTTAATTTTCAGGTCATCCAATCAATCTCTACATATCTTGTGATATTGATTCAAGTGGGAGACACAGTAATTCAATCTGTTCGTACATTGAAGAACAGGAATTACACAGCTGCAGTTGAGTCACTTTGAAATTGCTCTTAGTTGCAATTACATTAATATCACTTGCATATTAAATTTTTAGTTGTCTAAGTTATTAAATTTTATTTAAGATTTTATGAACTAGGAAATTTCTAATACTTTAAACTTTAAGAATTGAAATTTATAAATTTAAAAATATATCAACTAAAAGTCAATAAGCAGTAAGAGTCTTCTTCTTCTACGTCGCTATTTCTCCTAAAAAATGTACAATACTCATTAGCCCAAGATAAAATACAAAAGGCAATTAAAATTCATAGAAATCATTTAAAGAAATTAAATGTTTCTAATTGGAATCTTGTATCCAGAGTACTTAAAGCATCTTCAGTGTTCACCCTAACAATTTTCCGCCAATTAGAACGCGGACTGGGATGATACCTCAATTACACTACACCCTATACGAATCCAGATGGAGGCGTTAGTCCGTGAAATTCGGTAATCTTGAAACTCGATAGCTCGTAATTCGGTAAAGGTACCTTCTACTCTGACCTGTTCCTAACAGATTCTTAATTTATTGTAACATAGCTTTAAAGCTCTACATGAAAATAGGTTATTCAAGCATTAAAAATTATATACGTTTCCATTTTTTTAGAACACTCTGTTATAATAAAATACAAAAAACGAGGTTCGTTTGAACATTGTAACAATTGCTATAGTGTCGACACACGTTTACAAGGCGTATAACATTAATTGGGTATTAAGGGTGCGAACGACGGTAGTCGTCAGGAGCCACCTGCTACCGTAGAACATTTACTGGAGGGGCGAGAAGAATTGATATATTGCACCCAAGGGAAAGTGAGGCCAGTTTCGATGGGTGCAAGTACCGTGCCATCCCTAATCCTCTCCCATCTCGTTAACTAAAATTCGTAAGAGACATCTCGGTTTTATTGTCGATTAAATTATTCCGCTCGATGTGAATCCAATCCGCACTAACATTGCAATTAACAATTTCAATAAATAATGCTAAATTTTCAACTTTAAATCTTCAAATTTAGCGTATAGACTAGCAAGAAATTGATGAAACGAAATTAGAAATTGAGAAATTAAATTTGCAGCAAATTTGAAAGTTCGGAAATTAAAGTTAGAAATGATAAGTATAATACAGCAAGTAGAGAATTCGTATGAGGTGGCTTCCTCGACCGAAGCATATGGGTTGGATTAGCGATGGAGATTTTAGAAGAGTAAACGCAGACAGACTGCCGCGATTCTAATAATCCGCAAACGTCGTTTATCATGTCGAAACGGATTCGCCCTTACAACATAGCCACTCCTACTTGAGGGTGCGATTACCTCGAATCTTCGCCAAACATATTCCCTGCATGTTTATTAATATCAAATGGGGCGTGTTACGACACATAAGGACAGTAAGGACAAAAAAAATATCAACAGAGGGACAATCTATTTCAATATCAAATAATAAATATACAAATTTATGTTGTATTTACAATATGTTGCAACTATTTCTGCTGTTTCCCATATTTCAACTTATTCTTCAACTTCTTTGGATTTATTCCGTACATCTTTAATCTCTCTGGATTCAAGGAAATAATATCGCCATTGGTACTCTCATTACTCTTAGTACCTTTCTTCTTTGTTTTATCAACCATCTTTTTCTTTTTCTTCGAAATCTTCTCTTTTATTTTTTGTTTATTCGAATTCTTGGTATTGAAATCAATAGGTTTTTTATTAACGTCTTCACCTTTTTCTTTATGTGATTTATTTTTAGGAGAGCTTGTAGACTTTTCAAGATTATTAATTTTATGTTTTTTCTTTAATGGCTGTTCAGACTGTTCTTCAGGTTGCTTTCGCTTCTCTGCTTTTGGGCTTTCTGTCACTTTCTCCTGTTTAATATCTGCATTGTGTTTAATCTTTTTCTTACTTTCATTAACTTCTTCATTATTTACAGTCACAGTTTCAGTAGTTATTGCATTATTTTCAGTTTCCTGTTTCTTCTTCTTCTTTCTTCGACGCTTCTTTGTTTCTGTAGGTTCGACAGTATTCTGGTTTTTCACAGTTTCTTCTTTGTTTGTCTCTTCTTCGTCCTCAGGGTTGCTAAAAAAAATATTAAAAATAAAATTAACAAACAGTCAACCTGAAAACGAAAGGAGGTGGTTTTCATTCATCATTTTCTTAATTTCTTACGTATATAAACTTCTAAGTATTTTCTTCTTTAGTGCCTCATTTGTAGCCTTCTGTTTATACATCTGAACATCGTTTAATTCCGCATGTTCTGGCTTGTATTGTAATGCTTTCTTCAATGAACACCATTTATTTAATTCCTTATCATCGGCTGTTAATATCTAGCAAAGAAGTTAACATTTGTAAAATCTAGTACGAAAAAGTGTCTTGAAAAGAACATTAGAACTTACCTCTTCAACACTTAAGCCATAATCATTTGGTACTACTTTCCTATATTTAAATCTACACGGTATATCACCGATCATATCTTCATAATCTAAGGAATAATACTTGTCAAAGTATTCTTCATATGATTGATATACTTTCGGATCAAATTTAGGCTTTTCTTTAGCTATAAGTTCAGCAAATTTGGACTTCCGCCTACGTTTTCTTTTCTTTGTACCTTCTACCTCTTCCTTGATATTTTTGGATGGATCGTAATCGGCATCCATCTGAAATCATGTCAGTGATATGAATGGGTAAATTCCTAGATTCCTATATCCCTAGTATTGATAAATTAAATACGTTGAAATCTGGATCTTCGCAATGCGGTTGTTCATATCCTTCTTCGTCATAATACTCTGTATTAGGGTCATAATTATCCCACGTATCTTCGATTTCCAGTTCTTCATCTATCTCTGGAAATTCAGGTTTAACATCTTCTTCTTGTACAGCATAATAATCGTCGTTGAAGATCTGTGTCATTTTTCGGTCATACTCATTGGGATCGAAATCACCCTCCAAATCCATGTCATTGAACTGTATATCATCATTTCCTGTAATTTTGTTAAGAACATAAATATTAATTCTCATTATAAACTAGACCTAAATTAAATATAAGTTTATTTGCCTGTGATCTCCTTTAATTTCTCTATTTTTTCTTCAATTTCTTTTCTTTTCAATGCTTTTAACTGCTTTAGCTCTTCCTTCTTTCTTAATTTTTCTTCTTCCTTCCTCTTTTTTACTTCTACTCTCTTTTGTGCTCGACGAGTATCCTTCCTTCGTAAAGAATTTTCTAGAGTACGAGGATACCGTTTGATAAATTCCTGATCAGGTTCCTCAAATCTAAAATTATATTTGTGCTCGAATTCCTCTTGTTTGTCAATGTTCTTTTCGTCTTCTGATAAATTTTCATCGCTGTCGTGAACTACGTGTGCGTCGTCTATATTTGCGTCAGTATATTCGTTGTCCAAATATTTATTGTTAAGTATATAATCTCTTAAAAATTTTTCGTTTGAATCTAAATTGGGATTGGACCAAAAATCGCGTAATGGCTTAAGCACCTCCTGTTCAGTTTCATTTATGGCAGTTTCTTGTCCTTTCAACCACTCCTTGTAATCTGCCTCTTCCTAAGGAATAAGAATGAAATATCTATTTCATGATAATGATTTGAAGAAAATTAAAGTTTCTTACTTTTTCCTTTTCACTCTCAGATTTAGATTTTGGTTTCAATAAGTCTGCATCATCTTCATCATCATGCAATGCATTCCTGAAACTTTCTTTCAGCTGTCTTTGTTCTTGCACATACGTTATTTTATTACTATCTTCTTTATTCTTTTTCAGTGTATCTTCATCTTCACTATCACTAAATTTCCCTTCACGTTCTACAATAATTTTACGCTCATAGTCTCTCAAAAAGACTGCCTTCTCTTTCTTTATTTTTTGTTTCTTCTGGTTACTATATGATTCTTGTACTTTATTAGTATCATCAAAAAATGTTACATCTTGATTATAAATTTTTGGATCCTTGTTTTTTAAGTAAGCTAATGTTTTATAAAAATCTTTGTCAAATTGCTGGGTCAACTCCTATGACAATAAAAATTCTTAAATTAGAACTTGAAACAGTTAAGTATAGAAAATTATATTTACATTTTCCTCTTCTTCTTCTTCTTCTTCTGATGAACTCTCTGTACCAGAATTTTCATCTGATGATGCACTTCCACTAATGTTTCCATATTTTGTTTTTACTACAATAGAATTGCTTCTATTTAGAAATACTTATCACATTAAATTACTAATAACTAAATATACTTACATTTATTGAGTTCTTCTTTCTGCCGCCAATTATTATAATTTTTAGCATAGTCTGTATTGATATTCAATTCTTTATCCGAATCGGAATTATCACCGTTAAATAAAGTAGGCATGGTATCAAGAATTCATTTAACTATTTAACAATTAGATTGTATATTATAGTAGTTCTTAAGTTTGCAAAAATTGCAACAATTATAATAATAACATAGTCGCAAAATATAATTTTTTGTTCACTACAAATTACAAATAAAATATTGTTTGTTCCTTGTACAATGTTATACAGTGATACAATGAAATGTGGAGGTTATATTGTAGAAATAGGTTATGTTGGAAAAAGAAAACATGTGTCTTGCTGTCGTAACTGCTGCATTGTCATGATCAAATTTATTAAATGTTTTTATGTAATTACTAGATCTATATATCATTTATTAATAAATGCAATAAAATATATACATGTAACTTCTTAAATTACTTTTATTTGAAAAATATTATACATAAAACGTTATACGTTAAACGTTTATTTTATACTTTGTACGCAGGTGCTCTCCAAGGTACACAAGTGATTATTTACAGGTATATATATATATATATAAATTATTTGTATGTTTATCAGTTAGTACAGGCTAAAATAGAATATTCCCATTTTATTGTGTATGTATACAAAATACAAGTGGAATATTGGACTGATATTACAAACACATAAAGGTAGCAAAAGCTGTAAAATATGGATAGAAGAATTGTGTCCTGATTTATTGTGTATTAATCAAGACACAAATACAAGCAGTGTATTTTATCAAAAATGTTATAAATGAAACACATTATTTTCAGTCTTTGAATTAGGTAATCATGTCACATATTTGCAAACTTGTTCATAGGGTACTTTCCTAACAATGGTATCACCCTCCTTAAGTTTTACATCAATGCTATAATGTTCTATGTGAACTGTATGCACTACACCTTTCATACCCTTATATTTTCCCCAAAGAATTACAACATCTTTTCCAAGAGCAGGTATTACAGTTTCTAAATATTCTTGATCTATTTTTATAACATGATTTTCAACTTCTTCAGGTGATTTTAGCTTTACTTTCCCCACAAATTTGGAATTTTCAACAGATTGAATTACTCCTTTAGCTTTATAATATCTTTCTCCAAGAGTCTTTGTGATTACTTTCACCATCAAATTTTCTCTCAACCATCCTTCTTTATTGTTATCATCCTGATCATATTTATGTTTATGCTTTTCAACCTTCTTACCTACACTTTCTTCATCTTCAATTAACTCCTGTTTTATATTAGAAACAGGCATTGTCTCACTACTAGTGGAACACTTATTTGTAACTTTTTCTTGTTTCACAGTGTTGAGAAGTAATTTTGGTTTCTTGTTTATTTTCAGTTCAAGAACCAAAGGAGTATCATTTTCAGGACGTTGCAATGGCTCTTTAAAAGTCTCATTTGGTACACTGGTTTCTTGTTGACCCTTTTCTACTTGTTTCTCTATGAACTCCATCATCCTCTCTTCATCATCTTTATCCATCTTCTGTTTCTTTGCTTTCTTCTCTTGAGCTGCTAATGTTTCTGGATCCCTGTCTATGTATGTTACATACCAGCCTAAAAATGAAAATATAATTTTAATAAATTATAACATGTAACATACTGTTACTTATAAAAACTAGGAATATGTAAATTACCCTTTTCTGTTTCATCAACAACACATTGTCCAGTACGTCCAAGCCATTTAACAAACCCAGTTAAAGTTACCCAAATTGTAGCATTCATATGCACATGTCCTCTATCCGAGATATATTCTTGATAAACACGATTTGCAGGTACACGTCTGGTACCAAATTGTCTTTTCAGTAAATTTAAGTAACCCGAAGAAAATTCTCTTGAAAACTGATCCATATAACGAGACGCATTGTCAGCAAATAACAATAACTGACGATGATGAGATTCTGACATAGTATGACACTTGAATCCATTTTCGTCTCTGCACTGTTTTTGACACATCTGACAGTACCATCTTAATTTTTGCAAACCCTTTGCTTTAATTTTATTTGCAATGTATTTCGGTGTTCCTACTTCGTGTTTACCCATATTTTAAATCACTTTTGAATAAAGATCAATGAATAAATGTATTGAATTCGTTGATCAATTTATGCACAACTTTTATGGTATGCTTAGGTTATAGCAGTGACTACGCAGTCACCGAGTTATAGGTCATACATTGTAGGTTACCACAATTAGAACATTCATCTGTTCCTTTGACAAATTATTACCATTTAATACTGTATAATGATTCGTATTATGAAACACTCGTATTTTGCACGAAGAAGAATTATTCATTGGAAAGATGTTCAATACATTCTGGATAACATTTCCTTATACTATTAGAGACATCTATATTGAAAATTCGAGAAGCTTAGGAGTGCAGCCGCTAGTGGACACTAGTGTCGAAAACCCACAGAAATAAATTTTCAAATTTAAAAGTGCCTTTGTTTATATGAAAAAGAAATGTACAAATAATTGAGCGAGCGAGCCGAAGGCGAGCGAAGCTCTTATGCTTGACTTTGCAACTTGTTTGTCCGCGTTTTTCTTTTGCACCACTCAACGAATTCTCGTAAAATTTTGCATGCACATGCGTATGTACATCCAGATGGATATAGAAAAAAAAAAATTTAAATCGGACTTGCCACGAACGAATAATCACCGAAAAAACTGATCCTAAAAAGTGAGGGTCCGAACACGCATATAAGGAAAATAAAAAAATGAATATTTCGGCACTTTGACGACGTAGTATGGTTCCTGAGGCATTTAGAAACAAATTTCTATTAGGGTTTGATGCGTTTTGATGCCTAATAAAGCCAGGAAATCAATTTTTGTCGAATTCGGTCCAAAACGGTACAGGTGGCGCCATCTAGCGGCGAGCGGCGGAACTACGAAAACCTAAAATCTCGATTTTCTCGAAAACTAGGGACTTTTCCGAGATTCTGAGATATACAAATTTTTCCTTGTCGCCTACGGAATCGAACGAATCTAATTATAGCCCACTAGGACCATTATTAAAGAAAATAGAAAAAAAGCCTATTTCATGGATTAAAAAATTTGCGTAACCCGAATAGGCGTTAATAGGCAAAAAAATGAATAACCTATTGAACAAAAATTGCTTTAAAAAGTCTAAAGAAGCATACTACGTCCTCAATGTTGCGAAATATTACTTTTTATATTTTTCTTTAACGCGTGTACGGGCATACGTTTTTTCGGTTTAGTTCGCATTTCCGCCGCTAGATGGCGCCACAAATTTTCTCCATAAAATTACATTTTTTCGATTTTCTTTTCTTAATAATTGTCCTAGCAAGCTATAATTGCATTCGTTCGATTCCGTAGGCGATAAGGAACAATTTGTATATCTCAGAATTTCGAAAAGGTCCTTAGTTTTCGAGAAAATCGAGATTTTCTATTTTTGTAGTTCCAACTTTCGCCGCTAGATGGACGCCAATTTTTTAGTCCATGAAATGGGCTATTTTTCTATTTTTCTTAATAATTGTCCTAGCAAGCTATAATTGCATTCGTTCGATTCCGTAGGCGATAAGGAACAATTTGTATATCTCAGAATTTCGAAAAGGTCCTTAGTTTTCGAGAAAATCGAGATTTTCTATTTTTGTAGTTCCAACTTTCGCCGCTAGATGGACGCCAATTTTTTAGTCCATGAAATGGGCTATTTT